TCCTTTCCATAAAGATTTAATCGCTTCTAAACTGCCACCTTAACATAGTACGTGATGTCTTTCTCTAACCCATCTCCCCAATCCATGGGTCTGAACTCGGTGATGGAAGGAATCAATGATGGTTACTAGAACCAGAAGAAAATTATTAAAAGGACGAAAGTGTAAGTTCTTAAATTATTTTATCATATTACCTCTTCAACCGAAAGTATTATTATGCATCCTTCAAAATTCTCATGAATAAAGTATATTTGGGTCCTCTTTTTCTTCCCCCTTTTTTCCAATTTTCGCTCGGAATATGGAAGAAGGAATTTAAATTCTCTCGAGATACTTCTATAAAAATATGACATTTCCTTAATGTCACGCTCTGATGGGATTTTCCCAAAGTTTTGTTGATTAATTACGACATGCTAAAACATTCCTTTAACCTAAAATATCCTCATTAAAAATGCAAGTGTTGATAATCAGGGAAGGATTAAAAGTCATCATCACTGATTGACACCTTCCCCTCGCCACTCCTTGGGGTTCTCCCATCAAATGCACCCATAGCCAAATCTTAATGGGTAAAAGACTTTTCCCCCAAAAATTAGCTTTAAAAGAGTACAAAAAGTTTAAGAGAAGTTAATGCTCACCCCGAGGCACAAATGGAAGAGAGGTAAAGGATTTCCCTTCCTTCTGCACAACTAAAATGGAGCTTTTCCTTGCCGAGGATGTAGTAGTCGCACAACTAATCCCAAAACTGGATTGCATGTTCAAGCAACTCCAAAAAAATAATAATTTAGATATTAGATTTGAGACCTGTTATTTGGATAAAAGCATAGAAGTTTGATCATTGGTACATACGAGCCGTGGGAGCTTACAGTGCGTACCTTTTTGGGGTTAACGCGCTTATCACATCGACAATCACATTCGCCATTTGCGTAGCTGTGGTGGAGTGGTTGAAAAGACTTTCACAGTTTCGTCTCCCTCCGCCAAAAGTGAACACAAAATTACTATATAAACGGCGCGATTTTAAACAAAAATTCCCTCCAAAAAAGGCTCCCACATACACAAACACACAATCTAACAAAAAGCATCACCATCGTAAGCCCGACATTCCGAAAGTCTTTTCGGCGCCGTATTGACTCAAAACACTTCGCTTATCAAAATATGTAATCGTGAGTGAGAATTTCTAAGAATGATGCAACTCGAATGGTGTTGCTTTATAATTTACCATGATTTATTTAATAATCCAAGTAGAAATTGGTGGTGAGGAAGGTGCCTATTTTAGGTCCGGCTTACAAAAATAGGGATAAAATCTAGTCTCACTGCCACCTGATAATGTAGAATCATACACACTACGCAAAATTAATTTGCTGTTTTAAGGGGGTAGGATTTCCTGCATTAATGGTGCATGCATTCAGTCATGTAACGCTACATAACAGTCATAAATAATGCATATATTTTCCCTACTACACCCTGCTCTTGATAGTTAAAAGTAATCTAAAATAAATTTTAAAGCAGATGAAAAAAAATTGGATTCTTTGATTTGTACACCTTGAAAAAAAGAAAAGTGGGGCTATTCTGACTCGGGTCGCTTAAATATGGTGAGTAGCACTTTGCTTTTAAAGTTGTTCCGTGGTAGTAATGGGAAAATATTTTCGTACAGAAACAAATAGGATGAATCAAAGATTACTTTTGCTTATTTAGAGCAGAAAGTGCTGTCATGTCAATTCAAATGTTGCCTCGGTAATTGCATTAAAGCTGTACAGTGAAAAAAGTCGATGCGTCCAAACGTGGTAGTAGTGGTAGTAGTTGCAACCTTTTTCCCTTTAATCGAGAAGGTTGATTAGAGGAGGACGTTGCGTACTGTGGCAATGTGGCATTTCGCAAACAATCCAAGCTTTATGGAAGGGGACCAGAGTTTGTCTCCCTCCTCATTCCCCTCGGTGTGGATAGATGACGCCTCCTGGGTTAAAGGGTTGCTCCGCAGAATGTGTGGTGTACTTAAACAAGCAAGTCTTGCTTTATATATCCACCTATATGAGCCCGAGCTCCTATATGCGCCCATATCCGGTCCTGGAAGTAAAATGGGTAAAATTAGGCGAGTTTCTTGAGGTTAGTCTTACTCCTCTTACCTCGCTTCTTTATTAAGCCTTTTAGCAGTTGGGCTGTCATAAATAAGTGTCATTTAGTAAAACTCTAAAAAATCAAATTTAAAGCATCTAATTAGAATTTTTTTGATTAAAAATAGGTTAAAACCGCATTTTTGACCGTAAATTATAGCCATAAACGAGTAGGCGCCAAGACTGGTGGAACACAATGGTTCCACTACCTTTATTTTTTCTTCCATCCTCTGTAGATCATTGTCCACCAGTGATAATGCCTGTGCCAACAAATAAAATTTGTAAAAACGGATTTTTGGCTATAGGATATGTAAAAATTCGAGCCAACGAATGCTAGTTGTTCTTTGACAGGTGTTTTCTTTGAAGTTACATTTAATCTTTAAATTTAAAGTCTACCAAAATTTGTACTTTATCTTTTCTTTTGGTACCCTGGATACGATTGCAGCCTCTCCTAGTAGTGATTTGAGGAAGCTGAGCAATGATGCATCTCGAATTTCGACAAAAAGGCAAAGAGAGGAAAAAAGCGGACACATTTCACTGATTGAAATTGAGGCGCTAGCAGAACTGCTTCGCAGCCGTAGAGAGAGGATGAAGTAAATTTTCAACTTGTAGATGGTGCTAGCCCCAGCCCAAGAAAGCAGTAAACCAAAATAAAGCGGATTTTATTTACAAAATTATTTCTATGCACTCTGAATTGGACCAGTTGGGTGTGAGGTTATTTTTTTGTGACGAGAAAAAAGCGAGCAAATTGTGTGCCTGGAGCAGTTTATCCCAAAGAGGGTGGTTGGGTGGGGGGGGGGGTCCTGGGAGTCGTCTCAACTCACCTGTTTCACAAGTGCTACTGCTGCCTCTGTGGGCCTCCCACCTGCAGACGCGCAATGTGTGTTCCGCATTCTGGGCAAATGCTCGGCCAGGCACGCAAACACACGCAAGTGCGTGCACGGACACACACGCACACACACACCGCGCATCGGTCACATATTGTCGGGTGCGCGAATGAAATGCTTCGACTGCGTAGCAGTAGAACGGTAAAAGTAGCAGTAGCAATGGCAGCAGCAGTGGCAGAAGCAGGAGCAGTAGCAGCAAAATCACTTAATCGGTTCCCCGCAGACAGTGCGGCCGGGTGCATAAATGTGTGTGTGCATGCGTGTGCGAGCCACCGATTGACCGACCGAGAGAGCGACTTCCTTCACTTCTCACATCCACTTATCACTGATGTAAGCCTACTCTCCCTCTCTCTCTCTCTCTCTCTGTATGCTTTCTTCAGCTTCTTAAGCGTCTTCTTTTATATTGCCGGATTTTTTTCATTATTTTCCATGCTCCCAAAGTGAGTACTGTCTTTCTTTCCAGCTATAAATGTCCTTATCATGCATTATTTTATCATGTCAATATGCTACATGTGACACTTGTGACATTTTCTGTCATTCGCCATGAACGCGTGTGATTTGATCCAAAAATGAGGGATGACACATTTTACTAAATCCCCTATGTTCCATTCGATAAGTAAACATTTTGGTGCCCACCATGCCCCCCTTAAAGGTATTTTTCTATACTTACGAAGAATTTTGAAGGACACAACCTTACGCGGGGCATAGACTCATAAAGTTGTCATTCGGGGCTGGAAATGGAGGAGACAGATTTGGTCTGTGGGATAATTGATGCACTAAAATTTCCCCTACCTGCTAAATCACACCATACCCGTAAATCATTGAGTGAAAGCATCAATTTTTTCTCCTCTTCCCTGCGGTATTTTTTATCCCCTAATTGAAAAATGTGTGAATACATTTTGGAACAGTGTTAGATAATGCCTGTAAATTGGGAATCACAACACGGACTAATTTTAGCCCCACACGTAATTAATTAATAAGTTGGGAGTAAAATTACTTGGGAATTGCCCAATATCTGGAAAGATATAATATCTAGAAGAGATTTTAATTGGTCAGGAAACACGCTTTTTTGCGTTAAAAACTGAAGTCGTCACCCGGTTTTGTGGTGCGGGGAAGGCAGTGGAAGGGGATTTGGGTAGAGTCAGATAGCTCCTCATTCTTGAAGTAATCACTGCTTCACAGAGACGTGGACCAGAAAACTCAACTTTTATGGAAGGTCTTTTCCTCTCCGGGAGCAAAAAAACCATTTAGCCTTATAGCGTCCATCCTCCTCCTCTTCTGCCTCACTCGCTTCTCCCGACTGTTTATTTGCCACGTAATTGTATAATGTCAAAAAAGGTGATAATCATCACTTGAGAAAGTGTTAGGGGAATATGGAGGAGAATGAGAGTTAGAATGGCCGGGGGGGAGGGGTGACCAAGGCCATATCTCTCCCCCTCCCTTCCCTCCTTCCTCCCACTCTGCCTCCTTCCATAATTGAGGTCTGAGATCCTCCCAGTAACAAGGATCGAGGCAATACTTGTACGAATCTGGCGATGGTACGAATGGAAACACGAGTAGAACTTTTCCCTAACAAATTGGCTGTCTGGTCTGTAGCCGCAGTCAACTGTCCCACACACAAACAAAGGAGGCGCAGTCTTCTGCGGGCGATGAGGTGTGTATGTCCGTTCTAGATGCGGTCTAGAAATGCGGAGTGGGTATTGTGGCAGTGGATAGTATAGGAACAACTACAAAACAAGGTAGTGTTCGTTGATTTAGCGATACAATGCCGCAAATTGATACTTCTCTTCCCAAGTCAGTCGCTCAGAAAATTGAGAGTCGGTGACAGCGGCGTGGAACATGTTGACAACCCTTTAAGTTCCCTTGTCAGTCATTGGTTAACACATGTTATGTGATATCCGGGCAAAGAATAGGGAGCCTCGGTAATTTGTTTTCTTCTTTTAAAAGGCACATTAGCGTGGATATGAGTAGACTGTTAATTCTTCAAGTTGAATAAAGCAATTTACCAACCATGGGCTACAAGTCAATGGCTCTTAGGGGTAAAAATGATGAATACCGAGTACTTTGTCAAGGCAAGCCTACGCTTAGCTGGGTTCTTTCCTTCTTTCAAGACTATAAAGTGGATATGCGCACGACAGGATTCTTTGTCACACGCACTCCACCATATGGAGGCCTGACCCTTCTTTTAACAGCCTTTCATATTCTCTAGGGAGGCAGCATTACTATGGCTACATTAAGTATGCAAATGATTGCAGACCACAATACAATGGTTGGAGTGGCACCCACATACACACACACACACCTGTGACCTTCATTTGCATAATATTCGAGCTAGGTATTAGTTAGTCGACCACTCCCCTCCTTGACACTCGCTCCGCCCTAATCCACCACGGGCGGTACATCTGTGGACTGCGTATTTCTTGAGCATGTAAAATTTATTTTAAAAAACACATTAACCCTTTCTACACATTTATGTCAATTCTAATACAACCTAGAAATAATCTTTTTCCTTCCTTTTCCCCTTGTTTTTTCCATGTCAGCTGACTTGTTATTAGGCTGACAACCGATCAACTTGAAATGAGCTATGAGGCCACAATGACTTAATTAGCATTCATTGGCACAATATAACGTTTCCACTTAAGTTACACACACACAAACGCACATCGCCTGATGTTGTGTTTCTGGTTGTAGCTCAGGCCCTGTCAACCGATTCATGGTAAACAGGCAACAGTAGGATGAACCACGCACAGCTGCCACTCCGCTGTAAGTTGTTTTCTTGGCCAATTGACTTCACTTGACAGCACTTCAGCAAATAATGCTACCATACTCCTTTATTATTACAGTGTGTGCAAAAGTTGCCCTTAGGTTCTCATTAAAGGCGAACTAAGGGATAAATTGCCCAATAGACACACATACACAGAGAGAGAATAAACAATTATTATACCACATAACGTGTCATGAATCCCTATAAATATCATCTAAATTAGGCCAAATGTCCTACTTTTGTTTTTTTTATCATTCATCAGCTTTCTTCTCCCCATTTGAACAAAATTAATATCATTTAGATGGCTCGCTGTTAGGCATCGCCCCTCATCCATTATCAACCATCTATCCCGTCGAATGATCAGTAAACTCTAACATACAACGTCGGCTAAATTAATAGATATTTTTGAATTCCTGGATTTTAAAAGCATTTTCTAACCGAAAGAAAAGAATATCATCACGAATAAGGTCCCTCAAAATTGTTAATGAAGTAGCGAAGCTGGATGGCGCTGTACTGCCTACCTGGGTTGATCATTGAAAACACTTTCTTGTTTTTTATCCTTTTCAGTCTCGCATTGCATTGCCATCTACATCCTCCTAATCACGGTGCCAAGAGTACGAACAGACGACAGTGGTGACTATTTCGTACAACAGCCGGTCAGTCAATCAGTGACCCTCAACAGCACCTTCACATTGGCCTGTCGTCTGCGAGTGAGCCTGTTCCAAGACACCAGTCCACCAAGACACCAGACACAGAAACCCACTGTCCAGTGGATTCGCAATAAATTCGGGCTTGGAACCACAAGAGAGGACATTCAACAGGCTGGAATGGAGGCCAACTCCCTCCGCTCGCGATATGACCTACCCTATAATTTGGATGAAGGTTTGACACTACGCCTTGAATTAATAATTTACATTTCTGGAAAGTTAATTAAAGATTTAACAAAATGCCTAATTTAATACCCCCTTTTAAAATATAGTATGTAAAGTATAAAAGCCTGTTGACGATACTGTCGAAAATGCACATCTGACGGTCGCAATTTGATTGGTCACATAGCGGTTGGGTGCAATGATGAGCATCGTCACAAAGGGATTTATAAATTAAAAACCTACCTTCATTTGATTTACTAAATTTGAAAGTATTCTTTTTGGCTGAAGGCAAAAAATCTAGCATTTTTCTTTGAATAAGGCTACACTATCTGGTGATAGGCGCGCTTGTCATTGTTTTAGGCCAATACGACCTTCAAATTCGTCAAGCCAAAAGCCTTGATGAGGGACAATACGTGTGTCAACTGCGCTATAATCAGGAAACCAAATTCAGCCAAACTGCTGATGTCCGTGTCCTGGGTAAGACTTGTGTCTTTCTAAAATTTTGGCCTTAAAATTGTCATCCTACCGTACCTTGAATGCTCTGCTTTCAATCCAGTGTGCTAATTGGCTACTAACTCGGTAAAATGCTGTCTTGAGAGAAGCTGGCTAACAATACTGCTCAGGAGCTAAATATGCAGCCTCTTAGTTTAATTTCAAGTTCAAATCTGTGGGAAATTGTAGTATTATGAGACAGATGTGATCAGAACTGGGAGGTGTGGGTAAAATGGCCACAGGAACTTGTAACAACTCAGGGCCTGCTCTGACCCTTCAAATGTTCTGTCCCAATTTTCCCACCCAAAAATGCATTTCGTTAAAGTGGTCACCGAAACCCTGAAAATTTGGTTGATCAAAGCTGTAGAGGCCGTTAAATGACCTCCAAGGTGAAGACTGACAAGTAATTTGCATAGAAGAAATTCACTGTGTGGAGACTGGCATCTCAAGGGAGTTAATCACCAAAGCAATTTTATTCAACCCTTAAACATCTCACATTTAACATGCTCCTATATTCGCATGATAGTGGCGTCAGAAGCTCCCACGCTGGTCCAGCTGGGTATAGGCAATGACGAGGACATGAGGCGTGTCGGACCACAGGTAGCCGCGACAGCAACGGAAGGCAGCTACCTGCGGCTTCTTTGTATTGCCAAGAATGGCAAACCCGGCGCAAAGCTCTTCTGGACATTGAACGGAAGCCCACTTATGATTGTCCACAATGAGGATGGTACAAAGGGCAAAATCACCAGTCACATTGAGGGCAACGTGTCAATCAAGAGTATATCTGCCCCCGAGCCACCTTTCTTGTAGGCGCTTTCACTTCCCTAATGGAAGTAATGCAACTTGACACGGTATCCTCCATTAAGAGGATAATTAATTGGTACATTTAAGAGAACCACATGTCAGTGATACTTCTTAATCCCCCCTGGTAGGGTAGGGCTGACACTTTGACATTATTTTTTAAGCAATATGTAAAACTGTCAACTGCAAGAAATTGCAGTAACCTAAAAAGGCCTAAGAAGAAAAAAGTACTTGCCTCTTTTCCAAGTTACAAAAAAAGCTAGGTACATTCTTTAATTATTTTCCACTAATAAGTTGAGCCAATCAAGTTGAAAGCCCGTCAGAAGCGGCAACTCAAAGTTGGCGCGCTTTTGTTTAGTTTTTTCGACATCAGGAACTATTTAATTGGCCATTTTAGTGACCAAAAATAGTAAAATAAGACATTTCCTGTAGGGCAGACTGTTCTTTTTTAATCTGTCCTTATGTGGCAAGATTCAGCAAAATAAAGGGCATTTTTTTCTGCAAAATAATTTTGCCTCCAAATTTAAACACCTTTTTTAGTGCTATAAACAAAAAGTGCTACACTAAAAAAGTTTTCCTAATTTCTTTTCTAAAATTTGAAGTAATGGGGCACTTAATATTACTAGTCTCGTGTCGAAGGTTCACTGTCATCGCAGTTTAGCACCACGAAAATGTTCAAATTCATTTAACAAAATAATATATATTATTCAATACAAAAAAGTGTATACATGAGAAGGGGCGGTAACTCCCTTTTTCTCCTCACCTTTCCATCCAGGGTGACGACAGTGAGTGAGATTATTGTCTACGTGACAAAACTGCATCACGGCTCGAATATTCAATGCAGAGCGCAGAATGAAGGCTACGAGAATCAGCCCCTTCAACCGACTTTCACTAAGCTCAATATCCACTGTAAGTTCATTTTTGTCGCTCTTGCTTGGTAAACAACAACGAAGTGACACACTACAAAGCCCATAGGATTACCAGTGTCATTGGTTGATATTTGTGCTGCTGGATTGACACGTCTCGCCCTTGTTATGTGCTCCCGTTACTTCTTGACAAGTTAAAGTGGCTGCTTTGAGCTTCAAAATCTTTCTCCTCGCACCACCTCGCCTTGCTCCTCCTTGTGCCCCACCCCGCTCCGTCCCAAAAAACGGATGTGGGTAGCTATTTAGGCGCAATGGCGAGATTAACTCCGGTGCAATTCCTCTCACCCACTGTGTATTTAAAAAGCGAATTCGCCACCCACTTTTGATACAGATCAGATGTTGATGCCACACCGTGGCAGATCTATGATGGGAAAACACTTATACCCCATCACTGTCCAAACCGTAGAAGATAAGGCAGATCTACAAGGTGAGGTGATGTAAGCGCCCAAGTTTCCCAATTATCCCATTTGGCTGCGTGTTAATCACGGAGTTTGGCAAACCCACGGTGTAAACATTGCCCATCGAGGACATCCCCTTTCGCCTCTCAGCGCAGCAACCTAATCGGAGTAAAGTGGAACACCCCAGGGTAGAGAGAAGACCAATCGTTGTGACGGTTTAATGGAATGGAATGGGTAATTATGTTTACCATCGCTGATGTTAAGTTACTTACTTTTAAAGGGCAAGTTCGTCTGAAAAATGAGAGGGAGGGAGTGAGAGGCTATAAAGCTTCCATTTCACAACGGAAAAAGCTGTCGCGGCCTGGTATATAAGTAATTTTTTCTGCCTTTTTTTCTTGGCATAATCAGTCAAATCGTCCTCACGATAATTTCCAATGAATGTGACAACAGCACTTTGTGCAACCTCAAAGGCACAAAGTTTATCAACCCCAGTAAAAAGTGGGACTTCTTACATATTTATTTACAAATTCTTAATTTTCGACATTCATTTACTTGTGAAAGGTGATTAAAACACCGACAGGTGTCCACGGTCGGACCGGCAGTAACTATCAACTCACCCTCCTTCATTGAACCCACCATCTTTGCTTCACGGGAATTTCCGCCAAGCTAGATTATTCTTTTCCTTTTTCTGCAGATGCACCGGTTGTGAAAATGCGAGTTTCTTCCACAACAGGTCGGAGAAATTTACTGGAAAATGACGTTGTTACCATCCGTTGCTCCGCTGAAGGTCGTCCAGACAATTTCACCTGGAGGTCGATCACAGTCTACCTGCCTTTTATAAAGAGAAAGCACGATTAAATAACAGATTTTGCCATTTGAAGTCTGAAAGTTGGCTGAGGAGGCTTTACAGTTTATACAGGGCAGGTTACTTGGAATAGTTGTTGGCAAAAATGCAAAGACATAAAGGTCAATCAGCAAAACTAATCATAGGCTGAAAAGGATACAGGAATGCTCTTAATACCAAGAAGAAGAAGGCAAATGTCTTAGGTTTGCATATTTTTTTTCTCTTTTCACTTTAGTTGGATGATGAATGGTTCTGTAATTGAAGGCGAGAGGTCTGAGCAATACCGAATTCGTCTTTCTCGAGACTTGATCAACCTGACTGTGGCCTGTGTGGCTGCCACCTTTGCGGAAGGCAGTGATCAGACGATCCTGACATTCCACTGTGAGTTTAAAGGCACTTTCAAAGGCATCTGCTCTCCCTATCTCCTGCCAGCATTAATGCAGCTGAAGTGGGCGGCCAGTCCGACAGACTGATTTGTATCATAGGCATTTTATGCAAATGTTTTTTTACTCGGTGGTTACAAAATTTAGTCTGCTTTTTAACACACCCCGCTGCATTGGCTGGACGCCGCCTGTGTCCCTGTAAGGCACAGATGTAAAACCCTGGACCCCAGCTGCGGTCCGTTTTTCCGGGGGAGGGGAGGATGCTTTTCCAACCCTCAACCTTTCTTTGCCATCGAACAATCACGTCATTTTGACAGTTGGGGAAGAAATTGAGAAAGAATAAAAGGGCTATTTAGCCAGATGAAGAGGTGAACACGGTTGAAGCACCTTTTATGACCATCTGAGGAGATCTCTGTTAGGAATACGTCTGTATCGGCCTTACCTACATACCAAGCTTAACGAGATATTCACTGATGATGTAGTGAGTTTCGGGGTTTCTAAAGGTGACCTTTATCTCAACAGTCATAGACTTAGTGGGAGAAGAGGTCAAATAGAGGTCGGTAAAGAATGCTGCCCATTCGCATCTTTTCTGTCACGAAAGCATTGTATTTTGGACGAATCGTGAGGGAAATGGTATAAACTTCCCGTAGCTTTGCGCCTTTGTTCGTTTATTCTTTTTTCCTCGAAAGTCTCTACCGATTTCAGCCTTCTTTCCGACATTAGTTATGAGTACTCACCTTCCCACTAAGTCATTTTCTTCCCTTTTCCATCGAAAAATTAACGATTCGTCTCTCTGACGAAATCTTAAACTACTTTACCTTTTGAATGCTTCCTATGCGTTAACTTCTGTAGAAAGTCTGATAGAGAAGTTTTCTCGAAAGGGCAAAAATTTTCCCCATTCTTTAATTGTAGCCCCTAAAGCGACAATGCAGTAGACCACCTCCTCCAGCTGCAAAAGGTCATGCCCTCTTTCGCCTGACTGTAGACACATGCGGGCTTCTCGCCATTCGCTGCCCTTCTTTACTTTGCTTTTACCTTAAAGTCAACGGGACAGGGAATAAAGAGCCAATTAGCATTAATTAGGAGGCAGTTTGAAAAATTACTTCCCCAAAACTGTAACATCTATTTTACGAGGAGGATGTGCAGTTCCTTTTGTCGCATCGCGTGGGCAGAAGCATACATCGATGACGGAGTCGTCCTCACTGAGGCGATGCATTAGGGAGATGTAGAGGGTGGACAAATGCTATCCTACCTCACCCAACTCCTTAGAATGAATAAGATCTTATCAACTCACCTTTCTTTTATGCGATTTTTGCAAATCATATTAACAGAAAATGGCAGACTGTTTCGCTTTCCTAGATTCTGGATTTGTTCCTTTACCAAACCGAAAATTAGGCCAGGCAGTTATAATTTCCAAGGGGTTATTTAAAGGATTCATTAGGATACCTCTTTCCTAAATGAGACAATTCTCTTCAATACATTCTAATTACGAGGGGGAAGTAAGATTGCACGGTTTCAAAACTTCCCCAAGCTCGACTGTGAGAAACAAAGTCAGACTCACCTCTTCTTTAATTACTGAAGCCCGCTGGGGGGCCAGAGCCTGTGTACCGATGCATAGGGGTGGTCAACAATCATCCAGGTTGATGTCTACGCTTGCGACAGCTTGTGGTCTCTGTTTTGGACGTCTTTACTGGGGATTGCTGCCAAGACGCACGCGGTCTCTTGCTACTGCTGAGGCCTATGGGCGTGGGCCTCGACACGGTTAAAGGTTTGCCTCCCTGTCTCATTTAAACATTGGAAAAAGTTGACTTCCTCTGTTCTGCCTACTATGTTGTGAATTTTTTTCCAACCTCGTCCAACCTCGCGCGAATAAGTTTCGAACGCCTTTTTGACTCGGTGACGAATGTCTCCGTCGAAAAAACAACATTACGGATTTAGTGAAACCACCAATTTGACACTTTTGTCTTCAATCTGAGTGATCTTTATGGAGCGAGCATATTCGAGAGGACACATCAGTGATTGTCATTTGAAATACGGCTTTCAGATGCACCACAATTCATTAATCCCAATCCAGTAATCTACGCTGGTGCATTGGGTGAACCACTACGCATGCATTGTGCGGTCGACGGTAATCCACGACCGGAGGTGGAGTGGCGTCTGGCCTCAGCGCCCTTCCCAACTCCCGTAACTACGTCTGACGTTGGCGGCGCCTTGGCTGGGGTGGGAGCACTGGTGGCCCGGGGAGAAGTATTCGCCCGGGACAGAATCCACGAGGGCGACTTTGGCACCTACGTCTGCACTGCACGATCGTTGGGCTTTTCAGTAGTCTCGAAGAAAGTCATTCTTGCCAAGAAATGTGAGTTCAGACTATAAAATTTTGTATTCTCAAGAAGGAGAGGGAAACACTTTTACAGTCGATAAAGCAAAACTTGCAGGTTTGTCATGACAAAGTGATTTAACAGATGAGTTGTTCGGATAAACTACGGCTTGCCAGAACTTTGCCCCAGACATTAGCCCAAGGCTCCCTCTGTTGTGCTTCAAAGTGGCAGACATCTGACGACTTGACCATGTCAGGCGAGTAATTGAGTGAATGAAGTCCACGCAGCTTAAATCAGGCACCAGTGTCTGTCGAGATGATGTGGAAGTGACCTGGTGTATAATCTTTCCATTCTCCCTACTTCTGACTGCAGTTTATGGTTGTGTAGGGTTGGGGGAAGTAATCTCCTTCTTCTGCACTACGTAATTAGAATGAAAATAACGAAATCACAGCACTAATCACTGCCTTCAAGGTCGTGTTTACTTCCCACGTTTGACATTTGTTACCAATGTCACGTTTGTTTTTTCATCCCTGGAAGGCGAAGTCTCCTGCTATTTACTGCATGTAGCAAGAGAAGAGGATCTCGACTTTTCTTCTCCCCAAGGCCCTATGATAATAATTGTATAATATTCTTTTAAACTTTACGTTCTACTTCTGTCTGTTGATTATTTCATCCCGCCTCCCTTCCCTCACCAAGTTACTCCGCTGCAGGAGTGAGTTCGAAATTAGGACTGGTGGGACAGCAGCACTACTTTAAGCTGTCCAAGCTACTGCCTTGCCACCTCGCAGTGAGTGTCACCTTCAAGGAGACTAAAAATAACTGCACTGTCAACTAGTAGGATAGAAATTACTGCATAGGGATCAATCTGTTTGTAATACTCCACCGAAATAGTACAACTACATTTTGAGGCAGTGGTTAAAAAACTCAGAGGTTATAGACGAGGTCAGATCGCTTAAATTGTAATCACTTTACTTGGGCCTAGGGAGGTCAGTGCATGAGAAACGGTAAAAGCACCCCAAACATCAAACTTTAGCATAACTTCCAGAGAAAGTAATGAGTTTATCCATGATTGGCATAATTTGTACTTCCCCTAGATATTCATTTAACAGGTCCAGTCAAGTGTAAGAAATCTTAAACTATTTTAAAGAGAACTTTGTAAATTTTGTCCAAAATAATAAAAAAGGCTTTAAATTTTGTTGGTTACTAAGTCAGGCAGTAAAAGATATCATATCAGGATAAAATTATGAATTTGCTGTGGATGTGGTACAATTTGTGAGTCACACCAGGTTCGGTGGCACTTTTAATCGCCAATCCAGAAAAATAACTCCCAAAATCTAGAAGTAGATTCCTTAAGCTGTGCAACATTTCAATTTTTACGTACAAAAATGGGTTATTGTTATTAAGCGAGAAGCCAGGTCGCTATATTACAGTGTAGCGCCTTTGGCTGCCCTGGAGGCGAAAACGCATTGCCGACGTACAGAAGGACAGCGGATGTCCAATAGCGTAGACACGACCGAGGGTTAAACAAACAACCAAGACATTACCTAGGCCCCGTCCCCTTTTGAGGGTCGCGTCCGGTGCTACTCTTCGGTCAGCCTCCCGCGTTGGCCACCAAAATGTGGTCAGTGGTGTGATAAAAAAATCACTGGCCTAGTCATAAGACCATTTGCCGAAAAAGGAGGATTAGGAATGAGGTTTCGCATCTACTCCTTCTTGCTGCTTTTTCCCACTTCAGTGCTGCCCAAACGCATATCTGTCAAGGGCTATATCCAGCTAGTAGACAGGTGGAGGAGATATCGCTTGTTCACTTAATTGACATTTTTCATACAGGCGCCGTAAACAGCTCCGAAACAAACTTTTCCTAATGGTTTGCTGCTAGTGTCGCTTCGGTTGTTAATAGCATTTCTACAGGTCATGAGACTGGGGTAGTTGCCGGAGCCAGACGTCATTTTTAACCCTTCTGTTAGGGATTGTCACCGATTTTTCCAATCCGCTGCATGTTTCACTCTTCCGTCACGTGTATGCTTTGCATTCAGTAACAGACATGAGAATAATTGACCAAAGTCTTTCCTAAAGAGGAAAGAAAGAGGCTACTACTATGGCCTAAAGGCCATGCCTCTCAGCGGAGGTTATAATCGGGAGTCCTTAAGCCCCCGGGATAACCAAAATCGGGGTTTAAACAAGCTATCGAGGCGCGATCGCAATGGAGCACTCAACCAGGTGTCTGCTAAAATTAGTACAACCTTCCGACATACTTTACAGCTGTTTTTAAGCCCAAGAAAAGTTTGTTCGAGACGCATTGGAGTGAAGAAGATGCTACTGCATCATTGGGTCACTAGAGGTCACCTTTTCGCCCCCAGCATACTCATCAAACTACCAAGAAGCTCGAGACGGTTAAAAAGACATTAATTTTTGGCTCAAAATAGAATCCAGCTTAAATATTTTAAAGTACTTATACCCACCTTTGTTTCTAGAGTTTATGGCTTTAAATGATGAGTTTTGTGGAGGAGGAGTGCCTATATCTGCGCAGACTTTTAACTTGGCACAAGTCTACCCTCTACAGTCTGGCACATAACTGATGACAATTTCATTTGGGCATAGCTGGCTAAATCTTTTGTTCCTCCCACAAGGTAATATAAAAATAATTCAGAAATTCCATAAGAAGAGTGGCCATTTTCAATTGACTTCTCCAAATACCTTCCGTTCTGCTGAGAATTTAACAGGGGAAAAATGAATGTGCACGACTTTGAGGTGACAAAAAATATTTTTTTGACACTTCCAGGGTTTGTTTGTATGCTAAACAAATAGATTTAAGTTGGCAGAATAATGTTTGCTCAGAGGCAGATTCACAGATTTGGGGCGGAGGTACGTCAGCACCGAACACCCGAATCAGTATGGGACGAAATGATTGGTCGTTTTAAAATGTAAGGAGCTCATTTTATTTTCCCTGCACGCCGTGTTTTCCGATTTAAAAGGCAACCCAAATCCGCTTACGAATTTAACGTACGAATTTTGTAATTATTTGGAGGACTTTTTTCTCCGCCACACTTGACGAGTCGCGATACCATAGAAGTGGGCAATGATGGGGTCTGCCCAACGCATCCCATCTTCTGGCTGAGTTTGACTGCCTTCACGACTGACAGTCGTGATTTTGCTCCTCCTTTAAAAGCGCGCCTTTTCACTTCGAGGCTAACACTCCGATACTACTTATTTCTACATGATTTAATTATCCTTCTCCATAAACAAAACTAGTTGCGGTGGAGGTGGAAACTGCCTTCACGATAATCAAATATTAGTCAGCTTTTTGTAAATAACATTATTTGTACCACCATGAGGGGGAAATCTTTCCTGTAAAATTACACGCGTCTACTTCCCATTATTTTAAAATCATTTTGCCTACTCAACTTGGTACGAGGTAAGCGCGCACAGTTTTCCCCCGAGAAAAAATATACGCAATTGCAGTTTTTATTTTGGCCTTCCGCCTTAAAAGCCATTCACTGGCTGTCCAAAAAGTTGCTACTCACAACAGGTAGTTGCGGTTTACTCTACTCAAGTAGAATGGTATCTAACCGGCTCCCTCCCACTCCCGTGTGGGGTGCTTTAGCAGCTCCACGGATAAAGTCTGCAGAACCGGTCTATGCGGCTATTGGAGCAGCGGCTAGACTTCCGTGTACAATTAACGCCATCCCCTTGCCACCGCCAGGGGGGCTGCTCTGGCGCCGTCGCGACATCGTTCTTGGACCGTCTTCGCAGTGAGTTGGACTTTCCTAGTCATTTCATGTCTCGGATTTGTCTGGACCAAACATTAATTCCAAACAATACAACCAGGAATGGTTTGGATAACTACTTAAGAGAAGAAGTTTCGTGTGAATCACGGCTAATAAGCAATTAAGAGGCCTTTCTATTATTTCGAAAATACATACCATCGTAGACTTCTTCCTAATAATATACTACTTAAAACAAGTAGCCACGATTCCTCTTTACTGAAAAATATTGACCAGCTCCTCGTCATTACTGCAATCTTACCTATTCCTACCTCCTTTTGCCATCTACTGACATCAAACAGATGTCAGAGCCTCCCCATAGTCGTAATAAACCAAAGTAGTATGAAGGGACATACTACTTAACAACGTATGGAAGGATTGGAAGGCTACTAGATGACCTAAGGGCCATACTGCAATGCAGTGACTGTGTAACTCAATACACACAAAAAAACCCAAAAGACATTTTTCAGATTTGGACCTGCTGCACATCGAATTTGCCTCTCAAAAATTCTGTGCGATTTTTGGTGTATCTCACGGCATAACCTGTAGGAAGTTGTAAAACACATCAAATTATTTATAGGTACTTTGGCTCCACCAGAATGCGTGGATGGCATTTGGAGAAGGTGAGATTTACGGGAGAAGAATACTACACCCACAAAAATGGCTTAAATTGCTCCACTTGGTGCCAGTGATGAATCACGCATCAGTAGATGCATCAGGTTCAGGAGCTCGTGGAAGGCACTCTGTATTTAATCATGAAGCATGTGTCGGTAATTTATGAAAAGCCTCGATTTTAAAAGCTTCCCAAGATTAAAGATTCAAGAATGGTGTCAAGCTAGTACCGTACATGGGTGATAAAACAGGCTGCTTACATCTACATCCATTGGGAAGGGAAAGTGGTGGGACCTAGGAAACGATTTACTTGTTTTGCGTCAACACTATCCATTTGGACTTCACTACTTCATTTCACCACATATACTGGACGACGGTTGAGTTGCCTATCATTAGGCCTGGACTGAGAAATGAGCTTCGCGCTGCAGAGTTGAGCAAACAAGCACCTAATTGGTTGGTGCCAAATAATCTACGCATTATCTACTCCAGTTGTCTAGGGCAAGCACCAATCCATCTCTACAAGATTAGGCTTGCTTTGTACGTGTGTGTTTGGCTGTGGGGATGTATGGTAGACTCCAGGCTGAACGCCAATCAATTAAGCATGAGATTATTCCGCGGGTAACCACACACCTCGAGTGTCGCATCTTGACAGACCAGCCCACCAACCGGAGGAAAGTTCTCTCCTTACTCGCATAAGGCAAAACAGGGCCTCAATACTGTACTTCGGGAGGGGAAATATCATCTCATTCTCATCTACCACATTTCGCCTGAGAGTTTTCTAATATGATGAGTAACACCTCTCTCCATGAGTCAACAATCACACACCAAATGGACACATGTCCAAGCCCTCTGCGTCGATGGTCAAAGAACCACAAAATAAAAGAATAACGTCTGGCATTAGTCAAACACTTTGAAAATCACGCGTGTCAAGGAAAAAAAATTTCCTATTTGCCAAACGGTACTGTTTAAAAATCCAGAAGTAATGAAATCTTTTTACCTTACTTTAAATTATCCATGTACATCAAACATCACCGAAGCTGAAGTATTTGACGTAGCAACGTTAATTAATGGAAACTTCTACTAAAATAAGACCTACGGTTTAAGATAAAATAATAAATTATACCCTTGTCAACAGGAGGAATTTTATTGTTTACAGATGATATACGAGAGGCCCATCTGTCAACTAGGCTTTTGCCTTCCCCAGTTAGCATGAAGTTTTTGTAAAAATTATCCCAATTTAAAGTGTGTTTTTAACTGCTCTTATTTGCTCCCTGTAAATTCTCCTCTTTAGCAGAAAGCCGTACGTTTATATAATAATTGACATCAAAGAGGGGAAAAGGATGGCTACTAGTTGTCTAAATTAAAATTAGGAGGAATTGTTAACTTTTGTCTAAGGCCATTCAAACATTTTCCCTTCCCTATTACTCTTTGTCGTCAATAGTCGCAAGTTCTCCACGCAAGAATTTTTGGGCGGTGTTGTCTTCGTGATGTCCTTCACGCATGTCATGTCGACAGATTTTGGCTTTTACAATTGCTCTGCAGTGAACGCCTACGGCAGCGACTCACAAACCATGGAACTCAGGAGAGATGGTAAGAAGGCCACAAAGCTTTCCTGTTTGACGCCGTCAACATCATCATAATCATCATCATCATCATCATTGTGGATTCATTTTTATAGATGAAATTTCAATTTCCTCTCTCAGTGGAATTTTAGCAGCCCTCGTTGCTGCCGTCTTAATGGCGCTTCTTTTATTCTTCTGCTGCCGAAGGCGACAGTATAGAAAGGCTAGACTAAAAGGTAACTGGTCACACCATTTCCCTCAAATGTCTTCTTTAACGCGGTAAACCTAATGAACAATTTGGCATATTTGTACGTGATTGTTAACGCAGGGAGACTAAATCGCATTAAATCTTGTAGGCAACTTCATGCATACCTTTACAAGATTTATTTTCAGCAAAATTAATTCTATGAGGAATATTTAGAGTAATTACAAATCCCGTCAAGTGGACAAACATTTAAAAATAAAAGATGAATTTCCATAAATCGTGGTAGAGATTCAGGCTAAATTTGACCAAAACATATCAAATTTACAATATTTGTTTTAGTAAGACACTAGTTTTCTCAGACAGTTTAATTGTTTTAACTAAATAGTTGTAGCTTCGAAATAAATATGAAACTAATTACTGTAAACTAATAAAGTGGGTGTCACTTAGTAATGACATCCATCTTTTATCAATTGGGAAAATCTTAGTGATACGTACATGACACACACGAGTAGTAAGTGTTAGATGTGTAGCTAAGTAATGTGTAAAATGAAGAAATGAATCGTATGCATCAAACCTCTGCGGTGAAAGAAGCCAGTTGAGATCAGATGTATTAAAAAGCATAGGCGTAATAAATAAGACAGATAACTTAAATAAATCATAAATAATATTATTTTATGTTCAACTAATATTTACCTACATCAAACTTTGCATGCAGCCATCTATTGAAGTTGGCGCAGGTAGCATTTAAAATGACTCGTTTACTAATTAAAACAAAGCAAAAGACCGAAATATTGTAAGATTAAAGCTACTAGAAATGCTATTATTCACTAAAAGTTTCAATTTGCGTCTTTGACTTTTTAAAATTTAGGGAGCGTGCTACCAACTACATCGAGTAAGCGAAAACCGTATTTAATGGATGAACCTGGTGGATACATGCACACTAACAACCTACCTCATTTGATGAAACTGGATTCCAAGGATGATGCCTTTTGCGTACGTCATCCATTTTATGCTCCAATACATGCTTATAAAAAACTGATAAGTAGTTACGGACAAGTGCCAACAACATTGAATAATTAACACATTGAACAAAAGTAAGAAAACAATGCTTCCTGCCTAAAATGATTGACAAATGCTTATTTAACTACTGCTAACATTGATTCCACTCTTAGTTGCTTAACAGAGGGCTTCTACTTAGATCTATCCGATGTCCAGCTGTGGTAAGCCTTTCAGGGCAGCTCCAAGATATGGTTTATAATAAAGTCAAGTACAAAGACCTCTATGATCCGATTTTAGAAAAAACACTTGACGCGGGTTGTGTGAATTCAGTAAAGGAACAAAAATGAATCGAGTTTTACTCAAATACACAAGGTCCCCATTCAATGAAAACTTCTGCATCTGGATTTTACCTGCCGCCTTTTAGGAGGGAATAAATCACTTTTTAAAATGCACTTTGTTTAAACAAAAGGACAGACTAGTTTGTTTTGCAGTAAATAAGTATGCTTTTCTTTTGCCAAAATTGCATTAACTTGCTATCATGAAATTTGTATAAGCTGTCCAATTGTCCTGAGTCCATTCATTTACCCCTGTGCCAGCCTAATCTAATATGCAGGACTTTTCCTCAAACTATATGTAATATGCGTAGTTTGAAAATGTTGAATTATTTACTCACTATTACCTACTTTTCTCCACAAAACCTGCGAAGCTGAAAAGATTAAGGTTGTACTTACGAACAAGGAAATTAATCGTTCTCCCTCGTGAGAGAGAGTTAAATGTAAATACCAGTGACCTGAAAATCTTTCATTTTTTTCCTTTTTTCTTTCTTTCTTCCTTTCTTTTTCCACTTTGCTTACACATCTTCAGTGCAAGATAGACACTCATTGCTCTGATAAACAAGTGGTGGGGAATTACACGACTTTTTTTGTTTATTTCAATGAATAAAGGCGCGTAATGACATAATAACTAAGTAGTATTTTCGCATTTCTTGTAGCGCCACAGTAGCTCAGGCTCGACAGAGGGGGAAACATTTGATCGGTAAGTTTAACCCCTTTCAAGTCCCCAAAATTCCGAGCACTGTTTATCATTAGGCGTTATAAAGTACTGTAGCTTCCATGGACTTCCATAAAGACGAAAGGGTAGAGCTCGGGGCAACTGAAATGGCCCAGATGTTAGGCTGCACTGCGGACGTAAAGTGGTGGAGCCTTAGTGGCGCCCTTATAAAACAGAGAGTTAACCGCCTAAAGCATTACATAGTCCCTCTCCCCTTTGGAGCGTCGTTTCCGGCGCTCCCCTTTGTCAGCCACCCCCGTCAGCCATCACAAAGTAACCGGTGCTGTAAGTTTAACACTTATGAGGTAACCGCACCAGTTATCAAATTTTAATGGAGGTAAGAAGGTATCTGATCGCGACGTCACTAATTCGTCTTGGTAATTCCACTGGATCTGGAGTTTCAGCCTGTATGGGAACCATGTTTGGTGGGGACAAGGGAATGCACCGGTCATTGTGCATGTCCACTGGTAGTCGTCAAACCACCGGGTAAAAGCGGAGTCATATAACCAAGGCCGGGATTCAACATAGTCCCTTGTAGATGAGGCTTCGCGTCTATTACACGTGCCATTTTTTTCTCACTTCAGTGCTGGCTATCTGCATTCTATCAAGCTAATAGACAGGTGAGGCGGTACCGGGTGTTCACCTAACTGATATATTTGTGCCGTAGACAGCTCCAACAGCTAGTGCAGCTTCATTTGTTAATGGCATTCCTGTAGAATACGAAACTGGGGTAGTTGCCGAAGGTAGACATCATTTTTAGTCCTTTTCTTAGGAGGTCGTCACCACTTTTTCCCATTAGCAGCCTACGCTCTTCTTCCATCACGTCCAGATTTAGCAATCAGTAATGGAAATCAGGGTAGTTGTTCTTAAGGCACGGGTTTGTTGCCCGCTGCCATCAATGTTGTGCCCTGAGACTTCCCAGAATGGCCAGGCCGCTTGGCGGTGGTACAGTGGCAGAGCCTTAAGTGGCCCTTCACCGAAACTGCGAATTAAACAAACAGTTAACCTACTACAGTACTAATACAGTGTCATCTGGTGGCTATGCGCTGCAGCTCTTTGGACGAATTATTCAAAAAAATACGCATCTTAGTCTAATCGAATCTCTTAAAGCCCTCGCTTGACTCGACTCCTTGTTTGCTCTTGCACAAATGGCCCGACGGTAGGGGAATCCTTTCATACATTCAGCCACTCCTGTAATGCATAATCAGCCGCGAATGTCACGCGAATACTCAGGTGACTCGAGTCCCCTCCAAGGTCCGCCACTTTCTCACACAGGTATATGTAATTATCATCAGGAGGAGGTACTAATTACTAGCCATTTGCATAATGCATGTCTGTCGCGATGCGGATTCCATGAAAGTCCACCCCCTCGGCCCCCTACCAACTCATTAGAACTCACAATCCTTACTTCCTTCCTAACTCAAAACTAAACAATTTCAAAAATGCTCCTATTTGGGGGAAAAGACCAAATTGCTGGCAAATTGAGGACTCTTGCCGTGCCTGCATATTCAGGGGACCTGCCTGGACCAGTCGATGGTTTGTTTGCTACTTTACCTGTCAGGGCGAAGTGTGTCTACACCGTCGAATTTGGTCTACACGCACAAACACTTGGCAGAGGGACTAATCACGTTGCTTGTATATGCAAATGGGCAAACCATTGTACTTAGAATCATGCGTGTGCTTATGCAAGACCACTCCATGTCATTCAGTTGTCAAGGCATTAACGTGATGCACAGAGCCAGAACATATCACTGCTAGTCAGTTTTTCATCCACAAGTCGTGGAACACCTTTTTATTGGTAAAAGGCGTAGTTAGAAGGCTTGAACGGACAACTCACTCCTTGTCCGACCCAAGTAGCACCTCCTGCACGAAGGTGAGAGTGAGAAGTCTGTCCTTACCTCCCTTTCTTATCAAGTTTGAGAAACAATTTTTCTTTCTTAAACCAAAACAAAGAAAAACATTTTTAAGTCTTTTTTTACGATCAAGTGCGTTTTATAGCGAAAGAAGTGGGCAATAATCAGTTGGCGCAGTGTTTGTCATGCCTGGTAGATGCTGTAAAGGCCCACTTTCAAAGTGTCAAAGTTTTATTGACCCACTCGGTCCGACTACACAAGACAGAATTTTATTTCCCTCTCTCTCGCTCTCTCTCTTCCCTTTTTTTCTTTTTCCCTCAACTCTTTTCGAACATGGATCTGCGATGGGCAAACTTGCATTCACAGCTCGCCCTATCTCCTATCCCCTCCAACACCCTGTCATATATCCATTTCGCTGTCAAAACACCCACACCTTTCAGCACTGGAGGCAAGATCATCTGATTCGGTGTTTCTTTTTTTACTTACCTTTTTTTCGCTTGCTTTAGAAGACATTTATTCATTTACTTGCTCTCTATTCTACTGGAGAAATGGTAGTAGATGGGTTAGTGGATTGGGTGTTCTAACAGAACTCCGGATTTGGTCAGAAGTAATATCTCGCATTGTCACGCAAAACTGTCATTACTTTCCGCCTTTTCATAACTAAGGGTGACATTGTTAGAGCCTCACACTCCCTAATAAATTAATTCGACTGTTATGGCTCTTATAAACTTTAAGAAATCATTTTTTGGTTGTTGCTGGTATTTCCCTCCTCATCCAAACAAATAGAAGTAACCTTTTCTTTCTCTCTTTCTTTTGGACTAATCAAATTTATTTATGAGAATTCTTCATTGACATTTACTAGCTACCAATTCCCATCAGCTGCGGTGCGAAGCTCCTCCGCCCTTGGCAATGCACAGGTGCGACCTCCAGCGAATGGCTCCGCGGCGATCGCGGATCGTTGCGTTTCAATGCGACCCTTCTCTCCGGTCTGTAAATACACCCTCATAGACGGCAACGGTCAGCAAATTCCTGTCTGTACCAATGTGGTCACCTTTGCCAGTCATCCCGGTGACGGGAGTGGCACAACCCTCTGTCTGGCTTCGGACTACCAGCCCATCCCCATTAATTATGTGAATTTACCCGTAACTGAGGGGGCACCGTCTCCCACGTCCTTAGAGCGTGTCACTGTGGTGACAGCGCCTGATTTGCCCCCGGACAGCGATGTAATTGTCAACACACAGGTCACACATGTCTAGCTAGTTTTATTGGGTGTGTGTGTGTGTGTGTGTGTGTGTGTATGAATCTTCCGGCAAAAAAAAAGAAAAGGCAATTTTTGTCTACTGCACTATCAACTTGAGGAATGTTTATCATTTTTGATAAATAAACACCTTTTTTTCTAAATTCTCTGTTGACAACTACTGGATATGAACTGTTACCGCTTCTAAGCTTGCAGACAATGTGGTCGCCTCGTTCAGCCTTGAAGTGAGCACGGTTTCCCATTGAAATGTCATTTGACCAGCTCAGTCAGTGACTGTCATGACAACGGATTATGCCACGAATAAATTAGGTACTTCATTTATTCTCCAAAATTATGAGGACTTTGGAGGTATAAACTCCGTCAATTGACGTCTGACAATCAGTCAGTTGGGTCATTTATTCAGGGTGGACATTCGATGGCACCCCCTCCAATACTTCATGCTTCATGTTTTTTCCATTTTTAAATGGTGGAAAAAAAGGAGAGAATGGTTTTTCCCATAAAGTGACTTTTTTACCATCACGATCACATCGCTCTGTCAAATGCACTCCCCTCTCCTCGAGACCTTCTGGTGGATCGCTAGTGGTTGCCAGCCGTGGGTGTCACTATGATAGGGACAGAATGGTAAAACCCTCGAAGATACCCCTTCGTCCCCACTGCATCCGTCTACTACATCACCACGGCCCATCCAAACATAATGCGATAGCAGGCGGATGAGAGACGCCAGATAAATGGAGGGTGCGGTGTAAGGGAGGGTGAGGGGAGGCCATCCGGTGACCTCAGCCTGTGATCGAATGCTCTTCCCTGCTCCCCTCGGACGATTATTAGCACAGATAGCCAAAGCTACCCGAGGGATACATTAAACACCTTTACAACCACTATGCGATGCTAGAAATAACCGCCTTCTCGTAATACTGCCTCAAACTTACGACATTCACAGGATATGGAAATCTATAAGCAAAACAAACATTTACTAAAACCTTTTAGCAGTAAAAAGTCTTGAGTTTTAAATTAACTCAATTGGCATAAGCGGCAAAATAATTCAAAACGGGTTTATACAAACTCCAACGGAAGTAGTAATAAAATGGACGTAGGGTGGAGACAGGGGGAGGGGGAGAAGGGAGGGAAGAGGAGGGGAGGCTGCTTACTTAGGCCATTACGGCTTTGGTCAGGTAAGATTTAAAACAAAACCTCTAACACATTTGTTTATTTCCTTTCTTTTAAGGAAAATATAAACGTAGTGTAGGCTGTACAATGAGTCTGAAGGTAAAGTTGGTGAGGAAGATAGTGGAGGAGAGAGATAGCTCCGATAATCCCAGTGAGAACTAACTCGACTTTATACAAGGAAATGGAAAGAGTTGCACCTCCCCCCATCCCTCGAAAGTAGCAATAAGCTGATTCAATAGGAAAGAGGAATTATTATCAACCAACAGAAGGCTTGGAAGTCAGCAAGTTGGCCTGAAAAGAGCAATTCGATTTTCTGCGGGAAGAGTTTGTTTTGATTGCGATTTAGAAGGGGGAGGAGGGGACAACCTATTTCCACCTTACCTATCATAATTGCCGCATCTGGAGTCCTTGCCGGCGTCATACCAACCGAAAGGAGTGCGACGGAGCCTACGTTATCAACGTTTTTAACGGTTGGAAGGCTACCCAATATGGTACGAGGGCCGCGCGGCAGAGCGGAAGTGCAATCGGCGGAAACTCATTTGCCCGCGTTGTTAAACACGCAGCAAAACAAAATATCAGGTGGCTGCAGCAAGCACTTTCACGAAGAGCACAAATTGGCGTTATTTTGGTCGGACAGCGCGCGTCGGCAGATTCGAACGGACCAATCGTTGGAAAGAAAGGTCCAGGTCCGCGGTTCATCAATGCAGAGCGGCATAGTAGGCCCACGGTAAATGTCAGATTTTTCTGAAAAAAAAGGAAATCTTACCAAGCTTCCCAAAGCCAGATTTTATGTGCTGGAATTTACACGCATCTCCTAATGCCTAACGAAAAGGTCAGAACGTAGAATGACCAAGCAATCCAAGATCTCACCACTGGTTCTAATTCGAGAAGGGTTTCTCTTCTTCGGTTTTATTCCATAAAACCAGAAATTGAATGAGGTTGGCTCATTGTTTTTGCAAAATCAATTCAGCCAATGATTTTAAACGCCTGCCTGCCGCCACAGAGAAAACAGTTAATTAAAACCATCGTCAAACAAAAAGCTGTTTAAACTCACAATTTCGCATAAGCAAATTGATGAATATATCATTAGTCAATAAAATTTGCTTAATAATATAAGTTTTGTTGGGAAATTTCGCGAAATTATTGTTGCCCCTCAAAGCCAAGGTCATTTCTTAAAAATAAAATAAACACTTTTGATTTAACACAATATGTAGCGTCCTAAGACTTTCCTGAAGACGAAAGAAGACGTAGTAACTGGGCAGAATATACATGCATGTGGCATGAAAAAGACATTTACGCTATTGGCATAATCCGAATTCCAGCCCACCCGGTGTGGTACAATGGCCAAGTCAAAAGTAGCCGTTCACCAAAACTGAAAGTCAAACAATTAGCGTATTACAATATAATAGCAAATTATAGCCACTTTTACTGGAATTATTTATCACGTAAGATTTTTGAAGCACTTAATGCGTTTCGGGTATCTTTTATGGTCTAAATTGTACGCGAGGTGTTTTATAGTTTTATTGGAACCAATGATGAGGAAGCAATGTGCTAAAAGTTCTTTATAAGTATTTTTAAGCCATAAAGTTAGAATTTGCCAATTAAAGGCGTCATTTAAACATGGGTTGCGAAAGTAAAATACTACTTTTTACTTATATAAAATAAGTAGAACGCTATTTCCTTGCTATGAATGGACGTGTGAGGTGGCATTTGTAAATTAATTTATTTATAGTTCAACAGTTCTGATGTAATTTGATTCATTTCTTGGCATTAAATAGCATCTGCAAGTGTATTGTGTTTGGAATATTGGCTGTTAACAAGGTAGATTAAATCAGACAGCCAAAAATTTGAGCAGCTTCCGGTGGGGAGTAGTTTGACTTGTTTTAACATTTGTGCGCACTTGTAAAATGTCTGCAATTGTTAATGCACGTAATAACAAGGAAAAATATTTTTTCCCATCTTTGGGAATCTTTACTTTACCCTTGACTAACTTTCCATTATCTTAAAACTGCATCGCATAAATTGCAACTGAACATGGTGGATGTGATTCAAGTTTGCCAGATCTACAAACCCAGCTTACAGTTGTTGCAAGGCTGGGAATAAGTAACTTTTTCGATTTTCTCAGAAGATGTGGAATGCGATAACGGGCCATGTTTCCAAGGCTGGTTTCGAGGTACGCAAAAATCTAATGAGGAAATGCCTAAAGGTAGATGCACTGTAGCTAAGATGATGCAACATCTTGCATGAGGAGATAAACTTATGCCCTACTACAAACTAAATTAAATTGCAATTGGTATGCTAATCAGAGCTCTTTCCAATGTTTAATATGTAGAAGGTGAAGAAGGGAAAGGGGCAAAGCAAATCCTTTACGTCTGGAACAATATGGAAGGGAAAGGTAATCCAATCCACCATACAAACGCTTCTCATTTACTGTTCATGACCAGACCATAATAAGGTCTAGAGACTAACCCTAATTCCTTTCCATCTTCCCGCCACCTCATAAAAACGCGCGATTGCTAATTTGTTTGTGTGTCTTGTTATGCGAGGTGGCCTTTGTATTACGGAAGTAAGCAAACAAACGCATCATTGGTTAGTCTCCAATTACCCACTCACAGACGATTCCACCCTTCAAAGGCACCCAGTGCCTCGCCCTGACGGGACTACTCCTGGCCTGGATGTGTATGCATGGGGGACGGCAGACTGAAGGCCACTTAATTACACTTGGGACCAGTCTACTGGATTCACTACAACTAGGTGTGCTCGACAACTTCTTCAGGAGAAAGGACCGGAATTTTCTTCAGTCAGCCTAACGAAAAGAGCATTTTTTGTATTTCAAGACACTGAGAGAGGAGCCTTTATAAGGCGCTTTTGATTAGGAGGGACGTAGGGGAGGAGATAGTGCCTCATTCACATCTTCCGTAGTCCCCTCTTATTTGCCTAGCTGATGATTATCACCCTCTTTTTACATTTCGCACTTACGTGTTTGCAAGAAAGGAAAATAATTCGTAAATAAAAGTGAATTGATTTAGAGCGGAGGCGATCAGTACTACTACCTTTTTGCTCCTGAGAGTGGGAACTTGTGTAGAAACACAATATGCACGCCCGCATCTCACGGAGAAGAACCATCAAATCCCTGAGTGTTTCGTGACATTTTAACTCTGTTTTGGTAATGGGCCTCTTTGGAGTTCCATCGAATGATCTGGCCTCTAGGCAATGCCAGTAGCCTACGATCCCCACTGTACGTCTGCAATATACATTTTGCCCGGGAAAGTCTCGACCATTCAAATCTGACGTCGCTTTCAGTATTAATGGCTTTAGCCTTTCCGTTTTAGATGTCTACGAGATTCAAAACATGTATCTTTTTTCGGTGACGATAATAATATCCAGACAACACAATCCAAAACTTTTGCAGCCCCTAGGGGAAATGGGAGAGGGCTGAGTGGGAGTCTTGATGGAATAGCTTTATAACTACACAAAAGGGACACAGACAAGACTTCATGATATCCAGATAGTAGCTAAACCCGCAAGAGCTAAAGATTTCATGTAAATTATAACACACAAGCAGCATAAAAGTTCTTCCTTCTGTTAAGTTGGTGTACGGTCGGGAGTTTTCCCACCTGCCTCCGGAAGCAATTACCAAAAAGTTGTCAACCACATAGCTTGAGCATCAAAGTTTGCATAAGTTCTAACTCCAAGGATGTGGTTTCCGCAATTCCGGAGCCTTCATTGCAAGGCTTTCAAAGGCCCGAGTGCTCATTGTTCTCCTTTCTTCTTAACAGTTTTATCCAAAAGGCAAGTTGTTTGTCAAATCAAATACCTTTTTCCCGGGGAAGCGTGCAGTTAGAAGAGGACTGCAATTGGGCTATGCCCAATTTTAGTTTGCTGAAAAAAAAGGGAAAAATTGAAATTTGCTCCCTAGGTCGTAAACAGTCACAGGCAAGGGGTGGGAGGTTTTAAACATTAACCAAGTAAGTAGGAATTTGGAGCCCCTGAAGTCGTAATTACCCGGAATAGTATAAATTGATCTGTCGGTGGTCTTTGAGCATTGAAAAAGTGTCAAGCTACCAGATAGGAACATATTTATCCGTCTCTCTGTCTATCTGTCCATCTATCCACCTGTCTAGCTGTCTCTTTGCCTCCCTACCTGTTTGCCTGTCTGTTTACCTATTAATGCAACTGTCTGTCTGCCTGTCTGTCTCTCTAGCCATCCATCTCCTTGTCTATCTGTCTACCTATCTATCCATTCCTGCCTGCCTACCTACCTGCCTGTCTGTATATCTATTTGAAGGTTTTCTGTCGTTTTATCTTTTTACCTGTCCGTCTGTCTAGAATCTGGCACCGCACAGTTCAACCCACAGTCGGATAAATCCAGCTGTGTGTGGCCTTAAACTTATCAAATACTTCCTGTTCCTATCTTTTCCCAAAAAAATATTTTATCAAAAAATAAATGACATTGTAAATAACTTTTCTGGACTTTTGTTATGTAAAAGGATGCTGGGAAAGAAATCGAGTGGTTACATAAAAGGTTCGATGAAAACACTTGCCTCCTCAAATCCACCGCCTTTGGATTAGCAACCACTCAATGTAAAACCTCAAAACAGGTGCCACAAATTGTCGGGGTGTTTGGTTAACAGAGCTATTAATTCAAACTGGGCGATTATTTCTGCAGTAGAGTAGATTGCTGATCGTTGTGGAAGTAGTGTGGTTGACTGACCGATTGGCTGGTAGATGGAAGGCCAACATTCGGGCAGTGCAACGCTCCATTTGGCGCAAAAGCAATTGTTTTGTCAGCTAACTACCTTTTGAAGACAAGATTTAAGTGTAGGTAACAATTTTAAGTAAGGAAAAACCAGATTACCCTTGCAGACTCGCGCTGACACCGTATGAAGTGCTGCTACAGCTTTACAACGGCCCTGTCCATTTTTTTTTTCGAACTCACTTACTGGAGGGAATTTGAAGGGGACTGGTGCAAAGCGTGATAATCATAGACTTCTACGATTACGCAGTAATTTAATTCCTGTTTTAAAAGTTATTGAGGATGAAAAGGTAAATAGTATTGACTTTTGAAGTACCTATTCTTAGGTGGTTGAAGATTCTCCTTTAAAAAGTAAAATGGGTGAAATTCCTTCCCATCCATATGGGACTGTGTGGCTTTTACTAGTAAAGGAGGTTTCCCGGTGAGGCCCAAAAATATTTAATGTCCCTGATTAGTGGCTTTGACGTGCTTTGGAGAAGCAGCGACAGTGTTGGCAGAGGTGAGTTTGAAGTTGGAGTGATAAAGTTCTAATTTGAGAACAATGTCCGAACACTCAAGCTGCCTCAATTTCAATAAATTTGTTAAAAATTCTTGTAGTTTTTTGCATGCTGGAGCGCTTGAGGCCATTGGAGAGGCGCATAACCCATGGAAGACTGAAGAGCCCGCATAGTCAAGCACCCAGTTAAACAAAACATCCAATCACTGCCCTCACTTTTATTTGACCCACTACTTATTTGCCATGGCAACAACGCTTTAGTGGAATGTAAAACCCTGTGAGCTGAATGCAAAAAATCCCCTGTCTTCTGTGCATGCTACTGATAATCACAATTAAGTAGAGCATTTTTCCGCACCTTCAGTCCGCCTATTCATCCACCCTATCGCCATATTTAAAGTGTATTCAAATTCAAAGTTAACTGTCAAAAGTAAGAAAACCACAGATTTGGTGAAAAACAATGTGGTACCGTTATTAATCACTGGAAAAAATTTTTATGGATGTTTACAAAATATTATCTAGGTGGGTTTCCTGGTAGGCGATTGGGATGGTGTTGCGTAAATGTGGATTGATGGTGTCTTTCAGGCTCCTATTAGCACGTAGCAGGCTTGCCACAATAAATGGCGGACACCAGGACATGTTAGCAAGGTAGGAGGGGAGGGAGAGTTGAAGATTACTTCTGTCTCTGCACTGATGACCTATGCCCGGAAATCGTTGCGAGGTGACATTCAAATGAAACCGGTTCTCATTCAGAAATGTTTCACTCTCAACTGGATGCCCAGTCTTCTTAAATTTTACGCATTTTCTCGTCTCAGCCAGTTGTCTTCGTCTTTTGGACCAAAAGTGTTTTGAATGGCTGTGCATACGAACGAGGATCTTTTCATCGGGGGCAGTGGATAAGTCCTCTTTTGCCTGTTTCAACAGTGGCTGTGAATTGAAGACTGATTGGTTACTTCTTCTCAAAGGGGCTGGGTGAGAAGGTTGTGCCTCACTAAAAGAATTTGGAATAATGAGGTCACTGGAAACGCTCATATGGTTTGTTGGTAAGCTGATGGCATGACGTGGCGCTTTTACAGATCCACGCGGTGATGATGAATGGGATTGGGTGGCAGTTACCGACCTTCCCATTGTGGCGTTGGCAAGTGCTACGGGTCTACCACCAGCTTGAGGCAGTACTGCAATACTGACACGCCAGACATGGTCAGAATGGGAGTAGAAAGACACACGATCAGAGACATCAGAAACAGCAATTGGGTCCGTGACAGGCACCTCATTGCTAACAGAGTTGAGGGCTGCCTTCCGAGGGGTTCTTCTTCGTTTCACCTGGTATTCATCAGCGGATACAGTTTCTTTCAGTTGCAAACGATGTTTAACTCTTTCTATCGTATCATACTTGTCACTTTCTGTCGCGGTGATGGGTTGCAGCCGGGGAGTCTGTTGCCGACGCAAATTGCACTTCCCAATCCACTTACCAAGTTGGTGTTTGAAATGACTGTTAAGCGAAGCGTAGAGAAAGAAATTTGCGGAATAGGTAATTAGGCAGATGCAATTTGTGATGGCACGATACAGGCGATAGGGTGGACAGCACGAGAGAGGCTGCGACGACCACCCAAAGAGTCGAAGAACGACTTGGGCATTGGACACATAGGCAAAGGCCTGGGGTATTTGACCGGCCAGAAAGAGCCCGACTATGGCCACCAGGAGAACGGTGAGTTTGCGTTGTGCTGCTTGGCGTCTCTCATTTCGGCGATTTGCGGCGAGTGTTGCAGCACTTGTGACCAGCCCTTCCTCCTTGCTATGCAAGTGATCTTGGGGCTCGGCGGTCAGTAAGTCGGGTGGGTGATTTTTAGTCTTGTGCGCCCTTCGTGAGATTCGCCATCGTGCATTTGCAATTCTGATGAACTTAATAAGGTAGAAGTTGATGACGCAGAGGAGAAGGAGGGGTATTACATGCACGAAGATAGTACGCAGCCAGGTATATACAGCATAGCTTTGAGATTTACCGAAGTCGGTTACATCTACACGCCACTTTACACTGAAACTGTCATCCACACTTGTGGTTGTATTATCGGCTGGATACTTCATAATTATCCGTTGACCGAAAAAACATTGGAATGTTTATGAGAAGGCTCATTAAAATCACCTTGATTATGGTCACCAGGACGTTGTCATTAAATATTGAAAATAGGCGTTGAAAGGAGAGAATGATGGAATTAAAGCAGTGGTGACACCCACTGCAACAGGGGAGACGTAACCTTGTGAGGTGGCACTTAAAGTTGAGGCGATGCGATTTGGTCTGATGGCAGAGCAAGTTATGAAGCCTACACTTCGGTCGCCACATTCCCGGACAGCTTATCTTATGCATCGCTACGTAGCGTTTAATGGACAACATGAGGGTGAGGAAAATACTGGCCGTTTCGGAGGCATTAGAGACAGGAAATTGCACGTAGGCTGTGTAGTAGGATATACCGAGGCGAAAACTTTTGAACCAGGGCTTTAAGCAGGCTTCGAGAAACCCCTTACACCTACAAGTAAACAGTTAAAAGGTCGTTTAAAATGCCACCTACTTACTGTGGAGAAGCCACTCATACAGCGCAAAACACGGTCCTCTTTTTAAACCAATTTCTTGCTAATTTGTAATATAAAGTAAGTACATCGACAAGTGATTCCGGCAAAGATGACACTTTTGGATGAACTCTTTAAAAATCTGTCAAGGAAAACCACTTTTTTAGTTTAAGTAATTCATGTACTTGTTGTTTAACCAGACCACTACATAAAAAGTGGCTAATTTAAGTAGGGGTATGCAAAATTTAGTAAAATATTTAGAAAGAGTGAATTCAGAGGCGGTAAATCGTTGGTACCCACCTTTGGAAGCCGAGAGGAAATGTGCACAGGAGGGTTATAGCATCAGTAACCGACAAAGCAATCATCATCTTGTACTCTGGTCCCACAAAATCTGGTTTCCTGAAGACCTGGCAATTGATAATATTCAACACGAAGCCAATCAAGCAGATGGTAGGCTGCACGTAGAAGTAGACTACAAATTCAGGCAATGTGAGATCACAGGGGCTGCGCAAACTAGAGGCATTGACTGCGGACTCCATTCGATGGGGCAAAGGGAATAAATGATCAGTGATTTGCGGTTTCACCATTTTTCGCCTCCCACCAACCAGTGATCCCTTTGTCAACAAACATCTCTCCCAGCCAATAGGAATGCCCCAAGACCTCTTCCAATTCTCCCATTGGCTAGTTTAAGGGGAACATGTTGGATACTACTTGAACTCATTATTTTTATTAAAAGTTAGTAATATAATTGTTAAAATACTCGGAATTTTGTTACTCTGGGAGAAGTGATAATGAGGCGCCTAAATTTATTTCTTGGCGCATGACAGCCTTAATTACACCAGCTTAGGAAAATCAACTCCATTTTGTTCTTCAGAAGCGGTTTTTGATTTCCCCTTGAATTGCTCCGGAGTCGCAAATTAACCGTCGATTACATTAAAAAACAGATATTTTTATTGTGGAGAATTCCTAGTCTTTTTAATGGTTAATAATCAAGTTCAGTAGCTTGCACTGTCATGGGTTGTTGACTAGGTATAGACGTCCAGTGAAACTATATTTGGAAGTAAAAAAGGCACAAAAAAGGATTCAAGGAGAAAATGTCTTTTACTCTGTCATTCGGATGACAATTTAATCTTTGTAATTCCCCTGCCAATTGGACATTCTTTGAGCATACCCATTTCAAAAAACATTTGAAGTTTTCCTTGCAATTTTTTCCAAAAAGGAACAAAGGTTCATTGTTAATGCAAATGAAGCACTTGTAGAAAAGCAAAATATGAGTTTTGAGGGGAAATTAAAAAGAGTGGGTTTAACTTAGTAGGGAGAAAAGTCCCAAATTGTTGGAGATTATTTTTCAACGTTAAATTTTTCACAAATAAACAAGAGCTCGATTTTTAATTCGCTTTCTTAAGTAAAAAGGTATTATTAGAAATAATGTATTATTTGTACTGTTTTGTCCTTCTACCTACAGGTCCAGACCACTGGATTGGGAAATCTCGGTTAGAGGAGGGCAAATGATTAATGTTTTATGGAGGATCTCCTCCCCCTCTTCCTCCTCCTTCTCCTCCTCCTCCTCCGTCTCCTTGGTGGTTGATTTCTTCTCGTCAGTCCTGGGAGTGATTTGATCCGTATGCTTTTCAACCAAAAGGTGTATTTCAACAGCGTCATTTTGTATACTGCCTCGCACTATTACAGATTTGTTGGAGTACACTTTTCTAGGTGGTAACCGGGGGTATAGGACAGACCTCGCGACCGAGAAGGGGACATCAATCACCACAGTGGTGACAGCCTCTAATTTTCTCCTCTACGCTTTAACCATTCGTAAAGGGTCACGTTACCCCAGCGACTGATGTCCTCCCCTTCTCAATCCGTGGGAATGAAACCGGAGGTAAAAGGATAAAACAGAGGGGGAGAAAACTTTTTTTGCCAGAAAAAATTTGGTAAACCGTTTCATGCAGTCACCTCTAGCACCGGCTTCGGACAAACAGAATTTTTGAACCAAATAAGTTTGCAATAGGATTTACGAGCATCAGCAATTCGCCGGAATGAATGTCGTAAAGCACATTCCGGGCTGGAATTCAATTATACCGGTGTGGGATGCAGCCAAACAAAATAATTACTTCAAACAATGACAATAAATTAGCTTTATTAGGTTTTCCAACTTGCAATTAAATTTTCTCCTTATTATTAATCACTTTAAAATTTGGGGGAAAATGTTGAACTATTTTTCCCCAAAGTTTTCTGTCGACTGCAGGAGTTAGTTGCAGCTTCATCTCCACTTTCAGATCTAAAGTGGATCATAATTTAAGATGCACTCTGTCAAATGGAGCCTCTGCCATTGCATCAGCACTGGCAAATACGACGGCAAAAATTGTGTGTGCTTGAATTTTTTAGTGTGTCGTGTGTCGGCCGGAGGCAGGTCCTCCTGCTTGCATAATGCAGCATACGCAGTTCACAAAGAATGCATGGAATTGCCAAAGGGGCTATAAACCTGGCCAGGACGCCGAGAGGCACTTTAGTGGGGGAGGCGGTGAAAATCCCACCTGTGAAATAATGACCAGCTGCTTCACCTTTTGAGGTACATGGTTTTTTTTCCTTCATTGGTGGGTGATTTTACTCGGCTGTCGGAGCATTCAACCAGTCTCTGACGTGGCAGCAAAACCACTGCCTCCCGCCTGGTCGTTATAATTTCTTTTGTGATAAGTAATGGGCACCACAGATGAACACTTTTAGTGACGCGGAGGTACTTGTCATCACACCAGAATGTGACACCCAACTCTCAATTGACACAAAAATAAATTTTAAGGCTAGTCGCTTTTTTTATTCACCTGATCTTCTTTCATCCTCTTTGATCAGAACCAAAGTTGATTTTTTACTTATTTATTTTTTAAAGAACAAATCTGCATTTCCAAATATAAATAGGCCAATTTCGAAATATTCGGGTAAAGTTTGAGATGTGCACAACTTTGGCATGTATGGGAAGGACTTTTGACAAGCCACCTCGGCAGGTATTCGCACAATGACAAGCGCCCCACGTGATCGCTTGTGACTGCCATCGAATGTGTGTAGTCTGACAATCCACACCAATTTGGGCTCCGTTACAATCCACCATACTTTATGAATAAAAGGAAGGCACAAATTAAATAATATTTTTTTGCCTATTGTGCTCAGTTCCTACTTCTTTCAACTTTGCACCTTCAGATCGAGCTCTGTCTTTGGTGTCGGGATAAAATCAAGTTACTCCCTGGGCATGTCTCCAGACGTCCAGACGGTTATCCCCCAAAGCAATGTAAGTTAGTGTCTGAGTCAAAAAAGCAACACACACTCGCAGACGGACATCTTAAATGCGTCCACTTGAAGGCAGCCACCACACTGAAAGGCGATTTGATCAGTTGACTTTTTTCCATTAGCTGAGACACGTGGAAGGGAAAGGGGCAACAGCACCACAAATTGTTCAGATTTTAGGACTCTAAAATTTCACTAAAGAGCGAGAGAGAAGATGGAGGCCTACATACTTAATGGTTAGATAAAATCTCCAATTAAGATGTTTGTCACTTCTTGGGCAACCTTAGTGTCCACCTCAAGGTTGGTCGCAAATTACAGACTTCGAATGAGGAAATTTGCTTGATTTAATATTTTTTTTTCGCGTGCTTGATAAAAAAACCAAGCCCCCAAATGTCAATGTCACGCCTTCTCAATAAAACTTAAGTGGTGATAATGCCAACAATTTTTATTTTATTTTATCCATCAAGTAAATCTAGAAGGAGTAGGTGGCTACAAAAAATTTCATAACTGTCAAAATTGTCATCCGCCTGTGTTGATTTTTCAGTCACTTGCCTAAGTCCTACTAACCCCGTCCTTTACGGCAACTTTTTCTGGGCCCACTTTAACCACCCCAATTTTTTTCCCTTCCGCTGTGAGGTCTAACCCCCGAGCCCAGCCTCTATAACCACACACTGTTATTCACCAGCTTCTGCAGGGTGGAGGCCATTTAAAAGTGTAATCAAGGCATTGTTGTTATCGCTATCACACCTCCGTTCTCTGTTTTTTTGCAGGAAAAAAAAACAGTTGATTTTGTACTACCCCGATCCCCGATTCCATTATAATGTCGGCTTTGCGTGGGGGTGTGGGGGAATTAGTTCCCCCTCCACCACTCCCGTTGCAGGCACGTGCAGTGCAGCCATTAGTCGGGAAGAAGTGAGGGGTAAAAAAACTTTTTTTCTGCAAACAGTTAAAAAATTCATGAAAAAGGAGAAGTAAATGTGCATTGATTCGCCTCCGGATAAGTTAGACATCGACAAGGCGACGAAGCGTCCCCTTCCGTGCAATCTTCTCTACCGCCCTGGCTGGGCGGTGGGGGGAAGGGGGGGAATTCCCTTACTGCGACAGCACGGATACTAGACAGCAATGTCCATTCTCTTTAGCAAACAGACATTACTCTTGTGTTACCTATAATAGGCGCTAAGTAACCATCGCCATAAATAAATTAGACAGTCGACGAGGTGGACATTTTTAGCAGCCATTAGAGTCATATGACCCAAAAGCCCCACTCACCATGGGAGAGCAAAAAAATTGCTACTTTTCACTAGTGGTCTCGGGCAGACTAAAATAAACGTAAATTAGCGTAGGAAATCGCAACTTTTATGGTGTCATTGTCATAATCACCCATTTCTCCTTTTATCTGTTTACACACAGCCAATTGGATTTGTAATTACTAAAAGTACAGCATTGGCTTATTTTAGGTGTTCGTTTTTAAAATAAGGCAAAATACTATACATTAAGTAATAAAAATGGAAAAAAATAAATTTGGTTAATTTTTTTCTCAAATAGAAGGAAGTCTTGGTGAGTCAGGTCTCCACCGTTTTTATATTGGCTACCGCTTTATGTGATTCACCAATAAAATTCAAGATCTTGATTAAAAGGCACTCAATCTGTCTCCAACTAATTAAATAATTAAGGAATGGAGTAAAATTTTTCCCTCCATTTTGAAATAAGGTAGGCAGTCGTATAAATCTCGCTTGTTGGAGGGCAAAAATTTCCCGCCCACGCTAAGACGCGACCTGCATGGACACTTGAGCCTGAAGGCTGCCACCTTCTAGGCCCTTTAGAAATGCGGCATCTTCAGGCTCGCTGAAGCGTTGTCACCAACTCCAAATGAAGCGTCGCCTTAAAAGATACGGAAAATTTGAAACTGACGCCGCTTATTTTCTTCCTACTTGGTTACACCTCTTGATCACTAAAAATGTCACCGTTAAATACTAATCATTATGCTGTACTTTTGTCTCAAAAACGGACAAAATGGGGTCAGTTTGCACTTTTCTGTTTTCAATGAGAAAGATCACGGGACTTTTGTTGCCTTTTAAAGCGCCACCCATCAGAAACATGCGACAACCTTCACGTTTGTCGCCTGACTTTCTGTAAATTCGAATTCAATAAATAAATTGCTTCACTAAAATCTTGATAAGTAAAATGAGACATTTATAAAACAAAACAAATTCAATTACTTTCGCCTATGTAAAAATGTGGGAACAGGTTTCCAAAGGGCTGCCACTCGACTTAACAGGATTGTTTATTTCGAAAATCCACATCCTAAAAAAAAATTGAAATTAAGCCTTTCCATTTTACTTTTGTTAGCAAAGACACCATTTTACAAACCTTTCTACACTTTTGTAGTGCACATAACCGCTTAATTCATGCTCACCTGTAGTACTTATATTGAAGTCCTTCATAAGTAGTATGTACGCCCGTCTAATTCGAAATCAAAATGACATTTCTATAGTTCCATACTAACAAGAACTATAGCATAGCATGCTTATCAAGCTTTTAACTACTCTTTTCAAAAATTATTCCATGCGTAGAACTGACTTCCATTAATGAAGCACAGCATGACTTAAATACAAAATGATTTACCAAATTTTTCCACCTTAACGTAAAAAATTGAGTACAATTATTTACATTTTTATGCTAAAAGTGCAATATGTTAATTGAATTGTACTGCTATCACAAGTGTGTTTATGCAACTTCTCAAGTCTCCCCTGAGGAGCCGGGGGGTCACTGGCCAGCGTTAAGTCGCCGTAAGCCGCGGAGGAATGAAGTACGCGCGTGGTTAAGTCCACAGTTAAGCAAAATATCAAATCGCTGCATATAACTACGACTTAAAAATAACAATGCTTTTAGTACTGCCATGTAGGCAAAGTAAGGGTGGTAGTAGGCTCCGACATGCTTCCTTTTTTCAAATCTTAAAGATTAACCCATCTAAGGAGTTAAAAAAGTGGGTCAGAGAAGGCGGAGGTCCTTTTGAAGACGCTTAAAGTACAATTGAAGCAATTTGAGCCCATCGGTCTAGCAAATGCCCTTTCACTCGACTACAATGGAGTAGAGCCTCCTCGTCTACTATTTGGAGGAAGTGTTGCAGGTGGTAGTAGAAAGCACCACCTCTAAGGTAGATGCATCACTGAACAGAGAGCACTTTACTCCTGGCAATGAACAATTCAGAGAGACCATAATTCAAAAATCTATGGTTAAGCTATCAAAAACAGCTTCCATCCAGTTAAGATAATCATGAGACGGTAGGGAGGGAAAGAAGGGAATAGTACAGAGCAAGGCGGTGGCTAATTCCTTCCATTAGGAGAAGGCAGTAGACTTCAAAACCACCCATTTGTGACACACTTCTTACTGCTCTTAAAAACGAGCCATGAACTTACAAGAGGCCTACCGACTTGTGCTGAGAAATAGCTTTTCCTTTACAAAGTTCTTTAAACAAACAAACTCTACATTGGTTAGCCCCAAGCGATCTCCTCACTACCCGTCTCCACAAGACTGCTTGTTTTGTGGGTGTGAGGCGATCTGCAGATACAGAGGTTCACCATAGAGTGTTCATTAACACCCAAGGTGAATCTACTCAATGGTGGTCTAGGAGACTTTCCTCTAAAGGATGGTTAGGAAATCAGCCAATCACATTCCTAGTTCCTCAAGGCAACACATGACCTTGTTTCTCATGGCACTTTAAAGAGGGAGACTCCGCCTCTTTCTCACCCTCCGTATTCCATAGACAGCTCTCCAGGTGACGATTACCCCACATGTCAAGCCAACTTTTGTCTTGTTGAGAAGGCCTTATAGAGCGCAATGCAAATGTAAAGTTTTTTCCTGTCAGGTAGCACTCTTTTTTAAAACATCATGAAGCCCTTTGTTTACCTTCCATTCTTCACGCATGACATAAAGTCACCGTGCCACAAATTCTCACAATGAAGCATACTTTGCTGTCAACGATGTCTAACCCATCAAACACCCCCAGCAAAAATGAAATAAAAGTGGCAAGGAATGAAATAATTATGGTGACATTTACGATATAAGGGCGTAAAGTTAGCAATTACTTTAGCGGGGTTATATATCACGTCCTTTTGGCACGAACAGTAAATCCCATATGCTGAGGCTTGGAGCTCCACTGCGCTGAAGACCTTCGTGGCACGTGAAGTTGGGTCGGTTGGTGGATTTTCGAATCACGAATTCATCAATCACTGTGGGGTCCTCCTAGAGGGAATGCATAGCCAACACAATGTAAGCAAGTGGGTTTTTTTCTTTGTTCCTGACCTTCAATAAAAAAGGGAACATGGGTCGTGGTCAAAAAACTCATTAACGTGAGAGGTTACGCTTAGCTAGGTGTTGTATAAGTTCCTTCTTTGCCAAAAGAAGGAAAAACAAAGGCCTACAATGGCCATTTTTAGATTTCATGAGCAAAAAAAGGAGGGAAGACCCAACTCAGACAAAGTGTTTATTGCTTGACAATCGGTGCTTCTATCGCTGGCTCTCGCTATCCCACTCCGATTCCTCCTGATTAAATAGTTTTATTATTTTTGGCTCTCCAGCTTTTATGCCTCATAAGGTAAGTGTGAAAGGCGGTTAATGTATGATGAAATCTTACAGAAGGAATTGTTTTGCACACCAAAATAAATTCAACGACTGTTTCCTTTTTTGAACCAATAAAGAACAGGCGCGGCCACCCTTGATATTAAAATGGGCTATCAAAATAAAATAATTCCAACTTTTATAAAAAATAGGGGATTAATGCTGAGGAAATCATTTTATTTTTACAAAATCCGTGAGGAAGCTAACCGTAGTACAAAAGCTTTTATTTGATTGTGAGGAAAAATGAATTTTTTCTCAGTAAATGTAAGTGCATAAATCATTTCAAATGACAGGTGTCGCTTTTTGTTCTTATTTTAATGCCAATTTTTGTTTTTAAATGCCACTTTTGCGCAGGGAGCGTTCAACCCCCCTTCCCCCTATCTACCTCATTCCACCCATCTAAACTGCCACAATTGATTAATCAACTAGTCAATCAACCTGTCAATCAATTAATTAATCATGCTGATGGGCGGAGGGCAGTCAGGAGGACATCTGCAGAGCGCTCTTCATTCTTCAAAAATATACAATTCTTTTTTCTTCCAGCCTAATTATCGCCAGTTTGAGGAGAGGAAGTACAGTGTAGTGGTATAAAAAACCAAAAGTTTATTTTTAGAAAATCAAGTCATTCTACTACTGATACTACTTATTTCCCTATTTGAGTAGGGTGGAGGCAGCATTAATGGGAGCTCTAGGCTTGACAACATTTCTCCAATCTCTTTACAGGCACTTTTAATCTGACGCGTACTTTGGCCTTCATTTTCAGCCCTAATAGTGGTAAACTCATTGCCATTCATACAAGAAAATTATTTGAAATAAGTAAGTTCTTATTAATTATTTTCAAACGTACGATCTCTCATTAACTCCATGGTGTTCCCCCTGCAACCGAAAGAAGTTAATAAGTAGTTGTGCAGGAGCCATGCTTAGTAAAATTGTTTGAATCGCCAATTCATGAGGAGCCGAGGTGATTCGTGGTAAAGAAATTTTTTTTAAAAATGCCTCGTCTGTGCATTTCTCAGATAGAGACGGGTATAAATACCACTAACATTTGCTTCCAAAGGAGTAGACAAATTTTCCTTTTTTATATAGACCTCTTTTTACTTTTCGTAGATCCCATTTATCTTGACTGAAGTAACTCCGACTGGCAATTTCCTGCTGAAGTTCTCTGGTTGACATATGATGTCAAAAGTGAATGCTGATGGGACCTACAGCCCAGAGTTATATGCACAAGTGTTGAAATTTATTTTTCTTTAAATACGGAAAAATTACTGTTGAATTTACACAAAAAGTGGATAATTGAGATGACAGCCTCTCCCGCAAACAAATAACTTGTTGACTGTCCAAAAAATGACTGGCCATACACGTAGGTTTTTTCATCACCTTCGATTTCCATGTGTGAAAAGGCATTCCAGTTGGGAGTTCTTTTTTCCACTGTGAGATGAAAAATCCCGAAAAATGGTGGGAACTTGACTTTTTTAAGAAGTTGCTTTATCATGCCGGCTGGGTCATTAATGTGTGTGGATAGGCAGTGGTGAGACCCTTCCTCTAATTATGCATTCTCCCACACTTTCCACATCTAAAGTGGGGCGCTTTATCCCTGCTCCACAATAAAGAAACGAGCAAAAAGTGGTCTCTCCATCAGAAAAAGGAAGTTTAAAATAGAAAATATAAATTGCTCTGCCAAATGTATTCATTAAGTCACACCTAATCCGGGTGCTTCGAGTGCTCGTGTTTAACCATACATTTTTCAAAAGAATCATTTACGATTGACCATTTGAGAAGTTTTGGGCATTTTCTGACAAAAAAAGACTAGCAAAATTTCTCACACCGAAGGTGGAACATGCTAATCACACTTTTTGTGTTCAACCAATCAGATTAGAGTATCGGAACAAAGGGTCACTCCAGCGAAGTGAGGAATAATCGTAAAAGCAATTAGACCAAGAAATATTTACGAACTCACCTGTGTATTTATGCATAAAGGTTATACTTTAACAAAGCCGACTGTTTTTTTTCTTTTCACGGTGTTTGCCCTCCTACCCCAGGAAGGAAACTCGACTTAAACAATTTCGCCCGATTACAAGGGTGTTACCTTAATAAAACTTATTTATTTATGAAATATATTTATAAACAAGAGGCCTTTGTTATTTTTCAAAAACCCTTAAAATTCCCCTATTTATCTGGTCCGTCCTGACTACATTTTGCTGGTTTAGTGGGGTTTAATTTCCCGCATGTCTGAAATTACTTCAGGTGAAACAACCGCACATTCGCAAAGCTTACCGAGTAGCCTTGAAAGGGTTTCACAGAGACCTGTTCCAGATGCATATAGGTGGCATTGTGTACAGTGATCCTCATGTAGCCGTAGTCATCAGATCGAAAAGCGGACCAGGACTGTGGAGTGGGCAGAAAAGGATCCTGACTCTCTTTGTTGCCCGCTGAGCCTGCGACAATGTGTACAGGTCCTGTGGGATCGGTGTAGGGATCGTTTCCGTGACTGGGGCACAACTAAAAGTTATTCATTGTAGGGTTAGCATGCTAATACGGGTAGCGGTTGGTCTGGAGGTTGAATAAGGCACAATGAATGGACAAAAGGTGCTGTCATGGATCACGTTTCAGTCCTTTTGCCTTATGGCTTTCCCACTCGAAGCGAAGCCCACAATTCCGAGCTTGATCTCGCAAATAAAGTAGTAAAGTTCTGGCTTTGCTATAAGAGCTGAGTGGCAAATGTCAGCACCAAATGTCAAAGGAGACATAGGCTCTAAGTCTGATTTGACGGTAATTGGAGAGGGCTGTGCGATGATTAGATGACTTTAATTTACCCTCCTCATTGATGGGGACTGTGTATTAAAAGAGAACCTGGTCACCTTTCACCACCTTCCTACTTCGCATGTAGCTATCCAACACAAAGGACGGAAAATGTTTACTTTAAGAATGCAATGAAACACATTCCCCCATCCATTATGCAGCGGTGGACCGACACCCATCCGTCACTCCTTTATGATGCAAGCATGTAAAAGCTCCCAACACCCCGAGCTGCGGTGAAAACCGGAGCAACTTTTTGCACTGCCTGATGCCTAGAGCTAGTAGACTGAAGGGAAGCAAAAAGCTTGTTTCATTCCCTCATCTCACGCACTCCACCCGCCCCCTCTCCCTCCCCTCCTCAAAAAAGAAATTTCCCCACGGAATACGTGCTTTTCCACTACGGTGTGAAGAAAAAGGAGGAGAACAAAACATATTTTAAATGTGCTTGCACAGTGATTTGCCTATTTTCTGCTCTTAAAAGCAGCAATTGCAAATTAGAGTTGGGAAAAAGAAGAAAGTGAGCGGAAGGGGGGAAGTAAAATTGGCGTGAAGGCAAATGTTTGTTGCTAATTGAAGCTAAGCTTACTTTTAGAGCGGAAGCAATTGTCAAGGCAACTGTTAGGTGGAAATGCCGAAGCAGAGCTACCCATTCCCTTAAACACTTTGCAGGGAGTCAAAAGCCCAATTCGCTCTACTTTCTATTAATAACTTGGGAATGGAAACGGACGGGGTAATCGAACTGAGATGAAAAATGGGGTGGGAGTAGGTTTACTTAAAAAGCAAAGTGACTGAGTCAATGTAAGAGTCAATTTCTTTAATTGAATAGACAATTTTTGGGATTTAAGGTGGGGACGCTGAATACCTACTTAAGTAGCTGTGTCAGGCAAGGTGAGGAGGTGATCTACGCCAAGGAAAAAGGATCGCAAGGAATCTCTCACCTAGATGGCCTTTGAGACAGAATGAATTACGCTTTCTCAAAAAGTATGGCACTGATAATCTTTATTTTGAGGTCTTTGTTAGACTAACCAGCGAGAGGTTGTCAACGTGGAAATGGAGGCACTTTGAGAAAAGTTATTGTGTCTATGGGAAAAAAATAAGTGTCCAATAAAACAAAAGATCAGAATCTATTATGTTTACTTGAGTTCTAAAATTGGCTAATGCACTTTTGAATTTGTTTTTGATCCATGACAAAGGGAGGGCAAGATAAACCGTTGGGCAGTCATTGTTCTCTCCTGAGAGCGCATTTCCACCGGTGCTCGACAGTTTAATTGACTGGAAAGGAGGGACTTTATGGCTGGAAGACACGAAGGAAAGTAGTCCTATCCGTCAAGACCTTCGAGGCGAAATAGCCTTCCCTTCTAAGGACATTGTACCCGTGTGGTGATCCTCTTGCTGCCTTCCCTTTTGGACAACAGGATTAACACACGGAACAGCGTCAGACTCATATTTCACCACCTAATTTACAGAGGTAAATTTGTCTTTTTATTGTTTGACCTTCTAAACAGCGTCCAGATTTAGTTTTTATGCTTCCATTTGGCTTTCCCAATGGAGGTTCCTCCGGTTGGATAATTACGTAATTATACATTGCATTCCAATAAAAGTTATTTTTAAATACCTGTCTTTACAGATCATAAAACAAGGCAAATTTGGTAAAAAGTGGCTGCAGAGGAAAAAAAGAGTTCAAAGCAAGCTATTATTAATTAAAAGGAGAAGTGAGAAATAAAATAGCGTCATAGATCGCGAGCGAATGAAAGGCGGAATTTGTTATTTGACAGATCAGAAGGAATTTTGGTGCAGAATTCTGTCACAACTATCAAAAAATGGAGCTAAACGGTCGTAGAACTACTAAATCCTTATTTTTGATAAAGGTCTTTTCTTCATTTTGCTTGATGGTAAAGGAATTCGTGATTACTTGACACCTCTTGGATCAAGAGCCTGTTTAAGACGCTCTGATGGGACAAGGAGGGACAAAGTCAAAAGACGATCAACAGAAGGCAAAATAGACATTCTTATGATATTCTATCGAATTTTAACAAATACTAATAATAAATAAATCCTTGCGTGTTGTCACAACTGACCTTGAGTTTGTAGACGGGATAGCAACGCTCGTAGGAGTGTTCGTGTGCGGCAAACACAATGTCCACGCCTTCACGGTAGAACAACTCCTCCAAACCAAGGAGGTAGTACTTGGATATGCCGTCTGTAAAGGGTATTCCCGTCCTTATCCAATTGTCTGGATTGGTGCAGTGCTGGGGGTCATCACTGTTGGAGCAGTACATGGGTCGGTGACTGAAGGCGATTATCCACGGATGTTTGGCTCGATTTTCGGGCTTGTTTGCCTCCTTCGGTTGGATGGGAGAGTACAACAATTCAGTTGTTTAGTAAATAAACAAATTATTACAACAGGACTGCTTGGTAAAAAGCGGAAAAGTGATCAACACTACCTCTGGACAAATTGAAAAATATTTTATTTATTTTTTTTTATTTTTTTTCCAACCATGTCGATTCTTATTTGTTAAAAGATAGTAATTTAGCTATACGTGAAGGTCCTTCTCCAACCAGACGTATTGTCGGTAGATCTGTTGCGTGCCGAATTGCGGGAAGTAGTAGTAGTCGGATACAAAGGCCACAAAGTGAACTGGTCCAACATCTATGCTAAAAGTGGAAGTTTAATTCATACTTTATTGTGATTTTTTGAAAAAAAACATGGGGAAGAGAAAGCGGTTTTGTAGCATACGACCTACCTGTAAAACATGTCATCGTTTCTTTCACCGGGCATGTTAAAACGCGCTTTGTAGTGCGAAAAGTTACTGAAGCGGGAAAAAAAGGAAACAAGGATTTTATTTTCACCATTAATATCATTTTTTTGGTGATTTTAACTCCTTTTTCGGCAGAAGCTAAGTGCTAAATTATACATATCGTTTGCCGCTTTTTGCTTGTTTCTTTTAGTTGGAAAGACTAGCTTTTCCTACCCAAAGTTAGTTGGAAGGCTGTGCCTCTCCGATCCACACAACCTGTGCCCCTTTTTTAGGTAAAACAATTCGCTATTTAGCACGTCTCTGTTGCCAACACATCGTTCAAATTGTCCCATCACTTAGACAGGTTAATTGTAACACCCAGTGGGTACATATTTGGAGTCAAGCAACCTGGTTACATTGGAGGCCAGTCTCTACTGCGTAGACAATGAGTTGCCTAGAAGTCATTGTTAAGTACACCCTATAAAGAGATTATAAATACTGAGCATTAAATAACTCACTAAGCGCTTTCGTGGTTACCCACCGCGGTCATGTAAGGCACTCGAGCGGCGGTCTCTTGCATCAGTTGCATAAATGCATCGCCGAGACGTCCATTGTTCTTCAAAAGAGAAGGGCATTTAAAGATTTAATCAAGGCGACCTCTGTCAAATGCAGGCAGGGCAGGAGGCTTTATCGGGGGAGGAGGGAGGGAGGCTGGGGGGTAGGCAATAAAGTGAGTCTCTATTCTCCCTAAAATTAGACCACAACGCGAGGTCAGCGCCAGAGGGATAGGAGCAAAAATGCCTTAAAAGTTTAAATAAAGTGTTTTTTGTTTGTGGTAGTTTTATGAAAGACCCTGAGTTGTTGGTGCTTCCGTATGCAGTACCAGCTTTGCCTCAGGACAGGTGGGGGCAGTTTTATCACTTAAATATGCCTCTTCAATAACATTTGCTTCCTTTTTGGTCATCTTTCTCCTAACGCTGTCTCGAGTCAAATGTTCGCGGGTTTTTCCCTCTAGGGAAAAATCAACTTTAAGGTCACTTGAAAGAGAAAAAATTTTACCTCCCTTGTCAACTACACAAGTAAAATAAAGGAGGAGAATAATCTCTTTTCTTAACGTAACCTTTTGTTATAAAGCCAGCTATGAAAAAGCTTATTTTAAAGCACGTCTCGTGTATTTTTTTCACGTGTACCAAAATCCTTTTGTTTCTTTCCACCGGATAACCTTTGTTTTTCCAACTTACTGTATCGAAGTCGTATGCAAAATCACCATTGTGAAGTAACAATTGAAAAACTCCCGACTTGGCGTCGCTTTCCAGGTAGGGGATTGAGACGCCCCCCTCAACTCCCATGTCTCCAAGCATGGCAAATGAGAGTGGCCAATCACTGCCCGAAGGCAGTGTCCGAAATGAGTAGACGGTTGACCAGATGAATGCTTCTGTTGAGGCGTTGTTGCCTACCTTGTAAACTACAACAAATTGACATTTTAAAGGTTAGAAAAAATGGAACAGTTAAAAAGAAGCTCCTCATTTAGCGGCTAGCTACTTTGCATGCCCCAATGAATGTCGCTATGTCATTTGTCCGAAAGATGTCACGCTTAGGAGAGAGACAGACTCATTTTTACATCCTCTATTACCTTCTGGGCATAGACAAATGGTTAAAGTATTAACTTTCTAGTTAGGCATTTATTTATAATGTCAAAGGTGGGGAGGTTTGGTAAGGTGACTTGCGACAAGGTCAGAGGGCAATGATTGGGGCAAAGTGGTTGCTGCATTCGACCTACTGACATCATGATTAAACAATCAACATTAGTAAGATTTTTACTGCTTAATACTAGATATGTCATTTTCCTTCCTCCTTTACTTCTCAGCTGGACAGAAGGGTAAACAGAGGGGCGAAGGTCAGTCCACCATGAGTTAAGAGGCGAGAAAAGCAGTACGGATAACAGATAGGGCAGAAGTGGGCTAATCTAGGTACAAATTCTGTCATGACTACCTGTTTTTTTCTACAAATCGTCTTGTTTAACTGGTAAATATATCTGTTCTTAAGTAAGTCTTAGAAGGTAGATTTTCAAGAAGCATTTTCCGCAATTACCGTAAGTGGTGTTGGGCAGCAGATCCCGAAGGGTGACTTTATGCATGTAGCTTACACGCTGCTCTTCGCCTCCATCCACAAAAGGTGTTTGCAAGGCCGAGATGAAAATCTTGGGCTCATTCTGACCATAGAGAATTGCCGATGCGGAAGCCTGATGCTGTGTTGTCCACGTTACTGTCATACTGTTGGGTTCACCTGAAAGGTCAAGGCAGGAACGGTGCCCATCACATCGCACAGGTTACTTTACTCCTGAAACGCCTGCTCAGTTGTCTACCTCATCTGTCAAAATGTTAAATCATTTGTCTACAACCCAACCACAGAAGCAAGAGAGGATAGAGGCTTCTGGCCTCCGTCCGTTCGCCCCTATAAGTGACTTAACAAGGTAGGCAACTGGGAGACTGTCTAACCGTATACAATTCCTCCTTCACGATCGCATATTCCATTTAAATTATGTTAGACTTTAAAAAATGACAAAAGAATAAAGGCACACTTAGTTGTGGTAAGTAAAGGGAAGGAAAAACTCACAACCCAAAGAGAGGTGAATCTGTTCGGGAGCATTGTCAGCTATCACCAAAGCAAAGATTGACAGTAGGATAACTCGCGTCACCATGGCTGGTCACCTAGGTTGTGCACACGTAAATGGTCTATTCATGCTGATCGTGCCTAAACATGCTTATTTATGTTGCAGCTATTTGTTTATGAAAAGTGGATTGGGTGGTGTTTATGCGATGTCCTTGTCACCGCAAAGTCAGTTTCGTGTCAATTCTACTGCTCTGTTGGATGGTGGTTTTTTGCATCTGGACTGCAAACCTTTTTAAACAATTGAAAAAAGATTGGGTTTTAAATGTTAGGTCTAAAAAATGGCATAAGATTGTTATCATGGTGATGGAACAGGTAATGAGAGAGTTGTGGCAGTTTACATCAGCAACCGTGATATGGCATTTGTCAGATATTAACAAAGAGGTTATTAAATAAAAGCGTAGTATATAAGATGAAATTTTATCCTCTTAAAAATCCCAAAATTTGCCCTTTTGTGTTAAAAACTGTAATATTAAAGGATGTTCGCGTCCAGCGTCACATATGTGTGACGCGGATTCCTGATTGGTTTACGGCGAATAATTGAACCAATTAGAGTTGCAAATTATTACTTCCATGCAATTTTTGCCTTTTTTCCTAGGAAATATGTTAAGCTCATTTTAGCTCAGTATGTAATTGACTATAAAGCAAATCTCCTCCCACCAGCCAACTTCTTTATTGCCTGTGATGCAACCAATTGACAAAATTGAAGAAGTGGCATATGCTTTGGAAAATTTGATGGAGTGAAACTGCCGAGATACCACTCTGATTACACGCTATTTCCTACAGCTGGCTAAAATTGAAATGATAAGATCAAAATTGTCGATGCAGAGCGCATTAGAACCCTGGGGTTGTTTGTTATCAGGGTGACAGAGAGACTGTAAAAATTGAATTGAAGGTTAAACGCGGCGTAAATCGACGCGCTTTGATGCACAAAACAATTTTGTTTGAAGTAGCTCAAAGCACCCGACAGGGATTACAAAATGACTACTTCCTGTCTGGCTGTCTGTCTGCCCGTCCCACTAAAAGAACCATACCCGAATCTATTTCCCCCAAAGCGAATATACTCGTTTCAGTCTCCCTCCCTTCCTTCTCTTTAAACACTTCATATGAGGAGGTCTAGAGAGTTAGACATTAAGGCCAACGAGATAATGTACCATTGTGGACCATCCACTCCTGGACCTAGTCTTGTAGAGGGGCAAGACCTGCCATAGCCAACTTTTGATCCGGAATGTGTAGGGGGTAGCTTCTCGCAAGGCCAACTGAGACGTTTGAAGTTACAATTCTGAAAAGGAATGCTACTGTGGTAAATGTGTTCCACCACCAATTACAGGTGAACATTTGGTGGCAAGCAACAGCCGTGGTGGGTACAGGCAGAAACGCGCAGTGATAAACGAGGTCTCTTGTGAACAAAGGTGTGAAATCCACAAGTCGCTACTCTCTCAGGGGACTTCAAGCATCGTGTTGTGTGGCAATGGGAAGCTTTTCTACTCAGTCGTGTGACTTTGGAGTGGCTTCAAATGTACATCTGACAGTAGTTCTCTGCCCAGGCCCTTGGCCGGCATTCTTGTGAACAATCAATGCATAAAATGCTTGAACATGGACGCTTGGTTGTTGCATAACTTGCAGTAAAGAGACGATTTTCTTCGTCCTTCGAGAAAAGCCCCTCGATAGTCAGCATTTCGGCTTTGATGAAGGAGTGAAGTAGGCTAAACTAGGATAGTTCAGAAAACCGATCTTTAGGAGTTAGCTAAACTCGGATAGAGGTGGAAAAGTGTAACAGAGAGCTACCTTGAAAATTTAGGTCATATCCTATTCTTAGAAGTATTTTCCTTCCTCTTACAGATCGTGAGTTTAAAAGTTCTGACATTGCCTTGAACACCTTCTGTGCAAAGCATGTAGCGGTCAACCTCAAAGCGATGATCCGACCTCAAGCTGCCATGGATTCGATTGGCCGATCCCCTTGCTTTCAGCAATAATTAATCACCTGGATTGCTTATTTCTACTTTTTTCCCCCACAGAACAAAAGCGCTTTTTATTGTCTGACTTCCAGACGCAAATTCCTCCACAACTTCTCCAGCTCACGTGGAAAATAGCGTATCTTCCATCTGTACAAAATTGAGAGGATAAACCTAAATTTATTTTTAAATATAAGAATAGTTTTAGTGTATCAAACCCCCTCTTTCTTCAGTGAAAAAGAAATGCGCTGTCTCTTGTAACTGCCTTTGGAATATGCAAATGAGGAATTCGAGCAGTAATAGAGTTGGCAGAAAGAAGATTAATTTCTTTGTACTACTGAAAGTTATGTGAGAGGTTTGGTTGGTAAATCCGCCCCACCTTTCCATAGAGGCGGACAGAGAGTACTATGAAGAAAACCAAAGGAGGTGAAAGTCGAGTGATTCTCTAGGAATACTTTGAATTCGTGCAAATTACGAAATTAAAAAAAAAATTAGTAAATTTTTAGAAAAAGGCTACTTCGTGACTACTCTCACAGTGTACTTTTGGCTTCCAAAAGTCACTTGAAAATAAATTATTCGGTCGCACAAGTGGGTGATTGGTTCTGTCTGGAGCGTCTAGGCGCAATTAAATCACTGCTGTGTCCAGGTGTAGACAGTACAGTATAATACACGTCTGCTTGTGTGTACTTTTTAGGGGGAGGCAATTGATAAATACCAGCCCTACGACGGAGTGGACGCCATCGTCCTCCGGGGAGGGGGAAAAGGACTCTGAACAAGATTAGACATCATTCCTGCACACCTTTTATTGTTACTATCCCGTAAAGGATGTAGGAGTTCAACCCGTCCAGCCCTTTTAATGGACATGAAAGCTGAGGTGGAAAAGAGAGCCACCGAGCCTATTCCAGCAAAATCTTGCAAATTCAGATTACAAAAAAAGACATCGGCCCTAATCAAACAAATCAGGTATTGCGGTTCAATGGAAATAAACAAATGCATGCGATTTATGTTTATGACACCAGAGAAGGACGTTCCGACAGTCTTTGCTCTTGCAGTCGCATTAATTGTTCACTCAAAGAAAAACTTTCTAATTTATTACCGAACTACCACACGCGAGTCGTGCGTTTTGCGACTTATCCTATAAAAGAGGCGATTTCTCAAAGACGATGCAAATAAATCACGATTTATTAAATAAGCTTAATTATCGAAGCAATTAAGTGCGTTCATTTTCACTAAACAGGAGATTTTCGAAGCTTTTGATACACCGCGTGTTCTAGCCGGTTATAAGTTTTAAGCATTTGATAAGCGTTATCAAAATATTTTTTGGCAAACAAACCATAAATATTTAAGGCTTAAAGATATGTAGCCTGATTAACAAAACCTTGCATTTGTCCTCAAAAGAGTCTTAAAACAAGCGTTCAAGTTAGGCCGTATGCTTGGATCTCCCGTTTTTTGTCTTTGGTAGTTGTAAAAACGTGTTATTTCTAATTCCCGATTCATTTATAGAAAACGTCTTAAGGTTTTTGATCAAAAGAAATAGAAAATATTAGGTAGATTGCTTGTTTTAATTGCTCGTTAGTTTGTTCCAGCTTTGAGCAGTTGAGAGTCTGTTTTGAAGTTATACCTATAAGAATAACATAAATAGGGAAATTGTGGCAAACTATAAAGGTCATACAACAAAACAGTATATTTCTAGCAAATCGCGTAAAACCAGGGATTATGTTAGGTCATTTACTTTGGATCACTTTTTTCTTATATTCTTATCCCTATTTTATTTCAAAATAGATTATGATTCAGGGTGGTGGGTAGGTTTTCATGGTTACAGTGCTTGTGAACCAGGCCAAGGAGGTCTTAATTTTTTATGGCTGTACGAAAACAGTGGGACAGATTGAAAGAATTCTGAAGCACCCGACGAGGGTGGGATTCACGGAGGCGTCCTCTTAAAGACGGCTTTTTAAATTTTCCCCTACTTGTTTAAACAAAGTGGCTGAATTTTGACTTTTGGGGGATCTCTTTTAATAATCACTTGCCTTTTAATTATCATGCCGCTTTTGTAGTTTGTCAAACAAACAAGCCTAAAGGCTCTTGCTGACAGTGCCAAAACTTATGGTCATAAAGTATTGTGAACCCTTTAAGAGCAAATATACGTCAGTAGTCCGGAACGCCGTAAAATTTTTATTGCCCTTGAGAGTCATTACACAATCCAGTATTGGAGATTTGTGTATGGTGTTCATCAAGGAAGAAAAGAGTGCTTGAGACGTCTCTATCCCATTTTAGGTAAGCAGATGTTCTTCCATTGTATTGACCTCTCATTTTTTGCGCAAGTGCTTCTCTGTGTCGGCCGCCAATTTTTCATTGAGTCAGCGACTATCACTAGTGAGTATTTCATTAAGGAGAGGAAACATTTGACTTTAAAGGCAGTAATGTCTTCCCTAAGGCTGGTAAATCTACTTTGACTGCCTCGGTTTATATACCAGGCATCGGGTTCCTTCCTCCACTCTGTCTTATTCTCATTTAACTGCTCTCCGGCTTCTTAGAAGTTGGGGATACCTCAGAATAAGCTTTGCAGACAGCAGTTGAACCAAAGTTACTACAACCTTCCAGTCTGATCTTGCTTCAGCAATTAATTGCCGTATTGTCGTACAGGAGTTTGGGATGACTGTCTGCACTTGACATTATCAGAGCTGATGTTTATTTAGGGTGGATTCTACACTCTCCACTCCCTGTCACCAATGCAGCTAACAAATCCTTTCTGAGTATGATGTAAGATAAACGTGTCTATTTAGCGCTTTTATGAATTCGTGTTGACAGAAATGTCAAGAGTGAAGAATCAAGGTGGAAAAATGATGCTGTAGTCCTGCAGTAACCGACAAACTCTTGCAAAATTCACAATGAGAGCTTTATGTTATGTTATCGAAGTTGTGCAGGCAGTGGTCTAACTAAACATCTTAGATGGACAATAAGAAATTTTTTCAGTAAAAGCCACGGCCACCTACTGCAAGGGTAGGGGCGTGGGGGTGACCAAATGGCTTGGCAATTATAGAATCTGACAAGCATAAAAACAGGAAAAATTTAGAGATTAAGCTCTTTTCAAAGACCAATGAAAGTCAACGTTCTTTAGGCTGCTAATACTAATTCGGAGGCCATTTGGAATTGAGTTTCTATTTTTGTTAAGAACTAGGAATAAAATTTAGCAGAAATTTCGTGAGTCGCCTCCATGTGTAGAATTATATTAAAAGTTCGGTTTTCACCTCCCAAGAGCCAAGTTTAGTCTTTTATTCTCACTGCCCTCATGCAGGTTGCTTCACCTTCGAGGAGGTTTTTTCTGACAAAGTAATAAAGCTATTAAGTAAGTAAGTAAAGTGGACTTTGGTGGGACAAAAACTGACTGGAAGCTGCCACCTCACTCATCTTCACCGAATGCAGGAATTAATGTATTACTGTATTACTGAGAGAAAAAATGCAAATCTCGTTTAAAATGTGGTATGGTTAATAAAAGTCAAAAGGAAAAGACTTTCTTTCAAGGTCATAAGTCCAAACGACATTGCATTTCGCAGTCCTACCTTGTACAATTAAAAAGCATAAAATTTAATTAATGTGATAAACGAGATATTTTTCCTCCACTGCTTTTAGCCCCACCAACCCACTTTAAATTAGGAAAATTACTGTGGTGTATGTGTAACTGTTTCTAGAAATGTTTACTTGGTAGGAATTCAATTCTTTTCTGTGAGGGAAATTTAATTTATTCTCCAGAAAGATAGCCTTAACCTTTTCAATCCGATAAGGTAATCACTTCCTATTGGCAACAAAACTTGGTATGAATGGATTCCACCTGGTGGTGCTAAAATGTTTTAATAATTTGTTTAACCCCCAGTTTGATGATGTAGGTGTTTAAGTTCTCGTGGTTCGCACGGCCACATGACGCCAGTAGCCTTGGCTTTCCCGTAAGTCAGTAATACATCTTCTGCCACCCTACCACGACTTCTTATGACTCTGGGGAAGACTCGAGATGCTACAGCGATATAAATTCGGCAAAAAAGCTTTGCCTAAAAGGTACAAATAGGCATGTAAAAGGTAGGAGAAAAGGCACAACAACAAACCGAGAGGAGCAGCTATCTTCGCGATCATGATGTACAAGTGTTTTGTGATTTCGAGTGTGTTAACATCACTTTGGTAGAAATAACTTTACAATGTGGAACCATTGAATAGTGTAACCCTGGGCGAATTATGTAAATTCATGCCTCAGCTTTGTGACCTACACTTTGTACTGCCCCTCAACAAGCCAACGCAATTAACAAAATACCCGAAATGTCAGTAAAGTCTGGCTAAGTCAATTTTTGGTCACTTGTTACTTCACATCAGTCGTGTGTTGTTATTCATTATAGAAAATCGGTTTCTTAAAAGCTATGTCGATTTTATTTCTGTATTGCTCGAGCAATTCGTTTATTTGCACAAAATTTTACATAAAAAAATAATTAGGACGCATTGGTTCCTTCTTGCTAATTCTTGTTTGCTATTTTGATTTGTTTAAGTCAACAAATTGAAAGAGTCACATGCAAACTAACTCAAAGCAATTCATTTGAAAGGTCTTTATCGTGGCCATCCCAGGTTGACTTAAGGACCTAAAAATCCAGAAAGAAAAACATCAAATCTACCAAATGGTTGTTTTTATGCTTAAAAGTAAATTAGTCAAGTAATTATACGAATATTCCAGCCTGTTTCTCCCTCCTTTTCGCATAGGCTCACGTTATTATTTACTCAAGCGGAAAATCGCGGTAAAAAACATTACTTAAAGTGGCTTTCCAATAAAAAAACTAAATTTTGTACGGAAGCGACTCATTCTCTCAGATAATGTCGGCTAGACGCCATCGGAGGCCTCACTTAAGGGTGGATGCAAATGTGATCATTCGACAGCACTGCATCAAAAAGCTATTTAACGTGGATCCAATTTGAAATCACCCCACTGATCTGCTATGGCTCTAAGTTAGATTAGAACCTAACGTATTCTTATTTAATCGGAGTGCATAAAAAATGATACCACATAATTTAGTCTGCCTTAAAAGGGTGATAAAAAAAACTCGGGCTCTAAAATCGAAGCAGTGTAGGTTTTTATAAAGTGGCCGTCTTATCAACAAAGTCTGAAGTGTTGTTCTTTCGAATTTTGCTATTTGTACAGGGAAAGAATTTTTACGTGTTTACTAAACACCTTCGAGTGTTGTTTATTGGGATATTCACTTAAAGGTGCTGTTTATTTCGTACAAAAGTCTAAATGGAATATCAAAGGAGCAGGGTGAATAAATTTTCGAAAACAAGATTTAGGCAGCCATAAGTTTAAATTCCGTGTTTCTTCACACGTTGTAAATTCATCAACCTTACCTCCCACAGACATCGTAACAGTTGTTCTGGGGAGATGAGATAAACGGCAAAAAGTCGGACAGCATTAAAAAGAATGGATAGTGTATCATAAATTTTCCAGACAAGCATCAAAATTAAAATTGCCTTTAGTGTTTCAAGTTAGCTAGACCTTTGTTCTAGTCTGGAGTGGCAAGTTTTTATATCTATCAAAAAAAGGTGACATGAAGGTTAAGAGGGAGCTGATGTACATAAATATTTACTTTTGAAAAACCAGGCAAATTCAGTAGTATAATACGTCAGGACATTCGGCTATGATAGGGTTTTTAATTATAAAATTGATCAAGATTAGTGAATGGAAAAAGGGGATTTTGTCACATTGTTCGCCCTCAAGTCCCTCCGTACTCTGTATGCACCTCTCAAGATGGGTGAGGATTGCAACCTTATAAAATATTTTGTCACCGGCAGCTACCTAAACTTCTACCTCTATTCCATTTCGCGCGAGATTTTCCACAGTCAAGACACGGTGGTAAATATTACTTTAAAAATGGGGAATGAGGCAGTTTTCCCTTACTCCCTCCCTAAGGTGCGGTATGTAAATTGCTATCTTGGCTATTTTCTTAAGCAAAAGCCTGCCAACCACAGCCTAGAGTTGTAGGACGTAGACAGATCTCAGCAGTGAGCCTTCGGCCTTCAGCAAGTCAACATTCTCGTCCACTTTCACCACACACATACACCCACCCAAAGTAGGCAGCGAAAAGTGGGGTTGGTAGTAAGTGGAGTGTGTGGCTCCCGTCGCGGTTATTTTTGCCCACTTAACGAAAGTTAACGTGGAGAAGCTATTTCTCACCACAATTTGGTCTGTCAGTATTTAAGTCCGTTAGTTAGTTGGAAAGCCACCTAAAATGTAGGGCGGGCTTTCGAGAGAAGGGAAGGAAAAATGAGTGGTTTTAAAAATTTTGTTTGTTGTTATTGGTAGAAGATTCCATCACTTTCCCTTCACCGTGATAAGTCGTGTAAGTCAGTTGTTTCGACACCAACATTTCACGTTAAGCATGATTGAAAACTGTTCTTGGTAAGTTAATTTTTTTCATCAAAAAAGGATCTGCGGCCTCCTATGCTGAATATAGTGGATCTACCTTTGATTAAGTCATCATAAGAACTACTTGTTTTAAATCCCAGAACCAATACTACGTCTTCCAATGCTGCACACCCGATGTAGCGCCTCGAGACTTCCCTGAAGATGGGGGAAGGCATAATACTTGGGGAGGGTTTGAGGGGAAAATTGGCATGGCCTATAGGCCAGGCCGCCTGGCGGCGGTACACAGCGAAGCCAAAAGTCTATAGCTAAAATTTAAATCATAATAGAGGGTCCCATGTCGATGAACCGATGCAGCTGTTGTGTGGAAAACCGAAAGAATTTTTTTGGTTGCCTCAAAATTAGTTCCTCCATTTCCGGTTGAGGATGCCTGTAACCCTAGAAAATGTTTCTGTTTTATGCAAGAGCAGGGAGTTCTCATTTATTTTCTCCTGATTGGCTGAGGCAAAGGTTAAATGTATCCGGAGTGTACTGCTACCTACCAGAAAGCCAGTCAATCAAATCATCTAAAAACGTGAGGCTAAAACCTCTCCATGTCTCCAGTATTCTTCACCAGCCGCTTAACTTCCCCCTACACACACGCACACACCCCACCTATTCCCTTGCTTACTCAAATTCGTAAGTAAATATAAAGGCATGCGTATGGGAGTCTTGCCTATTGGTGGAAACTCGAGAGGATTCGAGCTGACGCAAATAGACGACGGTTTACGATCAGTATGCTGACATGTGGCTTGGTAAATAAGAAAGAAAAATAATTCCCACTTAATGTTGAATAATTTCGTCAGGATTTTTGCGGATGTTTCAAAAGGGGAAGTACGAATAAATAATCTTACTTGCCTAAATCTGGAAATGTGAGTGGACAGACATTCGCTACTAACTACCTTATAAGTAGAAGACTGGTAGAGTACATTAGTTGGTTGGATAAACGGTAAACAGCGTCCTTCTTTTTCTTCATCCCCAATCATTTTTCTCTCCTCTTTAATGAGAAAGAGGCTAGAATTTGGCGACTCCCTAAAATAAATTGAGGCTATCTGAACAATGAATTTTCATGAATGCCTATAGATGAAAGAGGAAGTGAGAAAACAATGACACGAAGAGACTTTTCTGCAACTTTTACGTGAAGAAGAGATCTTTTTCATAAAAAAACGGTCTGAGGGCGAGCAAATGAATTCATTGTTTGGCTGAAATGGAAAGTGGGGAGAAGAGGGATTTCCAAGTCGGTTAATGGAACAGGTCGTTGGGCAGACTCGGGGGGGATGACTTACTACTCTCCTATTCCAATTGGCGCGCTTTGATGATCGAATTCGCCCACTGGTTCGGAGTTTCTTCAGCCATCACTCAAAGTCATGCACATTCGATGCCCAGTTTCCATGCAAAAATACGCTCTTAGGTCAAATGGGAAAAAGTCGAAAATTTATGTTGCGTTTTTATCCCGCTTGTCTCAATGGCTGTGTGAAACCCAGAAAGCGGTTTTAATACTGGAAAATTTATTCGTATGGCTAACCGCCCTGATATAACCTTATTCACTTCCTTATTGATGATAAAACCAAATCGTTCCCCTGAATCCAAAAAGGACATCTAATGAGGAGATCCAGTATAGAATTTACCTCTTCCGTGCAGGTTAAAAAACAAAACTTGTCGAAGTCCTTTGCCTACTGTTCTGTTAGAGGTATTCATCTCGTTCGATAGCCTTTCCGGCAAATGTCTCCGCAGGTTTGAACGTCTACTTCGGATGGCGTTCGGGTCATCCCCGGACATGCATCAAGGGGCAACGAGGCAGAAGGTCGAAAAACTGGATACACTGACATGACCTCATCATGATTATGGAAGAAGGAAGATCTAACCTGCCATTTTCTGCGATAAGATGGCGAGCACCGCCGATTATGTATCGATCAGGGATCCAGGATCGAGCGCTCCAGGCGCTGAATCCTCACCACATTCTGTTGCGCTTGAAGTCCCCCTCGCGATGAGATATTTGAAGGAACTATTTCTCCACCGAAGGCCGTTGACATCTGCCACCTTGATTAGTTGTGCATGGACTAGTCCATCGCAAACTCATTGCCACCGCGGTATCACCTCCTTTTATCTTCCCACAGTTTAACTTAACATCCACTAACCAGAAATTTTGTCACTGCTTATTGCATAATTAATTCCTTTAAAATATATTCATTCTCCTTTTGATTAAAATTTTCTTCCCAGTTGGTTTTATTTATCAACTACATCGAAACTTCGCATGGGGTGGTGCCTAAACGACTCGTAAACAATCTTTTTGCCTCCGAGGCATAATTGAAAGGCACAGTTGAAAGTTCGGATTATTTGTGACTGGCGGTCAAATAACAAAGGAAGCATTGTTCGCCTAAGGCAGGATTTATTACTGAAAAAGTTTTTTTGTGTAGATAATCTTTTTACTTCAGACTGCTTGACATTCCAACTCCTTGGGTAATCTGCAAAAATGTTTTTCCTTGATAAAAATGTATCTACTCTTGAACCCAGTGGTTCCACAGATGACGCCTCCAATTAACTTTGTTTAGCTCTGTGCCACTTTTCGAGGCTGTATAAACAGTTTAAAAGTTTATGGCGACGTAAGGCAGCAGTTTGACAACAGTGACAAAGACAAATATCCCCCAAAAAATTGATTTTCGCCTCTTTTTTCATAAAAACACGACATGGACTGTTGATTCCCAACTTCGGCTGGCCCTTAGAATTATGGGATCACGCTCTTCAAGTTCACCTTACTGTGCGTTAAGTAAGTAGGGCTCACATAATTTTGACAACTGCTTTTTAACACCCGGAAAAAACGCAGTGTCAACACGTTTGATGTGATCATTACATCTTTTATTATTTACCTTCAAAACATATCTAGTCGCGGGCAAAAAAGGAGATTTTTACAAGCAAGACAGGAAAACTTCAAGCTCCTACTAATCATCATAGTTTTCAAACTCATAGTAAGTAAAAAACGTTGCATTAAAGAATATTTACACATGGAGCACGAAGAGAATTGACACCAACTTGGTTGCAATATACACCAGTTAGAGTTCAGTTGCTTGGCCCAATGCCAAGTAGGCATTGTCACCCCGAGCATGACCGTGAATGCGTCGATGACTTGCTACCTCGTCCGGTTCGTGTCGACGTGGTGGTGAGAGTGGAAGGGGTTCAGGATAGAGGGTGATTTCCACGAAACCAGCAGGGATGAAGCCGCGTTGAGGGTGACTTCGACTGCCCTCATTCGGTGGTATGGTCTCGGCGTAGATCCATCCATCGGCGTCCACACTACCATGCCACCGTGCACCAGAGGATATTACCTTCAACTTATCGCCAGTTTTGAAGGATAAAAATGTCTCGCCATATTGTGAACCTTGAAGGAAAATCAAGCACATCCCACATAAGGTCAAGGTGGAATTTGTTCTAATGTACTCGCTATAGTTTGAACGAGATCATCTATTTCTTCGGGATCATTGAAGTCATCTTAGATCTTCACTACTAACTGGTTGGTTACTTTTATGATGTTCATTTTGAACTAAGCAAAAGGATTGAAATGAATAAAATAACTCAATTATGGGGTGTTTTTGGATAAAAATTACTTTTGCATACCTAATGTAGCTGCCACTCCGATTTCCTCATTCATTTCCGACGTCGCAAATGCGTGACCCACTTCATTTACCACCCTCTACTAACCAACTGCGCTATCAGAATCACAATGCGACTGGTTAAGTAAAAGAATAATAGGCTTACAGGATATTTCTGTTCTAGGGATGAGAATATGGCACTTTCTAGCTTGTAAATAGCATTGCTGGTAACACAAAACATCACCACCGTGATGGTCAATTTCCCTCTGAGATCGCCATAACAGATATGCTACACTTGATGTTTTCAGTTAAAATTCAAAGCATAAACTCTTTGTTGCTGTTTTGCGGGAGTTACTCTACCAGACGGTGGAAATGTCGCTATTTTTTTGTGGTTCGGGGCTTAGTGAAATGAGAAAGTCAAAAGCCGTGTTCGCCTTCAATAGCATGCAACCAACCAACATTGTATGTAATTGTTCACAGGGCTAAAAATACCAGCTTTCCGAGTCCGACATAAACAGGCCAAGAGGGGGAGGGGTTTTATTTGTTACAAAAGTCATCCATTTTTGAGGTGCGAGTGGCTACTAGTCGGGGAGATGCTGGCTTTCCTTAATCCACGAAACCAGGAAGCCAGTGCTACAGATATAAAAATGATTTTTAATTGCAACCGTGTTTACAAATTCAAAGCATCCTACAGCCAGTATTAAAATTGCCTCATCTTTGTGAGGTGCTTCGAAGCGTTTTAAAGCCTCTTTTTATGCGCCCTCAAAGACCACTTCCGCCAAAATATTTTAAACGTATAAAATAGGAGGAAATGCACATCTCACTACTTTGATGGCGTCGTTTCATTTATAATTTTCAAAGATTTAAGATAGAGACAAAAAGTTTTTTTAAAAAAACATTCTCGTAGAAGGAGATGGTTAATTTACAATAAACTGACTCCGTCCTAGCACCACCTTTTAGATACACCTTCCTACCTTTTTCAAGGCAAGATTTTAACCATTCCTTTTAATAGGGTTAAAATTGGCGGTAATTAATAGCCGCTATTGTTTATCTATGAAATGGTTCTAAAAGTTACTCATTCAAAATGAAGAAGAGAGTTTTGCTTTAGAGGCCAGTTTTTCGGTCTCCTTCTTAAGAAATTAAACTGCAGGGATTAGGTTTTTGCCCTTCCTTCTCGAGAAGTTGAGACATTAACCCGCAATTTGAAAAGTGGGAAATGCTATGCCACTACCTTGTCATTGGCTCTTACATCCTTTCTAATTCCCTTTCACCTACGAAAATTTTAACTTCTTGCTGATTTTATTAGCATTTAACAATGTTACGTTTCCTAGTATCGCTTTTCCAAAAAGTTACATCCCTAAACTATCAACATTTGGGTGTCAACTAGACTTGGGTCGCGTATTTATAGAAAGTTATTCTTTCCGACATTGTCAAAATCCAGGCAGCGACATTAGCGATATCATCAGAAGGATAACATTAGTCTAACTTTGGGAAGATCTCAATCCATTGCCTCCTTTCATTGATTCATATATGCAAAATAAGCCACTTTTTAAACAAACATCTCCACCCGGACTTACTCTCAAAGTCATACAGCGCCTTGCAAGTTCCCACTACAATAAGATCGCTCATAGTCGACTGGTGGTTCGGCTTCGTTTCCGAATTCGGCTTTCTTGTCTGATGGTTGCCTCCATGCTGTCGCTTCGGTTGATGGATCGCCTGACGGGGACTTGTACTCCTGAGTGATTTCTGATGAGCAGCATGCGGAGTCGGCGCGGCTCCGACTATGGTGCCTTTAGAAAATTGAGCACTGCAAGGCGAGGTATTTCTAAATGACCCATTTTTGTCGTAGCCAGAGATCTGTGATTCGGGAATCCCCACAGTTCGTGGATTGGTGAGTGTGTTTTTATGACCGCGGACGCTATTACTACTGGAGGAGGGCGAGGAGAGGGATCGAGAGAGCTCAGTTGTAGTTTGAGCCATCTCCTGCGTCGATCCAGAGGATTTGAATGGAGGCGCACTTCGAAAAGAAAGTGTGGGAGTGGATTGCTGCTGACCTTGTCCTTCCTTTTCCTCTGCTTCGGCATCCGAGGTGTCACCGACATTTGCCGCCGGTTCTTTCATTTTATCGTGGTCGACGTGAATAATTTCCCTAAAAAATATCATCGAAATTGTTCACATCAACCTGCCTTTCAATTGTTGACTTGGGACATAGTAATACTTACTAATCAACACGTAGAAATCTAAAGAAATCACACACACTTATGGGCTTGAAACAACGGTCATTAGGGGGACAAGCACCGATTCAACCTTTTCGTTGTCCCATTTCAACAGATGCCGCCTCCCCCCCATTAAATCACAGCTATGTCACAAATTCCTTCACTGTTGACAAGTTTTATTGGGATGTAACAGTCAGACCAGTATAACAAAGGCTTCTGGCCTAATTCTTTTCAAGCTTTTGCATAAAACGACGTTGATAAAAAAGAAACAGGAAAATCGCTTCTATGCTTTGATAACTAACCGAAAAGAGCCTTACCTCGCCTATATTTCTGGAACTTGACGGAAACTAAGATTCAGTGTCTGGAAATTATTAATAGATATCTAGCTGTGCTAGTTATGTTATAAAAGGGAAAACCTTTTCCTGTTTTTTTTTTGTAAAAACGTAATGCAACAACTTGATTATATGATATGGGTGAATTTTAACCACTTCTCTTCCTGACCGATAAAGTCATTTGAAGATGTTATCGGTGCTTAGACAATGGACGACATCTAAAAGTCTAAGTCTTACTTTTAGAAGAAATATTTTTCACAAATATTATCAAATGGGAAGGATAGGAGTTAACTAGCCACAATTTGCTTTTCGCACTTTTTGTACCACTACATGCGTTGCCATTCAAACTAGTTATGACGGCTAAGCGGCGTGCGAGGGAGGTGCCACTACTCCGTACCTCCACCTCAACACCCATTAACGGTCTCCGCCTCTGTTTATGTCTCCCACCATCACTATTTGCAGCCATATCTAATCAACGACTTGGAGATATTGCTTGCATTTATGAATTAAGCGAAAGCATTAAATCATTCATTTCTCAATATTGTAAGCCTCGTTATCAAGTGCCAAAAAAATGACTTGAAAAATGATGTCTTGCAAATAATAGGGAACGAAGCTATCGTCGGCAGGCACAGCTAGCTACGTGCCGATTAGTTCTGGAGTTTTCGTACATTCATGGTGCAATTAACTCGTCCGAAATTCCATGAGAAAAAGAACAGTTAAATAGAGAACTCTCAAGTGTATAATTGCCTTTATAATGGTGCATGTGATACAGCATTTCTTGCAAATTCTTTTACAGAGCAACGTGAATGCTTTGCCATATCTGTGTCGATTTTGTAAATGCCACACTTCCAATTACACACAAAAAAGGAAGGCGTTTCTATTTTTGAAGCAAATTTGCACACACAGCAAAGTGGTGGAGCATCGGCCAATGGCAAAATTGATGCGGCACGAACCGCCGTAGTCACAAATTCCAAATAAATGGAGCTTTCGCAGAAGGTCTCATAAAATTCACATAAAAGTTGCCTATTTACGGTTGAAGTACCACACCTTTCAGTATTTCGGTGAAGTGTTACTTCTCCTCATTACACAGAGTGATTCGCTTTTATAACCTTTATTTGCCTCCGTAAAGCGAGCATAACTATTACCATAAATCATGTTTTAATCAAATGAACAAAAGCACCTAATTTAATCTTGCCAGCACATGACTCGTTAGTGTCGCCAAGGCAACTTTTTATTAAATGATCATTAAAAATGGATAAGTCGAGAGGTGACTTTTGTTTGACATCAGGTCTCAAGCGAGTAGTGGAATTGACTGCAAGCAAATTACGTATGTCACTATGCCTACGGGGAAATAAACGCATAAATATTTTTTGCCAAAAAATGTGTTCTAGAATTTTACCACTATTCGAAAAAAGTCAAAATTTATTTTACCACCAAACCTTGGTTAGGCACAGGAGGTACGGTCTCCTGTAATTCACTATTAATTGTAATTCAAAAGGAAAAAATGTCGTTTTTTGCATAAAAAGACCCGCCTCTTGTTATGGAGAGCAAGCAGAAATATTAATTATCCTTACCAGGTAGCTTTAATTAGAATGACTAATCGCACCCAGCTAATTTTAATTCCCTTTTATTTTAAACCCTTTTATTTAACCAAAAAATGAAAGTAGTAAATCATGTTCACAGTAAGAACTGTTTACAGCCTTATTTTTTAACGACTTTGAAATACACTGAGCAGCAGTTTTTCATCTCCTTCAACCATGATGACTGGGGAATGCGTTTTTGGCTGAAGCAACACAGGCCGGGTGCAAAAGACTGAGATTTATATGCACTCGAGGAAAAAAATAACCTGTCTCCGAGATGGCCCCATACCAACTCCGAAGAAAACAGTCAATGAAATGACAGAGAGAAAAAGGGAGACTGAGAAGAATTTATTGATCTCGCTTGGATGCCATTCCATGGAACTAACATTGACACATGGGCTGAATGCCCGTGGAGACCAGTAGTGTCTGAGCGTCTTCCACTGTGCGGCTGGCAGATTGTTTTACCAACTCAGCAGAGTACTAGATCAGGCGTCGTCGCACTATTTCACAATTCATTGACAAGTTTTAACTAACTAATTTATTTGAATGCCAGAAAACTCGACCAAAGACATAATCATACGGTTCCAAAGTAGCTAAACGAAGTACGTGCCTTTTATTTTGTTTGGCACAGCTAAGGTTCCCATGGCTACCACGAGACCCTTGGGGAGAGTCGGATGAAACACTTCTGAAAAAAAAGTAGCACGACTAATTCCGTGTTTTGAGTCTAAAATTTACTTTTTCAAGGGCTATTAAATAGCTGCTTCGAAAATGACTAAAGAAACAAGAAGTATTTGAATATTGCTTTAACAAATAGATGCATTTTTGTACGTTCGCCTTTTGTTACCACCTCTATTCACACGTGGATACCTTTTTTGTCAAAAACAGCACATTCATGCAAAAAAAGGAACATCCTCCCTCCCCCCAGCTTACCAACCAGTAAAACAGATACATGAATTCCACTCGTTCAGCACAAATTACTGAAAGGAGTTACAAAACTTCCTTTGCCTAATAGAATGAGAAACAAAATGCTTATGATAATTGAAGAACACTGCTATTACTACTACACCACGTTTATGTCGCAAGACTAAGTAAAAACCAGTTTCTTCTTCTCCGTCCCCAACTGCATAATGGGTTACTAGTTATCTATCCGTTATTCCGAAGAACGTAGGCAACGATATTAGTAGCTGTTATAACAGTAATGAATGGGCACCTCATTAACTTGGGCTAAGGTCTTCACACGTGACAAAATGCAATCTAGGTGGTTAAAAGTCCATAAATAAGGCAACCGAAGTATTTATTAGGCAAATGCCATAAAGTTAACGGCCCATCAGTTGTGGTGAATGGCAGCTTTCAAAAATCTACATTTTATTTTCTCTAAATGACTCCTCCAATATTACACAGATGCTAGTAGATTTATTAATTAGCATTGGTTCCCTTGGTTGTCCTCCCCAAAATTGTGTGATTTTGGTAGAGTTAATTTGCTTCACAGAGGCTACACATGAAAACGACGTAAATTCTGCGGGTGGGTGTTTGGGCACAGGCTGCTTGTCTAAACCCGAAAGGTTTAAATACTACTTGAAAAACCCCCTTGACATATGCATTACTTGAGTATCATGATGCTAGGCAAAGATTCCATCCAAAAATCGCTTTACTCAGCTCTTAACTTCCAGTCAAAACAGGGGAGAAATTATTTTTGTTGATCAAGTGGATGTGCTTATTACTCCCAGCCCAGTGAAGCAGCCATTTCAAGCCTTCCCCTTCCCCTTCCCCACTCGCGCGAACGGTATTTTCAAGGTCGTGTTTATAGAACGTCACAACCATCTCAGTGAGTTCCTTGACGGTTTATTACTTTTACTACAATTAACTCCCATGAAATTATCTCTCCTAATACATCAAGGTGACCCTATTGCTACAGCAACATCCGCCTTTATTTTTAATTGAATACCTCTTCAAGTAGTGCAGTTTTGTTTTCATGATAAAGTCCCAGTAGACTTTGAGTAATGTCAGGCGAACGCCTAACTGGTACTGTTCTAATTCCTGAGCTTTCCAGCCAGGCTAAATTCGACCAGCAAAGTGGCTTTTTTATGGATTCCGTGATAAAGCTAATCACAACTACTTTAGGCAAAAAAATAAGTCAGAACAGGCACAGAAAGAAGGATGTTTTTTATATTGACGCAACCTAAAGTTTGCGGTGTGTGGTGAGCCCGTGGCAATGAGAAGGCTAAAAGTACTTGACAATTCCGAATTTGCTTAGCTCGCGTAGAGTTATTCTTGAAGAAGCCAGGCTAATTTTATCACGCTTTTTGTAGAAGTTTCGACCTATTTATATTTGTGAATTAGGCAAGACTGTTAGAGAGTCGCTTAGGCACGCAAATTCAGACAGTTTAACCAATGAAATCACAGAATGTGGCGCTGATTTTGCAACATTGATGCAGACATACTTTTGTAGAGCTATCAGTTACATCGACATCACCTTCAGCCAATTTGCATATTTACAGGAAATGCAAAAATCCAAAGTAATTTCATAATGGAAATTAGCTCCATACAACATGGGAATGAGCCAGGTGCCATCACCAATCTCCATTCATGCCAAGAGGAGCAAAAAAGGACCTGGTGAGAGTTCCGCCTGATTTCGCCAAAATTAATTGTAAAGCACAAATCTGTTCATTTGCAAGTTACGTGAAAATAGTACCTGGAACTAGGCAAATAAAATCACGAGTGGGGGATTAAAAAGAAGCCCGAGAAAATGTTTCGGAAATGGGTCAGTTAGTTGAAATTTATTTTCGAAAGGCGAGTAACTGAATAAGTTGACAAAATTTATTTGAATTTCAAATACCCCTTATTTTAAGGCACAAATAAGGACTGAAAAAGTGCTGATGAGGACTTTCTCCATAAATAATGTCGTAGTATTTTTCGTAGTTTACTGAGCTTGAAAACCATCGTATTTTTCAAGGAGGGAAAAACATTTTCACCATATGTGAACCCATAACCAAAGTCTGCCGTTGATAAAATTTAGAAGATGACAGTTTTGTCGGGAAACGCCTTATTTGGCAACAATAAGGCGCTTTTACTGATAGATTGCTTTCTTTAAGTGTTTCTGTTACACTGAAATAAACTTGGGTTGCCAATTCACCTACTGTTCAAACGACTAGACGGTAAAATTTGCCAGCAATATGTCTAAATCTCTACTGTGCTTAAAATATTTAAAAACAACTTAATTACTTAAAAATCTTAAGTAGAACGTTGAACGGACTTACAATTTCTTCGTCGGTGAGGCTCGTTGTGACTGTGATCCTGAAACTCGTGCATTATGCGTCGTCGCGTCCGATCGTCGTTCCGCTTCCCTACTCTAGAATTGCATTAAAATCATTGTGAAGGAGTTGTAAAGTGGAATGAGCAGTCCAACACGGTGTACAGTAATCCGATCAATCTATTGTGCGAATGTGTTGAAATGTGGTACAGGGCAAGATGGTGCTATTTCCGCCGTACTACAAGTCACACTGAGCCTGCCAATCACCCTATATGCAGCCGGATTCCACATAATGCCTTCACCAGACGGATTCGTCAATTCGACATCATCTTCCGGCATCCGGTAACTGCTGACACTTTTTGATCTGCGACTTCGTCGCCATGGTCTCGTTGTCTCAAAGGGGATGAAATTGTGGAAATTGCCTTCATCCCCCAAGAAAATGCGCTAAATTCAAAGGTAAAGACGGTAGTGGCTTCGTGCAGTCGCATTGCCAGCCACGATGAATGGAGTGACTGACACCCGGACATGTGACAGCCCCCCAAGTGAGATGAAGTGTTGCAAGAAATTAAAAGGTGGTTTTATTGTTGAGAAAAAATTAGTAAAATTTTACATGAAAGTGATTTATTAGTAATATTTTAGGAAGAAAAGGTTAGGTGAAAACTATTTACATGAATTTTATTACTCAGGTTAAGAGCTAAACTTACGTTTATCTTTCGCTGAAATTTTAATTCAAGGTACAACTGTTACCGCTGCAACTAGTAGTCATATAAGCTAAGTAAAGGACCCTTACATTAATATGCTCCACACTCTGGCTTCAATTCATTAATTAACCTCTTTTAAAAATTCCTCTGTTAAAATAACGTTTACAAACCCACCCTTATTTACCAGTTATGAAACAAGTTTGAATCATAAAATGCTGATTACAAAATCAGGTTGCTATCACTTGTCTTGTTTATCCATCAGGTTTTTTTAAACATTCACTTACTTTTTCACACATAAATAGCCCAGATAAGCGCAACTTCATCTGCTTTTCATAGGGAAGTTAAACTAATTCTTCAAAACATGGTTACATTTGTCAGAGGGCAATTCGGCTTTACAAATTTTGTAGGAAGGTTGTTCTTCGGCCCTACCCACATCAAGGCGATGGGGTTGGTAATGCAATCATGCTTTCTGCACGGTTGTATGCAACTCGGCGTGCCAGGAACCATAGTAACGTGGGTGCACACAAACTCAGGATTGTAACAACTACACATGTGAGGGTATCTGAAGCAAACATCGAAGATTTGGCTTCACACAGTTCGAATGCATTTGAAACAGCTCAAAATGAATTGTTAGCCCGTTGTGTGTGTTTCCATTTAGCGCATTCTCATTACTGCAAATCGAAAACGGCACTTTCGAATTTTAGATACTTAGTACTTCTATCTTCAGAGGTTGGGCAGTTTTTTTATTTAGCGGGACAGGTAACGACAACTTCAAGCGCCATAGTCATGACAGCTGAGGTCGGAAACACAGACACCCTCATAAAACTGCGGTAAAACAGCCAACCTCACCAAATTGACTGACCTCGTGGGGAATTTTATCATTTAAAAGGGTGTTTGTGCGTGAAATTCACATGGATGGCACCGTCATTTAACATAATTAGGTATTGCCTGCCTCGTTTTATGTGTATATCACCTACCATTAAGGCGAGAAGGGGGAATCAAAGTGGGGACAATTCAAATTATGGAGCCGATTCTGTGTCGAAAGAAGTTCCCAAAAGTCACTCTCCCAACTATGCTCTCATATTGTCTGAAAACACTTCGTTTAAATAAGGGTTGTATATCTCGGTAAAAAAGTCAAATAAAAGGCAATAAATGCTTTGTAATGGTATACCACCGATGACCTCGTTGATGAGGGTTATTTTAAAGGATAAATCCTATCTACATTGGAAAAAGTCTTAACGCATATCTGATAGGAGTGCGTATTAAAAGACTTATTCTTACATATTCTGTAAATTTGTGTGCACCTACCTTACTTCTTCGAGCAAAAACCTTCCACAGAAAGGAGGAATGGGCGCCTGCATTGCCATTGGATCCCAGACCCATCGAACTTACGCTGAAGCGTCGGGCAGACCGAGAGAGACTAGGATAAGAGGTAGAAGACACAGTCGGCAATCGGTGTGTCTCCGTGGGTTCCACAATGGGATCAGCACCGATGAAAAAACTTCCGTTAGCAGAAGGCCCCGGAGAGACGGGAATTAAGGCGTAGTAAGTACCACTATCGCCGTTCTCGGTCTTGGCGGATCGATGATTTGATATGCCGTGGTCATTACTGGACCGACTCGGTGTGCAAGGAGGGGCATCAATGTCAGGGTGAGTGATGAGAACGTCTCCCGGAGGCTCATTTCCTGTCCGGAGACATTCAATTAATGCTGCAGAATCCTAAGTAAAAAAGACAAAGCACTGAACAACCATCATTCTCCTATTAATTTAGCAGACTTGCGGTTTAATGATGAGCAGTACCAAGTGCTTATGGAATCACACAGTCATCGTGTAGACCTTAAATGATAAGCTAAGGTCTATCCTCATTAGGCTACTGGCTGAAGTTGCGGTCTCATCATTCCAATGTACATCACAATTAGTGATTAGAATGTGATGAATCGTACCATGGTAAGCTCATGACCTCGGTCAAACCGTTACTGTTAATGAATGGTACTAAATAAAATTCCATGATGTTAACTAACAACCAAACCACCCAGAACCGCAAAACTTATCCTTTCACTGTCAGGTGACTAAAAACGAGGTCATGCCACTCCAGTACACATTCCAATTGATGTCAAAATGTGTTGCATCAGGTCATCCCCCATGACGGCTTGGTTTCAAGGCTGACATTGTTTTACAGCATTAAAGTGTAGAAAGTAGTAGCAAAATGAAAGATTAGTAAAAGTATTTACTTGAAAAATCAGTAATGAAACAATTCTCATTTAATTTTCCTTCATATGGAAGTATATGTCACTTTAAAGATGATGCGATTAAAAGGTGTTTTTCAATTTCAAGGCAAAGGATACAAAGAAATGTTGAAGAGGAGTCATTATTGACATGTCATCGTCTCGAAAAATCATCGTGACAGGTTCATGCTCAAATATGTAATAAAGGCGAATACCCTATAAACAAGTTCAAAAAAGTTGATCGGGTCTACAAATTACCTACAATCAAAGAAGGCGTGGAATTTCTTGATGAGGGAGGTGACAATCCAAAATGCACCCTAGGTAAATGGCGTTTGCCACAAAGAATCAGAAAAGGGGTCGTCGATGATGGGCTGCAATCGACCCCATCTCCAGGTTTTCCATGCATTTTGACGTGACATGACAATTTAATGAATGTGAGCTCTTTAAGCCAGAACGTAAATGTGCATCAAGTCGATAAATCCGGTTGGGTCCTACTTACTTACTTTCGTCTGACTAAACACTCACCTTTAAAAAAATAGGTGTCAACATTGAAGGTAACTGCTTAATTGTATACCTTGCCACATGTACGTGTAAATATTCCAAGCATCTCCGGCATCATACTGTCATGTGTCTTTGCTTTTAACGGTAACCTCAACGATTGTTTTCTCTTTAAGGAATTGGATGAACAGTTCATTATCATTGAGGCTAAGTGGGTCTACTGGTGTAGGGCTTGTTGGCTATTTTTAGTCTGCTTTGAGGTGGACTTGTTCGTTTGACTCATATGCTCAAACAAGTACAGTCGGGCTGGTCTTTAATAAAGCTTTGCTATTACTAATAAACTGTGTAATGTTAGCATTAGAATTAACCTGAAGATCCGGCGTTTATGTGCAAGAATAGTCTTAGAACTGGGAAAAAAAGGCGACAAAATCGTTAGATTTAGTCCTTACAATAAGGCTTAATTTAGCAGCTTTTAGGTAACCAATTAGCAGCATGTTGTCTGTAAGTTTGGCTTTGAAGAGAACTTGTTTTGTTCGTAGGATTAGGCTTAGAATGCGTGAGAGTTTAGTTGGAGTTGAGAACCGAATGTAGCACTCCGCATCTTTCCTGAAACTTCACTAAGCTATACCAATGGAAAAAGCAAAGTGAACAGCCGGCACAGGCAGAAGTATACTAAAGCAAATATCACATAACTTAAGTAGGAGAAAAGATGTCGCATGCTGGTCAAAACATCATGCATATGAAAGAATTAGGTGCAGTGGGTGTGTCAAGGTGAAATGGGAAATTTTTCCCATACAGAAAGCAATTTTAACCACCACAACTAGGTCTGTTTGGTGTGAGAAAAGTCACTAGAAGAGGGAGAAATTGTGATGATTTTAAGTGAATAAGATGTGCTTGAACTGCCGCTTTGTATGCGAAATGCGGCACTTTTTTGAAAATAGTCATAAATGATACTTTATGTGGATGGAGTTCTGCTCCTCTTTGTACAAAAAGTAAGTGGTAGTACAGCATTTGGGCAAAAAACCAAACACTGAGGTGCATTTGATGAAAATTGTGGCGAAAGTCGAGGCGAGGAATTGTAAAAGGGGAATGTCTTATCGGCAAATAGCAACGACTGAGCGCTTCACCATGACTCTTCAGTTTGGTGAATTGGTAAAAGTAACCTTGAAAATTCCGGATCTACCTTAAAATATGAGTAAATCATCCAAGTAATTAAATAAACGCAAGCCATTGGAGCCGGAAATTACCAATTTGATCGAATAAGTGCTAGTGAGAGCAGTGTTTGTCTGAAAATCTCGCAATTTGTCAGATGACCGAAATATTGGCATAACTCGCACCACTGCTTGCTGGAATCATAAGTTTTAACTTCTAGCCACCTTTTAAAATAGGTGTGATCGTTTATACACATGAATTTTAGTGCATTAGTCTGCTATTACGTTATTCTTTACCTTACACTTTGTCAGTAAAATTTTTCTGCTTCACCTACCTAAACTCTGCTCTAAACTTATAGCCACTTCATGACAAATTTGTTGCATAACATTTGGAGAGGACGTGGTCAAGTGGATTAAACAATTCAATTTTGGTAATGAATCACCCCAAGATAGACGACCCTCTGCCTTTGACAGTGAAAAATGAAGAGTCGCCATTGGATGAAACAACTGAAGAATACATTGTCATGATCTTTCAGTCATGTCTACCCATTTGCATCTGCCTCCACTGGGAAGGGAGAGTGGTGGAAGCTACTGGGCGAATAGACGCCTCATGCTATGCATTAACAAGTGGCAATAAATGCTGGGCACTACCACTTCGTTCTTGGCTTCTCTAACGGGTGTTATAAAACGGACCCTTAGTGGATGGCTTGGCGACCGACTGACCTGCTATAAAAAATCGGATTTACGTTCTGGTCATGCCCTCTGTTAGTCTCGGATGATCTACCTACCACCTCACACTTCTAAGGCGGCATCTCATTCCCAGGATACTGCCAAAATAAGTTTTGTTTCTAGGGCTGGAACGCATTATTAACTTAGAATTTTTAGCACGTTTGTGTCTCACTGGGAAATGCTTATAGATTGTGATGTTGATAATTTTAAAGGGTAAAACACTTTAAAATGTGTGGTCACCTTGTACATCGTGACAAGCCTACACGGACATCATAAGGCTCATCGTACGAATAATTTTTCTCAAATTTACTACCGTTAATTTAGAAATCATTACTTTCGCCTGAGGAAGACGCATACTGTTAAAAAGAAAGTGAAATTTTTTCGTAGCTTTGTGCCTAACATCGGAAAAAAGGGGACAGCTCGGGCTATCTGTAAGGCGAACCAGGCTAGGCGGGGTTGTTGGAGAATCACCTGGAATGCGAACGAGGGGGTGATAGTGAGAAAAATGGTATGAATAAATTAAACAGACTAGTGTGTGATAGAACTGACGCTACAAATTTGTAATGCAGACAAGGCAAAGGAGGGGTGATAGCACATACATGTCCACTTTCGACGAGGTAATTAATGAGTGTCACGGCTTCGGCAGCAAGGAAAAAACGAGTGGTCATCATTACTGTACCATTACCAACCGTTGAGTGGAGTGATTGGAAGAAATCTGGCGAAGGTCTAGCCTTTGTAAGTACCATTACAATGGCGATTTAGTGGACTGTAAGGCCAATACTGGTTTTAGTGAGGTTCACAAAGCTCAGTCTTTTACTGCAGTGTCAATCAGATAATTGAATGAAGCCATATTTTCGAGTAAGCTGAACACAGAACATGTTAGGTCGTGCCTTGAAAAACCACAGGTGGTGATACAAGCAAAACTTTATAGAAATCATTCAGGAGTAATGATATTGTTGATATTTGAGGGCAAATTGTTATTTGAAACGCAACAAAGTGGGTCCATGACGCCGATACTACAAAAATATTACTTAATTTGAGCAAACCACATGAAATCCCTTCAAAAATAGTCAATTTGTACAATATTTCTGCCGTATCTATGTGTACCTAACTGGTATGGGTATATCGTGACACAGTGGTCAAAAGTTGGTGGACTAGGAAGAGGCCGAAAGCGACCTCAGACATAAGGAGAAGTCAAATATTAGGGTCACTAAGGTGACGCCATGTGATTGTTTGCCTAGTTAAAGTTGTTCATCGAGTTTTTTTCATTCCTGCTACTGCAACGAAACCCTTGCGTCACTCCATTGCAAAACAACTTGCTTACATCATTCACTCAAACACCGATCTGGTATGCACACAATTTAATGAGTCTACGGCTCTCACGGCTTAGGATATAAACTAGTCTAACGCACACATCCAGCCTACGTATAACCTCCTTACCTATTATTCACTTCTTTTTTGTAAACCGATTTCTAGACGGAGGAAACCCTGTTCCCCTACAATGTCTACAGTTCCAATGACCCCAACTTATGCTCTTAAAGCATCTACCATTCACAAGAAAAAAAGACGCTTCTGTCTTGCCACCTACATTCTGACGTGACAACCCTGACGTCGTAATGCAACGACAGCAGGCTTGTGAGGTGAAAACAGTCATAAACCACCTTCAGACAAGCCTGGTTACTACTCTCCACGTCTAGACCATTTCTAAAGAAAGTGGAAAAAAATCGCCAAACCTATTCATAGCAGATTTTCTCAGCACTGTGAGGTAAAACTACCCTACAATGTGTGCACTCAATGAAAAGAGGGTAATAATTAGGAAGTTCTTAAAATGTACGAATGCGATTCTGTTTGTTAGCTAGGTCAGACATTATTATTTATTTTGTCTTAAAAGTTATCCACATTTAAATATGCGGAACTTGGCTCACTGGCCTCCTTGCCTATTTGTAGCTTTCAGATAGCATACAATCCCGACCGCACCTCTTTCAGAGCAAGCAGACTACGAAGCGGCTGATCGCTTGTTTTCTTACAATCGGAAGAATGTTTGGATTTAGCTAATTTAAGGATGGTAACCGCATTAGCACCTAGCAAGAACACTTTTAACTAGGTTTATGAGTAAACCGAATTCCCATTCTCTGAGGCTGCTGTTCTTCTCCATAAATGGATTTGATGCACCAGTGAAATTATGACCTAATAAATTGACGTGCTTTTGAAAAGAAGAGAAGTAGGTTTAGCTAGCTAGAAGCATTTAACCTCCTCCATATGTGAACAAGCATGTACATGTGCCTAGCGCCGTCCAGAAGCTGGGTGTGTAGTTGGCCTAACTTTGAACAGATCACACTGAAAATGTGAGCAAGTTCACACGACTATGAATAATTCTCTTCTTCTTATCTTCAGTGCCGAATTTAATGGTCAAATGGGTCAGGCTACTTCAATCGCCAGTACTACCTCATCGCTGTGCTTAGGCGCCTAGATTTATGGACTAATACCAGCAATAATAATAATATAATAAGGCTGAGTAACTTTAGAGGCTTGGACATTAAACAGCTCCACGGTTTAAGCTACCTAATTTTAGGGTAGGAGTGTACTTTAAAACTTAGACGAAATGGGGACTTTACCTGCCCTCTAGGATTGGCTTCTAGGCCGTTTTAGGTCAAACAGAATTTGTAGCCAAACTTTTATTTGTTCCCAAAAAAACTGCACATTACGACGTGCGTGACACAAGTCTAGATTTTAGTGTCAAACTATGCACATAATCTTAGGTCTGAAAGAACAAAAAGACAATCTTCTGTATTTGTTCCACCTAGAATGCAATCGCAGATAAAAGCAACATTTGCGTCAGGAGTCATCTGAAACAGCGCGCAAATTCTGCTGCTTTTGGGTTCGAGAAAAAATCGCAGAATGTAGAAGACACTTAGCCAGCCTAGTATTTTGATCTCAACTTGAAGTAATTAATGAATAGAGAGCAAAAAAATAGATACACAGATAGTACGGCATAGTCAGAAAAGTTCACCTCGTTGCACGCATGCGATTTGCCTTGCCGCATTAACTGAACCTCAAAGAGTATCTCATTAAGTGTACCAGGTTTACCGACATGATTTGTAAGGCCCAAATCGAATTAATTAGCACATGCGATTGGATGTAAACCCTTGCCTTTAAAAGCACTGCAGAATTCGTATTGAAGACATAACGATGTTTTTATTTATGCTGCTACCTGCTCCTCTAACCACCAAGGAACGATGAAATCAGTTTAAAGTAAAGCCTTCCATGTTGACATCACTAAACAGTAAGCGTTAACCTTTTTGATGTAAGACCACGGAAATCGGAGAAAACGATCATAGAGGCTGCGCGTTAGAAACAAAATCATATTTTTCAATACGTACACAGATTAAATTACTCAACTATCAAAGAGGACTAATGTCCTAATTCTAAATATGCCTCATGTAGAAGAAGTTTATTAGACATTTAAGGACTCCGGAAAGTAAAATTAGTTAACTTCATCCATTCTTTGTTATCACAGAGGAGTCATGTATAGAGAGGATAAAATATGACATTGCTATTTTCCTTATTAAAGTGTAGGTGATAAGTGTTTCGGATCCTAAATTTGCGGCTTGCTTATGAGGGAGCAGATTTTCTTTCTACAAGCTGAACTTCTCCACACCAGAGAAGCACACACCTTCCACTCCAACCGCGCGATCTGGCGAAAATGCAAATAAGTCATAATGTTAGTGGTAAATATTTTGTCTTTGGGGCCTTTGTGGCTTTGAGGACAGAGTAAGTGTACAGCAACTGTTCCTATGTGGCACAGGACGATGTGCTACGAAATGCCATTCCCTTCTGGCTGATGACATGTGCTTGTAGATGTTTATTTGTTGTATAAATTCTAGAAAACAAATCAGGTACTATCTTCTTCGCATTCCTTACCCTCGAAAGACAGAAGTGCATGACTGATGCTAAGTGAGAACTAGTTGTTGAACCTCTAAACAGTGCTTTCACTTTGAATGACTATTTTTCCTCGAACTCGCCTACAAGTCACACGATATTCAAGTTATCAAATCCTGCGCAATACAGGGTTAGACGTGCTTTTTTTCTCTGATGCTGGTGAAAAGGTATTGCATTGTAATGCCAGAAAAAAGTCTACTTCCTTAGGCGCCAAGTTTGAGAGTGGTCAATCCCGATATTTACAATAGACTAGTTATAAAGCCTTTGACATTTTGGTTCTTAATTTTGACCGCTACCTATTTTTAGTTCTAAATTTAACTAAACAAATCGAGTACTACTTTAACTCATGTAAAAGCAGAAGAAAATAATCAAAAATATCAGTTAATAAGGTCTGTTGCAAGTGTATGTTAGTAAAGGGTTTTTAATTTCCCATTTTATTTAGTTTTTGTATGTAAAAACTGATGCATTTATTTAAGAAATATGAAGTCAAACTGTGGTGAACAATGATGAGTTGAATGTAGCTTTGATTGAAGAGGACATGAATACATTCCAATCTACATGAGTATTGGTTACAAGTTGATAGGTATCGCGGTTTTCTACGAATTGAATCAACCTCCTGACATTCCCAAATAGAGTTTCATGAGACCCTTCAGATCTATTGCACTGGGTAGTTCATTTCTGCCTTAAATTGTATGAAATAATAATGATGACGGAAGGCTGCGAAGCCACTAATATTAGTCAACAGGAGTAGCTAAATAAGAATATCTCTCAAGACATCGGTGAACCATATTTTGTGCAAGCAACAATGCACCAACAACAGCAATCGAACTCAAAAACTGCACTACGGGAAAACTGCAACGCCTTCTGAACAATGTCATTGCACAAAGGAGGCGGATATCATTCAGACATTATAGAAAATTTAGAAGCATATTTTTTAACTTAACCACTTTTAATTCCTCTGTTATCTTTGCTTTTTGTAGTTGATTATGCAGGCTTCTTATGTGAGAGACAAAGTACGAGGTATGGATTAAACAAGGCGTTAAGCATCAACTCACTTTCTCCGCATTCATCATAGCAACGGCAGCTTCCAGATCCGTGCAAACAGTTAGCAGTCGGTCAATCATAACTCGAAGCCGTTCCACAAGAACTCCAATCATTTCCTGCGTTTTCGTGATTCGATAGGACTCCAGTGTTTGGCCTGCTTCACCCCAATTTTTTAGCGTTGTGCTGTAGTGATAGCGACGGTAGAAGTTAAACTGATCCAGCGCAGCCGTATAGTCTGAACGGGCTCGTTTGAATTCATTGTGCTTCTGGGTGTAGGTTTGGAGAGCCTGGAACATCGTGTAGGAAATTCACAGCCTTATTTGTGACATTGATAACATGCTTATATGCCCGGCATTTAACTTGTGAAGAAAGTGAGTGAGTCCACTTTACGTCACATAAACAAATTTACTCGCAGAGGAAAACTGTTAGCCAATAACGTTTAGTTGTTTATACATACCTCTTCTGGATGAGAGAGATGGGAAATTGTCAAAGTGAACTGTTTTTGATGCTTTCAGAAAACAGCTCTATGTTAAAGGTGTCATGAGGATCCAGAAATACAGTTAGCAAACTGTTTGTACCCGATTTTGCGCCTTATAACCCGGCTCCTTTTGCCATAAAAAGGTTTTGTTCTATAAAAACGGATTCTACATACATTGTGAAGGATGATTTTATTGTAAATTATGAGGACAAAATAGTGGAAAAACTCTTTTAAATAGTCGGATTCATTGAATCTTTTGGATACTTGCGCAAAGTTATTACCCTACTTTGCAGCTGTGATACCGGCTGACTAGATTTCCCAACTTGATCATCTACACCTTTCACTTCATAGAGGGCTATAAATTCAATAATATCCCTTCGATATCACATTATTCTAAAATGCGAAGTTCTAATAATCTCCGCGTTATCACAATTGCGTACCTAATCTCAAGAGCCTTGCATCGCATTCCCGTTTTGTTGCAAAGGAGAAGGTGCTTTTGTTTAATCTCACTACTAAAACCAGGCGGGTAAAAGTAACTATTATTCATTAGGACGTTTACCTCAAAATAGGCCTAGTGCCTGGACAGAAATAACTCCAATACACGTAGGGTACTTTCGCTAAAAATAAAATTTCATCGAAAATTTTAGTTTTTAAGGAACATATTCTTCATTATTTAACTGAGGTTGATTAGAACAATCGCTGTTGATCGTTAATCACATTATGAGAAAACCATTTTCCGAAAGCAACTATGATTGCAACACGTTTAGAAAAGTGAAAATGCACTTTTCTCTCTTAAGGGCTGATCAAGTATGGCAGCCGTTTATTTTAGAGATTGATACACCTTGTTAAGATACAGTACTGGCGCAAAAAATCCATGCATGCACCTACAGTGTACTTTTTCCTCCCTGAAATTAAAAGGGAGAATTTGCTATAACATGGATTTTATTAGAATGCGGTCTACATGAAGGTGTGAGAATTCTTCCTTACCGTCAAAAACTGAATTTTAGACATAAAGTGCACAATAATGGAGGAGAGATGAAGGTCTCACAACCATAACGTAATCGACAATCAACTATGGGGAATAGCTTTGCACTCACTATTTAATATCGTCATACAAGGGTACCTATTTACTTTGCAAGTCTTATTCTAATGGAATGTAAATCCAAAGTAAAGAACGCTTACATAGATTAGTGATTCCTAGCTATAGATTATTTGTTAGATAACTGTGGTGACGCATCAGTAAAAAAATATTTATCAGTTTAATTCCATACGTGGAGATGATTTGGGGCAGGCAGAAACAGCAAAAATTATTAAAATCAAGTCTTTTAAAAAGTGGCATAAAATAATTACATTTCATTTACTAACCACAAATTCGAGACATTTGTTGATAAAATACTCAAAGCAACTACAACAATTAGTTTACTTTCTCAACATCCAGCTTCGAATATGTTTTGTCCTCGTCGATTTTGTTATACTCCTCTTTGCTCCGAATAACTTCCCAGTATTTTTCACGAAATCTCTTGGCCTCATCATCTATTATCTTGGCCTGACATTTGGCTTCATTTTGAAAGCGATCTCTCTCCTGTTTCCACTGCTTCAGACCCTTCTTTTCCTCTTCAAGAGACTGCCTAGTTTCACCGTTTGCTTGTAGATTAAATGAAACCGGCAATAAATTCTCTGTATCAATGAGTTTGGCGATTGCGTGTATAAAAGCATTATAACCTCGACCATACGTTGTTTCCAGTCCAACAGCCTTTTTGATATTAACCAAGGCCTTTTCACACACGCGCCTTAGAAATAGATAAGAAAAAATATACTTACTTCTGGATGGTGAAAGACTCCCCTTGCAACTTTGCGATATCCAGAATAAATTTTTGTAATCTGTCATGGAGTGAAATACCACTTTCCTGATATTTTATAAGATTTGATGTCTGATCCTACTATGGTTAACCCGAATCGTTGCACTACCCATAGCTGAACTCCCCAGGATTGTTCCGCAATCATCACATAAGCTGTATTCGCGTATTTTTTATAAGCAGAGTTTCCAAACCAGCAGGCTTAACAAATGATTGGATAAGTAGGAGCAACATCAATATCAACATATCTAGTTCATATTATTTACAATAATCCTTAGAATGCATAGCCTAAGTGTTATTATCCTATGCGTACCCTTAATTATTCGTAATTACATTTCCAAAAGTGATGGGATTTAAAAATTTTCCTTTTTAGAAAGCCATTACTTTAGCAAAAATTATCAAACCCATGTAAAAAACGATTTTTTTCGAAAGACTTACATTAGCCTTGCATTGCCTCAAAACACTTTAAAAATGGCCACGAAGCTCTGTCTTTAAAAAATGCGTTTACGGTTCTCCCGCCGTTCCATAAACAGCCTTCTTACGCTATCCACAGAATATAAACTGCTAAACTAGTAAGGCTAACTTTAGCGCCCTGAGACTCCCTGAAGTCAAGAGAAGATGAAATACTCGAGCAGAATACATGTATTCAGCGCGGAGAAGGTGTCCGGGCTATTGGCATGGCCCAAAAGGCCAGTCCACCCAGCCGGTTACAAGGGGGCTAATTCGAAGTACAAAAGTCGCGCCTCACCAATGCCGAGGATAAACCACTATCGTATTACCCCAACATTTTTGATGGGTGTGTGTGGTTTTCAGCTGCATCTGCTACTTATTGGCCTGGTAGAAATTTATAACACAGGTGACCTCTTTTTGCTTCAGGATTTTTAATTTTTTTTTGATAGTCTAGGCGCATGCAGTTTTTATTGTACTGGTTGTATCTGTGTGTTTTTGGGCCTGTCTGCATAAAGCTCCCATCTAATACCAAAACCACAACGGATTCTATATAAGGACTTTGCTGCTGATAATTATCGACAGTTCTATTGTGAGAAATGGTCTTTTACAGTCACCTTTGTCTTTATCCTAACTGATCTTGACCTTCACGTATCCCCTTCGCTTAGGTCCGTGTGTATAGTGGAGTGAATGCCTTGTTGTTCAATTGCCGATTTTATTTTAGGATAATGCTGTTAATAAATTGTTTAATATCTAAAGCAGTTTGTTCTACTTCGGTTACCAATGCGCACAACACGCCTCTAACATTTTCAGCGATAAGTGTTGGAATGACTTTTCTTAATTATTAATAGACTGCAGTCATTGACGAATGCAAAGGTCGGTGCTAAAGGAGAAAGTCGTTCAGGTATACGAAAAGCTATTCGCTGTATGTTTCTTTCATTCATCATCAAATTCATTTCCCCAGGGGCAGGATATTACCTCCGGAAGAGCAGAATTTTGGGATGAATTCTTTCTCCTCAGAGTGAACATCAAAGTGCTACTTTCGTATTTTGATAAAGTCCCACAGGAGCATATTACTAATTTAAAGGTTAGCTTGATTCAAGTCCACTAATAGCATACAGTTTTTTAGTTGGCATATTTACCGATAGCTTTTGATTCCATGAATCCTATTTCAGTTTACTTTTCCATGACATTTGATAAGCATGTGTTGATACTCGCCTCAATCAAAACTTGTTCATATGTGCCTCATCATGGAACACTGTCTTGGTCGTCTCTTTTCTACAAAGAATTACTTTCTTTTAAGCCTCACTTAAGTCGATTATATGGCGAATGTCTACAAAAGGCTTTGAATACCTCTCATTGGCTGCGCATTGCCAATGCCCTTCAAACGTCAGACTGCCTCCTACTGGGTACTTTTCAGTCCAAAAATATAACTCTCTTATCAGAAGACAGGCTCAAACTGCTGGTTCCCACTGAATGCTTAGTGCCCGCCAAAGTTGTAGGTCCACTTTTGATGCCATAATCGCTGTAAATAAATACGTCCCTTTTTTGGTGTCTAGTGGACTGGATGAAGCTTCTTAGTTGTAAATTATTTGTTTTCTTGCAAGTTCCATTATGGTTGACAAATATTTGATTTTTAGGAATACATGAAGCTCTGTACAGCTAGCTTCGTGAATGACTGGCCGCCGTTATTGCAAGAACTTGTAATAAACTCTCTAACCATTCGTTGTGTGGTAAGTAATGCCAGTCCGGTGTTTTAAATAGTGCCGAAAGTTGTGCCTTCAAACTATTCTCATGTTTCCCGCTTTGCTAGTTATGTTATCTCTATAGTGCCCTTTGGGACTTGTGTTACTTAAACACAATTATTTTAACCATTCACTGATGTTTATTTGATGCATCTTATTCTGTCTTTTGTGACCAACTTAGAGTCAACAGCATACATTTTCTAGGAATGAAATTATGAAAACTTAACTGCATTTCCTAACTCATTTTCGGAATGAAGACATGGTTTAATACGGTATTTCTCCCCCTTTTATTACAAAATTAGCTAAATTGGTTTACTCTTGCGCCGTTTATTAAAGGCATCGCTTTATTTGAGTGATTTTTGTCGTCCGAATAAAAATATGCGTTGCCTTTATTCTCTTAGTCCATTTGCTTTTTACATTTTTTGCATAACTTAAAACATTATAAGCGTGACCAGGCTTGTTCGCGTTGCTAGTAGCCACATAACTGCATCTTTTTATGTCCTCAAGACGTCCCAGAAGTTGAAAAAACATCATTCTTTAGTAGGTTTGTTCACCATTGCTCGTGCCATTTGGTTTCAATTGCATTAGATTTGTCTAAGCACACTCTGAACCCCTCTAACGTCATGTTGCCCTACCTTAACTGTTCTCTTAGCTACTGAATCACGTACATGAAAACCCGTTTTTCGAGTGGTTAATGGACGAAAGCCTCTTCGAACTCCTCGGCACACTTATCAGTGATTCCGTTCTACGACACCGCTTTGGCTTTGGTGCTTGTCGTCTCCTCGGACTCGTCTCCCAATTTCAGTGGAAGGAGGTGTGTCTTCTCAAATCCTCTTAACACTCTTGCTACTGGCGTTATATGTGACGCTCCGCTGTTCTTACCCGAATCTGAATTACGCTGAGAAGGAACTGTCTGGAAAAAAGATTGTATCTTGGTAGAACAGCAAAACGTCTGGATTGTGGTAGTTGACCTGTCTCTAAGATCTCAATAGCGAACGTGTTAGATCCCATCGTATTTCATCTTTTTTCGTCCTCTCCATGTAGGTGAACAACCCTTTTCTGATGAAAATTGCTCAAGTGAAGGATGAAATCCTCCTAAATGTAAGCTGACTTTATGCCTAATAATATTCCATCAGAGCATATCTGCGGTGATCTCATTTGCCCTCTCGGAGTCCACGAGGTATGTTTTCCTGTCGTTACGTGCCCTCAGTGTTCATGAAGAGGAACTTTGTACAAGAAGGCTCTTTCACGGATTTTGTTCTAGGAAATACAACGAATATGTTCATCCCTCCAGTGGCATTTTCCCTTCACTTTCAAATATGGTAAGTTTGTTTCAACCGAAGTAATCAAGGAACTTGTTTTCCTGTCGGATTAAGGTAAAATCGTTCTCTTTTTTAATATGTATGCATATATTTTGATTTCGAGATTACAATCTTGTGATGTGGTCTTTATCAATTTGTGGCACGAAACCTATTTAAAACAGCCAGATAGGTATGGCGTTTTCTCTTTGTGAGGACAATTGCACTTTGTTTAGCCTCGGGGCAGGAGTTTAATCGGTCACTTCGGTGGTACAAGTCTCGATGATGTCACTTTTGCGCATTGCAGCATTTGGGTCTGCGATGTTCAAAATTCTTTCCAATCCCTGATGCCAAATGAGCTGCAAAAGAGGTCATCACTGTTCAATGATTCACCAGGAAGTAGTGTAGGTGCATTCAAGAGACAACTAAATAATAGTAGTGAGATTAGTTGACTTATGTCTAATCAAAAGGCCTTGGACGGCGTTCCATAAAACGGTATCCGTGTTCCTCTCTATGTCTGTTTACTTTGAGTTTTTTGGGGTCCGAAACGGTAAAAGTCAGGAATAGGGTGAAGCGTGGAGTTGAACTACTTGGACTCTGTATAGTGTAAATAGTTTATTTACAACTAACCGAAAAACGGGGAGTACAGAATCGAGGATGGCCGGATTAAAGTTGTGTCCATTTGGTGTTGGTGTTGTGGTGTTCGCTTTTTGTTGTCCTCCACTCTTGAAGTGTAAATCATTAAATTCGGGTTGTCCGCACCCTGCTTTGAATCTCATTCTCGACACTTCCAGTTGTTGTGTTGGGGAGCCGGGTCGTCTGAAACCGCCCTCGGATTACGAATAGAGGTGTCATGATTGACTTGCATCGGTTACCGCGCTTTTTTGTAGCATTTCTCATGTTGCATTATTCCGTTAATTCGTTTAGAACGTATTGTCGAAGGCATCTACTTATTTTAAAGTGCTTTGCACTGTTCTGAGTCCTCTGAATGTGTGATAAGGTTCATGATCAACGTCCAATTGCGTTTGGGCGACTGTCGTAACGTCAGAGGTGATAATCTGTTTTTTGGAGTGGGAATTTTACTTAGTCGCGATTGTTGTTTCACCAACTTTTGTTCTCTGGTAGAACTCTTAAGCGTTGTGGGTCTTGTGACTAGTTTTTGAGGCTTTTCATTCCGGTCCCGGTCCTTTGCTTCTTAGCCTCTGCTTGCCATGCTTTCTCCAAAGCTGTGATGTTTGTTTCATTGGGCTCAAGTGTCGATTTGTTTTAACGATTTACCCACAACCTTATTTTTGTCTTTTAGTGATTACAAAAGTAGTTGGTAAAATTACGGCTTATTATTTTGCCATAGACGTTTTCGTCCAGCATGACTTACTTCACGAAGACGATGCAGTAAACTGGGAAAAATTATCTATCGGGTTAATCCACACCTCGATTTGTTGCTGTAGTTCAGACGAAGCAGTTTTTATATTTGTCGATTGTGGAAATAAATGATATTTGTATTTCGGGTACTTTGTTAATCCAATTTGAGTGCAGTAACACTTACTACTAACTCTAACTTCCCTGTTCTTTTTCTTTCTCATGGATTCAGCTTGGTGGACGTAAAATCGAAGGACAGAGACAGGACTTCAGGTACATCTTTACGTCATTATTTATAAGTTCTGCAAAGATTTGAGAACGTTTCTTGTTTACAAAACAGTTTTGCGCCAAATGAGCTGAGTCGGCCCCCCTGTAGAGCACTTCCATTGTCCACTTTTGCAACCGGAGATTTTAAGCCCTTTTTCCTTTGTGAAGTATTACAAAATACTAATCTATTATGCACTTCCAAAATAAACCAGTCAAGTCAGTTTTCGGCCTTGATCCACCTAGCCCTCCATTACTCCGTGCTACTTAAGAGACTTTTCAGGGGCATGGTGCCCTTCAATTTCAGCATGCATGACGGACTGCTACTGTGTCTCTACGTGATCATTCTGCACAATCCGCGTTTTCCCTCTCTCTTCTACTGCTCCCACACCCACACCGATGCGCACCAACACAATGTGATGAGGTTTGATAGAGGTAGGGTGGTGCTCACTAGTCCACTAGGCAGGCATTGTCTCATGTCTACGTCCCCCCTCCCTACAGGTTCTTCGCGCGGAAAAGTGATGGATATCGGCGATGTGGATTGGACAAATGAGAATCACGCGCCGTATCAACCGACTGTAGATCCGCGCAATCTGATGGCTGATCTGATTGAATATGCCTCGGTGGTTATGCAGGGCATACGGGGGGGTATGCTCTTTTGCATTAATTAATTACCGTTGATACAAGTGAATTGAAAAGAGTTCCACTTATTCGTTTGTAATTATAATCGAGACACCGTAGTTAAGTTGTTTACAAATGGATATTCCTTGGATGAGTCGTTTTTAGTCCAAGTGCAGATCTAAGCTGATTGGCAACTCTGTATCAAAGATGACGTTAAACTATGTCAGACCTAACCATTAATTCGATAAAAGTTAACATTTTTTCCTCCCTAATTATGCATTATCGTTTGATAGCTTTTGTCAATTTTCCATTCAACCATGTCTCTACTTGATTTTGTAATAAATTGATTGAATTGTGGTGTACCGAATCTTTCCTGAAGTCGTACTAACCCATAGCATTGTTAGGAAAGGCCCGGCACTAAACTAGACAACGACAAAGCCGCGTCACTAAAGCTGAAATACAAATCTTGGGGACTAGGGGGCACCCATGGTTAAATGTACAGTTGACTAGACGGTAAATCACCACTTGTCTTCCCTTCTTCTGGACGTTATCCACAGCGCTCTCCTTGGCCACTTCTGTTTAAAACATCAGGAGCAGTGGCCATTAATTTTTTCGTGGAACCAAAAAGACTTTTACTCCCTTCATCAGTGTTTGGTTCCGTTAATTCTACTGTATCCGAACTTCCATTCTCTTCTTGAAATGCATTGGCTTCGCACTACTCAAGGCTGGCTAACACTCCATAATGGGTCCACTTCATGCACCACTTGATATTTGTCGGAACCTTGGCCTAAGAGCCCAGCTGTTGAACAAAACACATAATTTTGAGAGGTTTCTCGAGGCAACTATCCTGTATCTATTTCTCCTTTCCATCCTGTTATCAATTAAATCCCGTCCAACCATCTAAGTGGAGTGACGTGAAGCAGGTGTCTTCCGTTTACTTAACACATAAAATTCCCTATAAGTGCTGTAGGCAGCTGCATAATTGGAGTTTTAAAGTCAATCCTGTCTAGTGTTGCTTCTGTTGAACATTCTCTTCTTACAAAACACTAGATTAGGATAGTTACCATGGCTGGATACTGCTTTAACAACTCCTCCGTGGTTGATCTGCGCAGATGACTTCTGTGATGCTAAAATTGGAAATTCAGGGCAGTTGTCTTTTCGGGTCGAAGCTGTTTGTCGCTGCGACGAATGTGATGCTCCCAAGCCCTCCCTGAAGTCTTAACAAGTCTCATTCGCAAGGAAGGCCAACTGTTAGAAAGCTGTAGGTGCAGGTGCTTGGTGATGCCGCTAGGGTAGAAGTGAAACCCATGAAGAATGTATAGCACGTGCAATTAATAATAACCTCTTTCTATTGCAAAACGATTTACGACATTTTTATCATCAAGGGAAACAACATTCTTCTCTAATCCAGTAATTTTGTGTATGTTTATGCATCTAAAAGGCGATTTAGTTGCGTGACGTGTGATTACTCCTTGTCGTCAAGGTGGAGGCCTTTTTGTTCAAGTGTGATTTGCCACGCTGGAGTGAAGACGATTGCAGATTTCAACCGCTAATAAAGTGCTGTGATAGGGTTCTTCCTGAAAGTAGATTATGGAGTTAAGCAGAGGTTGTACTGCTGCTGCGAATGCGGAAGGTTTTTCTTGTCTGCCTACGTCCGTAATCACTGGAAATGAAGGCAGAACTCTGGATTTGGTTCTCGAAAATGGAAGATCGTAGGTGTTATGACAAATTGTTTTTGCCTCGTAACCGTCTTATGTTCAGTAGGTTTTTTCAGCAAATAAAGAAGAAGCATGAGGTCAAGCATTTACCTCTCCTTTCCGCGCTTTAATAATTATTTTAAAATGCCATTTCGGTACTAAAAATGGTAAGAACTGTCTTCCTTAGGTAAAAGTGGCTGAAAATGTGCCATTACGCATCAGGCATTTGATGAAAAAGGTGTCTTGGAACCATGTGTCTACGAAATTTCGAATGTATTCTCCATACGAGGACAAACGTGTCTCTTCTGAAGTGGCCTATGTATTGAAAAGTTCAAAGATGTTCGAATCGGTATGTTGGATGCCCAACCCTCTGAGGAGGTTGAGTTAAAGCTTAATGTGAGTGTTAGATCCACCTGGGTTTACGTAAAGTGGGTGCTTCAGCAACTGAAAAAGGCAGGAACCTAAACTCAGGCGCCTATAATCCATTGCGATGTTGATTTTCTGGAATAAATAGCTAACTTCTACGCATCCTGAATTCACTGGGGGCCCCAAAGCGGGTGGCTGAGGATGTGATGGAGAAGACGGCGAAGCTCGGTTATCATAAGCCAATCCGTTTTTGGTCGTTTTCTCGGGCTCTGACAGACGACATCTTTAGTTCACCCTAAACGACGGCATTGGTGAAGGGGGATTTTGCTGTTACCAAATCCTGGTAAACTACAAGCTAGAAAGTTAGGCAAAATCTAATTAAGAGGTCATAGACCAACCAGATCGTAGCTGGAGTTAAGTTTCATCTCCAAGTGAACTCTTTGGACTGTCTGAAGAAGCCTTAGATGAGTATGAATGTGTGGAAGTGGTAGTCCGTCGTAAACTTTGCGACCAAAACAAGATTGTGTGATTTTAGAGCAATAAAAAAGAGCTCATTCGTTGAAATAGTTAGTTCCTACTTCTTTCCACATCACAACCTTGGGAGGCATCCTTTTTTTATCTTTTGGAGACCTAGAAGCGTGGATTGTGTAGTAACTTAAGGCATTTGGGGATAACCGGGCAATGATGTGTTCCTTCACTCAACGACGCTTCCAGCACGAATGTCATTCACATCACAGGTCAGTCAGTTGACAAGCAAGCTGTTGTTGCCTTGTTGTTATCTATTGACCCCTGGTATGTGTGTGACACCTACTTGCCAGGCTTTCACGACCTTTCTGGCTGACGTGTGACTTGATGCAACACTTACTGTCTTGGCGTGTTAGCTCTCATTCATTTCAAACAGTGGCATTGCATGTTTTGGCATCAATAAGAATTGGTGGATCTTTCATCATTAAAAGCCATGTTTTATAACTGTTTCTGGACGGTACATTCCCTTAACGTGTATCGTGCTCCCCTCCAAACACTTTCCTACAAAATTGACGATAGGCTAGCGTTTCTCGCAACTTTGGAACTGATTTCAACTTGATCTGTTAGGGGGACGAGCTTGAATCACAGTCGTTGGGTTCTAGCTCACACGCCATTTTTGATGGCGGTTGATAGGTGGACGTATGACTTCCCTTTATAATGGACATGAACGGTGGCACTGCAAGTTACGATGAATTAAAAACAGCGATAACATCTTTGTTCACCGGATAGAATTTCGTGTTGATGTTATCAGAAGGTTATTTCAGGGTTGAACAAAACTCGAGGCGATGCTACTTAATTTTGAAATAAGTAGATGAAAAGACCTTAACCCCCCCCTCCAAGCCTTTGTCTTTTGCTCTACCTCCTGCTACTAAGTAAATCTCAATGGTTGGGAGAACTTGTAGGGACGGTTAACTCCTAATCCTGCCCCTGATACTTCTTCATCATAGTCCCTGCGCATTCATTAAAGGCCACTGCCCATAGTCACTGAGCAACGTCTTCGTTACCACGATCCGCTTTTCTTAAGCTCTTGTTATTACCTCACCTCCTGATTCGTTACTTCAGTGCACGCTTTTTTCCTCATTTTATAGATTCTGAGGGCCTGAGTACGTGTAGTCTCTGCTTCAAAATCATGTCCCATGCGACCATGGTAAAGGCTTCACATTTTCTCACCAATTTGCTTCTCTCTTCTGCCGGCTACTCCTTTTTACTTCCTCCTAGAACCTGTCCGTCTGCCGTTTTCTGCACGAATACAACATTCACTTTACCATCCAGCTGCACAGAGCGGTGAGTTATGAAATGCCACTTCGAATTTATGCTTCACCAGACATACTTAATGTGAGGAAGGCTTCAACGAAAAGTTGGATTTGTTGCGTCGGTGCCTAGTAGAACATATTAGGATTCAGTATTCTTTGCTGCCGAGTTTTGGGACTTGGCCGTATTTTTTATGACTTATGGGAAATTCTTGAAGATTAAAAGGTCTGAAGACGCTGTAGTAGGTGCGATCCCGCCACCACGTCCCCATCGTTCCATTCCCGGCAATTTTTGACCGCTCATTCTTGGAGTTTCTTTTTTCTATTTAATTATTTTAGCCTCTTCGACATCGCAAATCTGGTATTGCTCTTCTCGATCGCAGTTCCAATAACACCATGGCTGCTGTTCTTTTGGGTATGCTCCTTCTCCCTCCTCTCTCCACTCATCTGAACTATCCACCAATCGGTTACTTTGATCCTTTAATTCCATGGCGTCGTCCTTACTTTGGAGCGGCTTGGGAAATGTGGCCAGTGGACCATCAATTGACTGCAAAGTTCTAGCAGATCAGAGTTTATGAAAAGATGGCGCTTAATTCTGACCATCTGAGTGTGAAAGTAGCGCTTGATATGAAATTGAAGCTGAGTAGCTCCCATTCCCCAAACATCATGGTGTGCTAGTTTACTGTGGAAGTAAATGCACATCTGCCTGTTTAAGTCCATCCTAGTATCCATTTATTTTTACTCATTTTAGATCTTCTGGTCGAATTTTTCTGCACACACCTGATGAAGTCCTTCCCTTTTGAAATTCATGGGTAGGCAACGGATGTAAACAGTCGTTATGATCCTCTTTTTTAACTTAGACAATGTTTGAACATTTGCTACCACCTACTTTCGCATCAAAAAGAGCACGGTCTTCGGTTAAACTATGATTGGAGGCAGTTATGGAAAGGTGGGTTCAACAGCTTCATTATTTACAATTTCTCCTAGCTCTCTTCGACCTTATGCGGTATGTCATCAAGCCAGACGGTCCGTGCGTCTGTGGGGAGACCTTTACCACTCTCCTGAAGGTGTGTCTTTGTGCTCTTCTGTTTTCCTACTGCTATTTACTGTTTTAGTAGGTTTTCCCTGTAAATTTCAGATTGTGGGCATATTTAACTTCTTCATCACCTTTGGAGACTGCTTTCTGCCGGATCCGAACACCTACGACGATCTCTACTATGAACTGATTCGCATGAAGGATGTGGTGGAGCGACTGATCCAATTTGGTGAGTGATCAAACAGTTCCGAAAATGCTGGTTTAATTTAAATAAAATGACTAAAAACGGAATCTCTGTAGACAATCTACCACCACAATTGTCACGATTAATTGTTTTCTCTTGTACATTTTTCTGCTGGAATTATTTCCCTTTGAGGAAACACGTCACATATGTGTGACGTGCGGGCTTATATAAGCAAATCGAGGTTTCGTGCACGTACACACACACATGGTGGTGGTAGCCAATGTGAAAGCTATTGTTGGAACACCTTCTTTGAATTTGTCGATCAACAAGTATCAAAAGCGTCACAATGCGCTGCTTTCATCATCGTTCAATTTTTAAGCAATGCCGCCAGCAGTTCTTTTCCCACAGCCACTTTCGACTGGAGCCAGTTAACAAACTGTCGACGTAGAACTCTTGAACGACTAAAGTAAGGCATGTGGTCTTTTTGAAGTACAGTTGACGCACTTTTTATTTTCCCACGGCTGCTGTCAGTGCTTCAGTGTCAATATCTCAAAAGGCTTTATTATCAACACTTTAAATCGCTGGTGATTTAGTAATAGAGTTTCACGAAAAGGCTAGTTGGTGGGACTTATTAACTTATATTAAGGAAACATGGTTTTTGATCTCGTGAACTTCACGGGCTTTTTCTCTGTTTTCATTGTCTCTAAAATGCAAACGGCTTTGATACTGCTGCAGCACCGAATTTCCTGCCAATTTTGTTATTACACCGGTTTTTAGGTGTGTGAGCTTGAACCCTTTTGGGTTCTTGGACCGGGATAATCAGGCGACATAGACGCCCCAAAATGGGCGTCTTTATTTGCCGATGTGTATGAGTAGGTCGGAGATATGACATTTGCGTGTTCGTGACTGCTGGCTGACTACCGAGGGCGTGAAGTGATTCCCTTCCAGCCTACTCGCGGTGTCTTGATTAGTCTCGACTTTATAGTGATTATCAACACATTTAAAGTCGGGATTGAGACGTTCCGGAATCCTCGAGAATCGAATTGGGAGCGTTTACTGGGATCGCGGACGTCCTCAACGCCGAATTGGAAGGTCTACGGAGGGATTGGGTTGCTACAGACCGTGGGCTGAACCCCACAAAATGATGGCGACTGGGCAATCAACCAATTGCTTCATAAAATCCGGAATTTTCTTCTAATTGTTTTTTTCTTTGTGAAACTTTTGCAGTCGATCAACACTCCTGTTCACCCAAAAGCGACTGGAAATCCTCAGCCAGGGATCTTCGTGAATCTGCGCAAAATTTAAAGTTCGTTCACAGTCTTGCTGTTTTTATTGTTTTTCATTGTACCACATAGCGCCTTATTTGTAATTACTAGCTATCAAAATTTACTGACTTTGGTTAATTGCGCAGGGTCATTGTGAAGCATTTCAATGACAAGATTTCTGCCTACGTTGCCAAAAGTAGCATTACCTCATTGACTGAAGCGCAGGTTTGTCCTCTCTCCATTCCTCTGATATCACACAAAACAGGCAAAATTCGGCAAATAATAGGTCTTCTATTTGACTTTATAGGTGTTTGAAATTATTCAAAATAACTACGAATCACTCACACTGCGGGTCTCCAAGGATCTGTACAAATACTATGACGAGGCGGCGGGTGATGTGGAGGAAGACAACGATCGTATGGTACGCCTTGATCTTAATCACGTACTGGGGACGTTTTACCATCTCTTCTGTTCACTCCGTTTTTTTTTGCTTTAATCTCAATTCGTGCTTGTTCTACAAAGGCTCAGTTTATTCCAACATCACAGAGCACCTTTTACCACCAAATGTGAATGTGAAAAGTTAAGTAAGCTTGTGGAATTTTTTTGCCTTTTTAGCTCGTAGAGGTAGTTCAGAACGTCCGAAGAGACTGTTTGAAGGCCGCGACGGCGTATCAATCACGATTCAATGAATTGGCTGTGATACATTGAAGAAGTGGGCGTTGGATGCATTGCACTCATTTTTTTATATATTTTATCTGAATAAAGATGATTTCTAATTTCTAAATCGTAGGCGTTTGCACTAAATCAATTTTGGTTTTTATGTAATCACCATTTGGCAAAAAAGGTGATTGCCGTATTCATGGTTCTTCCTGGACTCGAGGTCGAGTTCACCGCGTCTTAGGTCAGCGGTTTTGTGTGCGGGCGTTTAATCAGCCAGATAGAAGTGCTTACCTCGATGTCTTACCCACCCTGGCAAAGCAACTCTTGGAACTGTTCTGGATTCACGCACAAACTTAGATCGTTTTCGAATCGTAAAAGGCTTGGGAAAGAATAGGGGATTTTTGTCTCTCGCTTTTGATTTATGACTCATTGTTTGGTGAGCGATAAAAAAGAAGCGCGAATCTAAGTTGATTAGATAATTTGTGGGGTTGATCGTGAATTTAAGAAATGGACCAGGTGGTGATCGCTCCTCTTGCTCGAAAACTGGGAAAAGATCCAGGCATTGTTTATGTAGTGTTCCAGTGGCTATCGTACCTTTGCTGGGCAGCCGAGACTTCAGCCCATGTTGGTAGCCGCAGTCCCTTTACTATGCCGACATGACATGTTCTGCCCAAGTATTGTGACCTCTTTTGTCTTCACAGAAGTCTAAGGGCGCCGCATCGGTGGCAGTACAAAGCCAACCCGATCTTAAAGGACAACTATCCTGATTTCTACTTCTGAGTGGTAAAACGTAACGGGACGGAAGGACTGATTGTGCTGCAGATGGGGGAAGTATGTGATGGCCCCTAGCAGAAAGTCTGGAAATGGGGTCCACCTTTAACAACTATTCAAGTCCAACGTCCTGGATGAAAACCATTAACAAATGATACTGCACCAGCCGTAATTATCTGGGAAGTGCTCGTTAGGGAGCTGCCTATCGCCTTTTTATGAATGTGAAAATTATGTGAACTTGGGATATGTACTCCACTTTTCTACCGACTGTGGAGGAATCAAATTTATATGATTGGGCAGCAGTGAAGTTAGAAAGAAAGTGTCAAGGCGGGATAGGCACGAAATTCTATTTTAAACCCAGTCCTTTGTAAAATGATTCTACATTTGAACCAGTTTTCCTACGACTAGAATTGGATAGGCTTGATGGCCACAAGCTTCCCCCCACCACAATTTCCATAAAAGATGAAAATCCAAATCCAGTAAAATTGCCGATCAGCAACGTTGCTTGGAAATTCGATAAGTGGCATATGAGGCTTGTACGTTATCTCCTTATAGCACCGGCGATGTTGTGATAGCTGACAAGGGGGATCGAACGAGGGGAGCCTCGATACGAAGCTCAAAAGAGAAAGGGTGGTCTTTGGCAAATTGGCTCTGAGTTTAATTGCCAGATTTGGTAACGGATCCACTTTAGGTCTCCACAATTGTACTTTCGCTGGGGGGTTGGGCCCTTTCCCCACGCCAGAGGCACCGAGCCAATTCTGAATGCCAATAGTAAATGTCGGCTTTCATCTTCAGGGGAGTCGCATAATGTTTAAATTCGTACTAATTTTTTTGAAGCGGTATATCGTGATTGACAATCCACAGTCCAAAAAGCCCTAAAACGTCTTTGATTAGTGCCTAAGCCCTTCTTTCAACTGTAACATAACCTTGGAATTCATTGCAATTACGATTTAGCTAGAAGGATTAATGCTCAAGAAGCAGCAGGAAAAGTTAATTAAATTAGTGAAAAAGGATTCATCTGGCAAATTTCGTTGCAAGCTAGGTGAGGCAACAACTCATGAAAACTAAAATATTAAATACTGCATGTCAAATATAATTCCTCAACCCAGTACTATCCGCAATTTTTAGAAGTGCAAAACACAAAACAAAATAATTAACGAATCTTAACTAGTTTGCAACTTTTTTGTGGTAGTAATATTTCTCAAATGACTCAGATTTCGTTTTAATGCGCCATCACTTAAAATCACTTTGAACAGGTTTTTAAGCTTAAAGATGGGTGACGATAACGCTCCGAAGGTATTTGAGTTTGCTTCGCTTCCTGGCGTATTTCATTTGTGTCGTTGCAATGATTTTGTAACTATTTGCAGGAAAAGAACAATGAACCAATAAACCTTACTGTACATGGTCAGGATGGTTCAGTAATTCATTTTAAAATCAAGCGTACCACGCCCTTCAAAAAACTTATGAACGCCTATTGCCAGCGGCTGGTATGTCCATATTCAGATTATCTGAGCCTCAGGGTTTAACCCTCTCAAATGTCCGTTTTACTTGCGATGGCGAACACGTTCAGTACGAAGATACTCCAGAATCGGTAAGGTGGTCCTCTATCTTCTTACGTGGCTCTTTAGTTGGATTTGCACGACAACGACACAATAGAGGTTTTCCAGACTCAAACTGGTGGAATTTGAGAAGCATTTACATGTATATTACACTCATCTTTGTTACAATATGGGACATTTTATACTGAGATCCCTTTGGCTGCTGCTTCGTGAATACTTTCGTAAAACCGCCTATATTCTGTGCTCCTCAAGAATCTACTAATGGTCATGTGGTGCTATTTTTACCTCGGCTTGTACGGGGCATTTGTTCACGGTCTCTTAAACTACCCACGTTCATCACTCCATTTTTTGCGCCTTAAATCCACTTGTAAACTACACAATAAAACTGCCGGTCATTCGTTCAGGAGCGTTACATGATGCCATTAGTGAGGGTGTTTTGCCCAATGGTGCTTCTTTGGCGTAGGTGGTGGTGTGTTCGTGGTGCTCTGGGCATCGGCTAGTTGGGAGTCGTCGCCTCGGTGGTGCTGCGTCTGGGCTCGCTGGGGGGGGGGAGGGGTTCGGGGCCTGTGCGTTTGATCCGGGTGCACTGCGCAGAAGTGGGTGTTGAAGGGGCCTGCGTGAGTGCTCCGGTGTGTGGGTTACGTCATTAGACGGAGTCGAGTATCACTTGTTGGGGATGTCGTTGTACGCCTGCGATGTCTGATTGCTGGGTGGGATTTTCGCGATCGATCGCTTAGGGTTGGGCGCGTTATTAGCTCTAAAAATTATGCCCCGAAAGCCATTAGATCTTCGCATTTGCCGCCTTGAAGCTACTTAGTGCTTAGCTGTGTCTGCATCCCCATCCCCATTTGCCGCACTCGCCATCATCACGATTCGGTGAGCAGGCTGGCGCACGCAGCCCACTGTTATCGATCGGCGTCAGGTCGACGCGGTGGACCTGTCTAGCACACGCTCGCATAGCCGGAGAGATGGCTAGACACACACGCACATCGAGAGGCTATTGGTCAGTTGTGAACCAATAGGCTTGCAACTGCCTAATTTAATTTTGTGAAATTTGTTTTTTTTTTTAAGTGCACGATCAGTACCACGTCATTCTTTCACGTTGATGGCTTCGAGACCGTCTAGGGGATAGGACGCCGGCTTGAATCAGCTTGGAAGGTGTCTAGCCATGCTCAATTACATCATAGGCCACAGTACTAGGATTTGTAAAACTAGCAAACCGACTACTCCAACCGGTTGGCGACTTTCTGCAGCTGGTTCGCCTTCCCCAAATTTTTTTAAATTTATTTATCCGAATGAAGTTCGGGTGTGGGTCTACAACGCCTCCTCCGCTAACGCAAACACCGGCAAGAAAGAGATGCCAACGGGTGGAACACTTGTATAGCGTGGAGCTTGTTTGAACAGCTTATTGAGAACTTACTAAAGGCGAAAATTGTAACCGCCGGCATTCATGGTCCCATTGAGCAGAGCACTTGCCATGGAGGCAGCCAACAGCCTCCTTTTTTGACAGAAAATTTATCGAGAAAATGAATTAATGCGATAATCCACTGAGGGCTTGAATTCCCTCGAATACTGGGATTTTTTCGGGACATCGAGCTGAAGCGAAATCAATTAAATTGAGACTGCTATTGGTTAGCCCTGAGCCAACTAAAGCATGACAGATTGCGTTAAAGAGATGGAATGAGTTTGAGCTTTGGGATGCGCTTTCGCTCCAGCCACACTCAAAAAGGCGCATCAGGCGAACGAATGCCAAGGTGGTCGTAGATTAACAAATTAAGTAACTCTAGCTTCGTCAGCCATTTCCAAAGGCCTAAAAATGCAAACCAGAGGAATGATGAAAGGCTACCGACACATGGAGGCAGAGTCCCATGGCCTCAAAGGCACAACAAAAGCTGCGGAGGCAGGAAATATCCTTGAAGTTAAATAACCTTCCTTAACAGGACCTATGGGGTAGACGTGATGATCAAAACGTGATTTAGCACACCAAACTCGTTCTGTTTAAATGATGCCCTCTTGGATTCACTTCGAGTAAGCAAAATCGTTTCAAACTTGACCCGTTTTTTATCTTATTTCATTTCACCAACAAAGCATTCTGATGGGAGAGTTGAAAATTTATTTTTACCCTAAAATTTATTTAGCGTTAAGAACCCAAAGCAGATTTTGTAGATTTAGCTGCTGCTCATGCTTGCGTCCGGCACGGCGCAATGCCGTTAAACTTCCAGGAATGGACGTGGGATGAATCAGCTACAAGGAAACGGTCTATTTTCCAAAAAAAAGGATTAGGACCTCTGTGAAGTCAGGAGTGCCCCGAGGCAAACACTTAGATAAACCCGGTGATCGAGGGTTAAACGTGATCGTGCCAACTTTTCAATCGTGCAGATCCGCCTCCAATATCCGGTTGTATACAGGACGCAATTGCCGGTCTTTGCGTTTCCAGGACCTAGCACAGACCATGGCTTGCTTATAGGAGAGGAAAACTTTTTTCTCTTTCCCAACATCTTGCACGAAAGTAAATCTGGCTTTGGAACTCAAAAAATTAGGTTTAAATAAGGGGTTGGGGTAAAAACCCAGGTTCATGAGTTATCGATGTGAGGCCTCCACGTTGGAAGTACTAAAGGAGATGAAAGCCAACACACGGTACAGCCGGTACCACCTCGGGACTTCTCTTTTGATGGAAGAATACCTAAAATCTCGGGCAGACAGAACATGCATTTTCAACATAGAGAGGTGATTGGGGGATACCGGCATGGCCTGTTACCAAAACCAAGAGTTAAACAATCAATTAATGTATTGCACATCATGGGGATTCTAGCTACTTCGATAGCCATGGTGACGATGAGGATGCTACACCAAGGGTACCTGTACAAAGGCTCTGAATGCCCACCATTGATTAAGACGCCTTTCCTTAGCATTCGAGCGGATGTATTGAGTCTGTTTGATCGGCACTTATGCGTATAATAGGCAGTTTATCCTGTTAAAGAAGAAGAGCGCTTTATCTTTACTATGGAAGAGTGGACAACGAAATGAGTAAGCATGATGGTGGAATGGATTCTCTTTAGAAGAATGAGGAAATTAATTTGCTCCATATGAAGAATTTTAGCAAATGCAGCATACAAAACAAGAAGCCTTACACTACGGAAATTCTGCAATACTTTGATTTTTTGTTTAACTCCGCGCTTTAGTTACGCGGGCACTTAAGGCGCCCCTCAGTGTACCTTTACGCGGCGGCTGAGCCCCGGACTTTGCCACTCGTCCTTCAGCGCTTTCACGCGTCAGCAATACATTTTCTATCCTACTATTACAACTTCTTTTGTCTCTAATATAGACAAGAGATGCAATAAATGCTTCAAAAAAATTTTAGCTTCTGAAGTGCCGCAGCGAAACTACTTGTTAATCACTTCACTTATGGCCCTTTTTTCATTAATTTTACACTGCAAAAGCTTGAGGCTTTTTAAAAATCCCAACCATAAAATTGAATTCAAAGAAGGCGCATTTTGCGTTGGCCAATGAATGGCTGCCAAAAGGAGGTGAGCGCATTAAATGAAGATATACACGCGACACATAATTAAGTAACAAAAAATCTGATGCAACACTTCAAAGGTAACTGAATGTTGCTTGAATTTGATGACCCTATAAAAGCCGGTCTTTCAATCTAAGCATTCTTTATTTTAAATTCACTTGGCCTTTTTTAGTCTCAGCCGTTCACAAGTTGAGTCAGTTGTTCTACTTATTAAAATGTAAGTAGATCTTATTAACCAATTAATTACGGAAAGTCAATGCCAAAATTTACCAACTTAGAGCTTGCATTACGCACTTTAAATGACAGCATCAAGTCTGACGAACCTGGTGACTGAGATGTCACCTTTAATGACACAAGGCATAAAAATCCTGAGGTCTGATATAAGCCCCAACTAATACGCGCCTCTTCTTTGAGGCTTTTCGAACCAGCGGTAGAGGAAGGAGGTACTCTGAAAGCTTCACGTCGTACATTGCGAGAGTTTCAGCACCAGTATTACTTAAAGGGCACATATTTTGGCCGGAATGCACCCTTTGACACATTTTTCCACAGTATCTTATGCGTGAATACTGGACCACGTCCTGACTACTCAATGTACATACTAAAACGAGCAGTACCCAACCAGCAGGTACTCTTAAAAGCAGGCTTCTGATAAGTAAAAATTTAACTACATGGACCATTCCTTTTCCCACCTCATGGCTTTGCAAGTTTGCTATTGAACAGGTTTATGATATAATATTAGCTTTAGGCAATCGTTTCTATGAATCGCGGTTGGTAGGTGAACTACACAGATCGCTGAATGACAGTTCTAAAACCCGACTCAACACATTACCTTCATTCTCATCCCGTAGGTAATTTATGAAGCCTCCATGATGTTATAAAGTGATTTCCAAAAGTAGGGGGTCAAAATAAACTGGGTTTCATTTTAGTTGTAAGATAACCTTATCAAGCTCAACAGTATCCAAAAATGTGGTTTACACTGCGTTATATTCATGCTATTTTAGCTGTAAGCGGCTAGGCCTTTCATGCATTTGCAGCGGAATTTCAACTAGGAGGTGTATGTCGTAATACATCTAGGGAGGACTAGTACGGTCAACAGTGTTATATATAAGTCCCTGGATGTATTAAGGCTTGATTATTTCCAGTACTTTTTCAAAACTTATTTGGTGCATTGTTTGGATAGTTTTGACATGATTAAGATCTAGTTCATCCATCAAAAGTTATTTTATCCTTTCGACAGATTGGCTGGAAGAGGTCATGAAGAATGAGACCTATACTTACACACCAAATGTGCGACGCTTAACTTCAAAGACGATGTTTTCATGCCTAAACTGCATCGCCCAGTCTGAATAACTTCCAAATATCGCGTAATCACAAAGATGGGAAGTCGCTTGTCTATAAATAAAGGGTCTTTAACTCTAGGAATGATTAAGAAATGAACTACTTATTGTTCGTTGCCTTTCGCTCACAATCAGTTTCTATTGTCTGATGAAAGACGTAATCGAACCGCTCCTAAACTAACTTGCTATTCGGCCTCATCGCTAATCCAAGCACTAGAAATATTTTTGAGTGTTCTTGAAATTTCCTTTCAATTTCGAATCCCCTAGACCTCATTTATGACGAAGTTCACATTCCGCTATATTTAAATACTTATTCGACTTTACGTCCAACTGTGCAATCTCTCCATTCTCCATGGCTTGTAGGTCCACCTAACGGCACTGCCTTCTGGCGCTTTCCTAAAATTGGTAAAAATTATTCTCCTCCAGTGGTTTACGTACTAATAATTTGAGGTAGGTCTAAGGACAGTACGATATCACAGGCCTTTCGGTGGGATATTATTGCAATAGAAAGGTTTTGATGTTGATTAAAAGTAGAAAGGAGAACTTAATCTGCTTCGAGAGGACCCAGCTTCCACGTGCACTTCAAATTACTAGGTATCTTCAACGTACAGATAATACAACGCACATCCGTAAGATGTAGGAGTTTACGACCCAAATTTCGCGTGCTTGGACAAAATTTCGGAGTCTTATATGTCAGGATTGAGGTTAGTTGTTTGGTTATTCACAACACAAGGTACACCACAACTGCTAAAACAAGTCTAAGAGCAGTCTTTGGAAATAGGCCACAAAATCTCACCTGTAAAAAATAAGTTTTACTTGGCAACTAGCATAGTTTACGCAAGAATAAAGGAGTTATTTTGTACAAAAAGGCACTCGGGTCATGGCAAAGTACAAGTTGCCAGTTAATCGTAACAAGTTCTGCTAAACACCTTTCAGTGTAAATTATTTATAGGACCAAACAAACTCGCCTCAACAAACAAAAAAGGAGACAGCAGAAAGTATACGTTCAATACATCTTAGCAGAAAGTGAAACGTCATTTCTACACCATAGTGTAGCACTCGATGAAAATATAGTAACGAAAAACAATGGCAAATCAAGGACATGCTGGCAAAGCTTTGGCATAATCTTAGAATTTACTGCATTATGACTAGTTACAAATTTAAAACTATCATTTACCTGAACAAAAACTTTTTGATAAGGCAAATTCCCCAACAACATAAATGGGATGAAATCCAGGCGTCCAAAAATCAAGCCTGTCTTTACTAAGGTATCATCTATATTTGCATATTAGTTAAGAACAACAAGTCAGTTTACATTTTTACGAAGTCCCTCTTTTTTAAATAACTATGTTTTTGTTTTACGATAATATTTTAGTTAACCGTACTAGTAAAAAGAAACTTTTCAAATAACTTGGAGCACTTACTTTGGAGCTTTTGCCATCTACTTGGTCATAATTGCAAAAATGACCTCAAATTGTGGAACACTTCTGCAAAACAAGACAACCTTAGTCACTTTTTGCCGGCTTGTTTTAGACCCAAAATACAGAAGCCCGATAACACCCTACCAAAGCCATTCCATGGCTAATTACACTCAAGATCCTTAGTTAGAACTATTGTTTTTCCATATTGAGGCATGAATAGTGGTAAAATGTAAAACCAAGCCCGCTTTAATTGATTTAGTAGGATTCTCTTCATTTGTTGACCAGTGATTCCTCGCCTATTAAGGTAAGAAGTGCCAGTCGATAATCTCCCGAAGTGTCATCCTAAAAAATGATTTATTTAAAATTCTTAGTTAGACTTATTAGATCAAATATCAGGCTAAACACACTAAAGCATAGCTTTACCTTGATAAACTCTCCCAGTGTCGCTTCATATTCCGCCTTGAAGGCATCCTTTATCTGCACCATGTCAATCTCGCACCTAGTGATAATCACCCGTATAAGCGACTCATCATCTGTGCCCATTCCCTTCATAGAGCGATGTAAAGTCTTGGCAAAAAATGCAGGCTTATTTTGAATGGATCGCACTAAAAGGAGAAACAATGAATGATGCCAGCTCTTCGACGCAGAGGGAACGGTGTGAAGGCGATTGACCCACAACTTACCTATGCTTAAAAAAGCGCGTAGAAGGTCACCAGACATCTCCGATTTTAGGGCTTCTTCTACTGTCCTCTTGCCCATTTTTTCATACTCCTCAAAGACCGCCCTCAAATGAGCGTTAGAGCGAGATATGAGGATCTCATTGAATCTGCAAAAGTCAGAGTAGAAAAGTTTTTTTAAAAGCGACTATTTACAATTGTGTTAAAGCTGTAGTTAAGCCTACTTCGATTCATCTGTTCCACTCTTCTCTCCCGCTGCTAATAACTCTTCAGCGTCCTTGCGGGCCTTGTTACGATCAAATGTGGGACTTTCATTTCTATTGCCTTGAAGCAATGAGATCATGAGTCTCTGAAAGTGTCCTGAGGTGTCATCTTGGACATCCTTCTCAAGATCGCGGCTAAAAACTGTGAGATAAAACATTATAAAAAACCGAGAGTTGGAGACTACTGGTTATTGATAGACAAACAATACCTTTCTTGTACGCCTCCTTAATCTTCGCAATTTGTGCGTTAGTACGACAGCAGATGATCTCAATGAGGCAGTCTTCATCGGTTCCGATGCCCTCTACGGCTTCGCGCAATTCCTCCGCATCGTAAACTTCAGGCTCTAAGCAGAGGGCACGGCAGACCTTGAAGAGCTTGCCACTAATCTCACTGTCCAATTCATCGATGAGATCCAGCCCGAAGAGAGTCTTGAACTGCTTGGCGATGTCTAGACGCTGACTAATTGATCGTCGAGCAAGAACATCGATGATGGCTTTCTCGTCGGTACCTAGACCCTTCATGGCCTTGCGCAGACGTTGACAATCTGCATTGCAGTCGAAGTTGGCTGCTGGTTTCAGCGTGCCTTCGCTCTGTCAAAGGTCACAAAGGTAGGTTGGGTGTAGCTCAGCCTATGAGAACTTCCAAAGAATCATTCTTAAGGTACACCAAGTACCTGGAACATACATTAAAACATGCCGACGAAAATAAGGCGAAATTTTAGAATAGATGCAAATATATAAATTCTACCGAAATTTTCAACTCACCTTATATTCCTCAGTTTCAAAGAATGCATTTTCAACTTTCTCCAGAGGCTTTTCTTCCTTCTTCAATTCAATTGCAGCTGCCTTTTGATTACGAGCTTGTCGAACCTGCGTTTCCACTTCGTGTCCCTTGAGAGGAGCACCGGAAAGAGGGAGGGGAAAAGATTATAATTTGGGCTGTTCGCCGGTTAGACTCCAAGACAAAAAGCTTGTCAGGGACAACCAAAGAAGCCTATCAATTGCAAATGTCACTATGATTTTGTGGTACCTCGCTGTCTTGACTTCAAATACCTGCAGTCTGATGTGTGAGTGTCATGATTGTCTAATTTACGGCCGCTAAACTGTAGAAGATTGCTTCACGCCAAATTTCCTGCCTACCACTTGGAGAAGGCACGGTATAAGGTGGTGGAAAGTGTCATTAAAAAATTTTTTTTTGTATTTAAAACAAGAAAGGCATTTGACTTTGCTGATGGCTTGATGTAGTCCCAATGATAAAGAGGTGCTGCAAACTAACGGTCTTGTTAATATGTGCGAGAAACACTTGGTCAACATCTACACCAACTGGAAGCAGAAAGTAGTAGACCGTACTGAGCAAATGGGTGCCTTGACGTAATGAAAGGTGGTAAGCTTTAAAAAATGGCAATGCAAGATTCTATTATCCTTTTGCGAGTATCATAAAAGTGTTAATCAACCGAATGACTGGCGGACTGACCGGCTGGCTCCTGAATGGTGGGTACTCTCAGTAGTATTCCCTTTTATGCACCTCCCAGAAAAACACCAATCTTTTTAGCTAAGGATAGGAAACTCACCTCAGGTGCAGTGACTTTTGGATTCCTTTTATCGGATTTGTGTTTGTTTGACGCAGCACTTGGACGCGCCGATGGTTTGCGTCCCTTCTTTTCCAGCTCAATTGCTAACACATACCTGTCGTCAGCATCGTCCAGGTCGCCTCCAATCACCTGTCCAGATGAAACACATTTATTTAGTAAGATGATATCTGTGTCAGGGATTAATGACTCCTGTTTTGCATAGAAATGCCACTTCCGTTGCAATACATGCACCTCAATACAGTCGACACTACTTATGACTGGATTAGTAGCCATATTGACCAATAAAAATTGTGGAGCTGTCTTCACGGTCATCATTGCTCAATCACTTTTTAAAGTTCTTTTTTAATAGTACCAATTTCTAGTGTTACTACTTGTCTTGAAGCAATTTTTTTTCCTTTCCAAATACAAGGTTTCAACTAATGTTCAATGAGAAGTAATCCCGTAAATTTTTCCTCTTTATACAAAAAGCAAAATCGAGATTCCTCATTTTTCCATGTGATTTAATAGACGCCATTTATTTCCTCAGTCCATACAATTGAACCAGAGGGATATTTTCCTCAGATTGTAATCTTAATTGTATGGGTTCCCCTCACCCAGACCTCCGTCGTAGTGATTTGACAATCGGGTCCTCGTCGGCTGCATTTCTGCCCTGCCTGGCAGCCTTCGGGCCAAGCCAGTAAACTCTCAGCTCTTCTACACATTATTAAGTAGCATATTTAGGGCAAAATCAGGGTTTTTTATCAGCACCTTATCTGTTTAACTCACTCTTGCCACCAGTCACAGCCATAGGAAATTGGTTTGAAGGAAATAAACAAAACTAACTGGATTTTGGCATCCTCCTAGGCTACCGCGTTTGAACAATGCTTAATATGTTGGTATGTCGTCTTGACAACGAAATAAATACTCATTCCTTTAAAAGTGAGGCGTCATGGTAACAGGGCCTCTAAAAGACTGCCCACAATGGTCATTGCAGTTACTCCTTTAGAAGGGGACTTTAATAACTCTTGCATGTTTGACAGAAGAATTTGATTTGCAACGCAAGCATTCGGTCAAATCAACGAAAAATGTGATAAATTTGATAGATCTCCTGTTAAAAAGGCATACTTACATAGTAGTCGGCATGAACTAACCTTGCCCACATCAGCACCGGAGAGTTCATAGGCAATATTTGAATTATTGGTAGCGTAGCTGCTAAATTGTTGAAATATTTGGCTCAAAGGACCCTTTAGCATGGGAAAATCAACCGCTGGTTGCTGTATTGGCTGTGGCGGTGGCTGAGGTTTTGGAATGGCCTTCAAAATGTGTCCAATAGCCTGAGTCAGAGATTCACGCACCTCCATCACCGTACGTTGACGCATCTGGTCAATGTACTGGTTAAAAAAGGTTGGTACAGTTAGTGTAGCAAACTACTCTGTATTTCACATATCCTCTAGCGGTACTGTTTTTATGTGACTCTCAAACTTCTTTCCTAAACCCAGCGTCACAAATATGTGACATACGTCACTTGACAGATTAGGGTAAATGGCTGGGACAAAATGGGAACACACTAATAGATTTAAAAATAGTTTACATTTATAAATAATTTAATGATCATATCAGTGACTGAAGGCATTTTTAGCTTTTGAAATTCGACTATTCTTCAGGAAAGATTTGGGACATCGCCCTTATGACAAAGGCAAGCAAAACCGAGACAGGCGTTACCCAACTTCGAAAAATTGCTATAGTCTGTTAAAGTCGTAAAGACTAATACGAGGGAAGTCAAAAAAAGCACTTGCTTTTGGTGAACTCTAAGCTTTGGCTTTAAACAATGTCTGCCCTAACCAATCGTAATAAACCTCAAAGGAAGGCCTACCGTGGGTTCCAGGACAAAATGACTTCGACTCTAGTCTGACAGCATGGTATCACCCTCAAAGGTAACCATAGAAGGTTACCTAATCTCATCTTAGCAATATGGCATTTCGGCTATGTTTGCAACCCTCCAAACTATCCATCCACCAACAACAGCGGACATTCCTTCGATAATGGAGTGGATAGTTAAGGCTATAAGGAGGGCAGTGGATAAGTTTTAGTGAGACTTCCAACAAAAACGGTAGCTAATTTAAATTTGAAATCTCTTTAATTCAGGAAGGAATCTATCTTTGACATATTTTGAGGGAGTCAAAGGGAAGATGGAGATGATAATGCGGCTGCCTCCACCACATTTCTCCTCTTAAATTTCAAGTCCTTCCATGGTTTATTTTTACGGTAATATGAGGTCTTAGGTGATTTTGTAGCCTCCTTTTTTCAACTGGCTAATCAGTCATGATTGTCTTGGCGGTTTGTGAATAAGTTTCGTGAACATTTTTGAGTTGATAGGTCAGGAATTAAAGCAGTGCCTACTCTAGGATTTCGGAGTGGGGTGCTTACCCCTTGGCGACAACCAGCCAATGATGGATATATTTCCCCAATGTTGGGATGGGGAATTCATTTGTCATTACAAGTCAATCGGTCAGCAAACACCCTAGAATGTCAACCCACTGAAGAACAGAATGGTGAATTTTCAGGTTCACTTTTATTTCATCATTCTCTTCATTTGATTTCCGTTCGCTTAATGGCCTTTACCTCGACTTCCATCAAACAATTTACTGTATCTCAGGGCTATTAATCTTGAGTGTTTGCGTTACTAACAACAAATAATTCTTTGTAATCCCAAGTAGGATGACATTGCGCATGTCATATAACCTTGAGTAATGTCGTTTTCCTCATTTCTACCTTATGATATATAGCGGATTGAACAACAAGCCAGCTTTAGCTCCTTTGAAAACCGTAAAATACATAGAGCTCAAACCACGTCAAATTTAAGCGGCATTTTATGAAATGGGGTAGCGAAGTAACGAGAAGATAGTAGAGAACAACCGAATGGACACTAACAGCCCAAGACGCATTTTGCCAACTGTATTTTAAGAGGTCTCACAGTGGGCCACTCTTAAAATCGCACAAACCTTTGGTCACCAAGTGAGGGTATGTAAAATCTGACAATAGGAATATTTTCATCAACAATGGATTGTAAAAACGCAAAATTACGGTCAGCATCAAATGGAATTTGCAAGTATCACAGCAACCTCTAAGACTGCTGTACAAATTTATGTCTGTATTATTCAGAAGGTCTTTTTCCTATGATCTAACTCATGAATATTCTACTTCAAACTCATTAAGAAGACTCCCTCAGACAATTTTATATCGACTGACTCAAAGCGGCATTAAAAGTATTGGAAATAAAATAAGCAAAATTAGAATTGGCGTTTTCACGAAACAAAATACACACTTCTGCACAACACATTCTGCATTCAACTAGACTTCAATAGTACTTTACAACTGTGGATTTGTTGTCTTATCAGAAATGTTTGAGAATTATAAGTGAGGTTAACAAATAACACAAAAAAATTATAATACCTGAGTCAAGTGGCTCACAACAGCAGTGAGTTGTTGTTGTGTAACCCCAGGCTCTGGTGGTATTAACGGCGAAGCGTACATCTGTGGCGCCTGAAGTGGTGGTAAAAAGTTACTGGAAAAGTTGTTTCCATCGGGGGTTTTCATATCCCATCCTACGCCTGGTACACTGCCGTATACATTAATCTGTGTGCCCGAGTGGTTTGTCGCTGCAAAGCCCTGATCTGTGCTTTCTAGTAAAATAATTAATTCTTTACGATATGCTAAAACCTACTTTTTAAAAAGCTGTCCAATGTGTCATCCATGGAACTGTGGGTATCACTGTGTGCTGGAACAATTGATTTAGGATATTCGTCACCGGAAATACTCTCACTGCTACCAGAATGGGCGATTTCTATGACGGTGAATGTTTTGCTAACGATGTGACTTTCAGCTTTTGTCACTCTAAAGTAAAGTACCAATAAAACAAACAAAGATTGAACCTATGAACCGCTATAGCTTTAACAGTACGGCGACCACTTTTCAGTTGAAACGGGGCCCGGTAGCGATAGGTTACTTCGCGTCCTGCAAAGATTCGATGGGAGGGATTGGGTGTTTCACCATTAGTTGTAAAATAGATTAGGCAGTCGGGTCCCTCTAATGACAAAAAAAGGAAGGGAACCTGGGATTATAAATAATACAAGTGACCACTGTCTTTTGCACTTAATCATGCATAACAAGAAGCACACAAATTAAAAAAAGACTTAAATGCCATGAGGAAGATCGAGATTAATGCTTAAAAACAAATTCAATGAAGTTGTTTTCGCTTGTAGGATTTTCAAAAAGAGAGCGTATACCTTTGCCCAATTCAATAAATGTTCCTGTATCGATTGTATTCGAAGGCTTGCCAGGCACGTTTAATCGCAAAGGAGTGATTGTAGGAGCCGGCACTCCACCAGCTAAAGGCATCGGCCTCAAAGTAAATTGATGAAAAGTTGGAAAATTAAGTCAAGGTCAGGCGATGACCAATTTTAACAAGTTAAAGTATGCCTGCACATTATTGGTAACAAGTCTCGTACGACAAAATACATCATAATGACACTCACAGTGACCATAGCGGGTCACGGCAGATTAACTTGTGATCAGCTAGCAAATGACAGCACATAATTTTTTAAAAAATGTTTTAAAACAAATTTCGAGCGTAACAAATGATTGTAAAATCTCCTTTGAATGCGGAAAAGTAGACAAACGGTTAGAAACCCAAATTTTGCAGCCTACACTTCTTAGTTTTTTGATTATCATCAACAATGGTTATGTTGCACATAAATCATTGTCGATATTTCCACAGCCACTCCCTTTCTTTCAAGTAAAAATCTAAAGCTGGCCCTTCTTTGAGTAATCGAAATTTGGCGCCATGATTTCTGGAAGAGTTTTTATAAACGGTGGAACTAACTCTTGTAGTGCTTAGATATTTCTTTGCTTCCCTTAGCTTTTTTAAAATCAATGCTATTCTGATGGATCCTGAACTTCCTCGTTAATATCATTAAGGTTTTTACCCATCCTCAAATAATATAACTGTAGGTCAGGCGTGTTTTATCGAACAACGAGCTACCTCTCATCGGTATTGGCGCGTGGATAAGTAAGGTCGTTTACTTTTACATTTATTTCGTGGCAAAGTTTGGCTTTCACCTGTGCACATTGTATAAAGGACCCCTTTTGAACTCAACTTGTTTAAAACATGAAGAAGGATGTTAATAAAGTACTGCCTTTTTATAAGCGGAATCTGTAGCCTGACACAAATTTACACCAGGCTAATCACCAAATACTTCCTGCTGATCAAGATGGCAACATTGTTGAAGGAACTTATAATACTCCAGTTGGAGGTTGGGAAGGACGTTTTTTATGCTGACTTAGTGATAGAAGTTCGTATAAACAGGATTGAAATTCCCCAGCACTACGACACCATATCAGTTGCGCAGGCGCTAAACCAGGACTTTGCAAAGAAAACCAAGGAGCTTTTTGATGCAGAAGTTGTTGCTGTCAGGGAAGCGATTTCAACTGGTTTGTAACTGCAGATATTGAACACGAAATCACTGGTTGTAATGTATATCCGTCTTTTGAATCATTTGTCTCGTCTTTTTTCGCTTCTTAAAATATTCTTCTAAATTTACAACTTCTGACATACTTCTCTTCCATACCTGATAATCGTTTCTTGCAAAATGAAATATTAGGAACCATTCATTGTTATTAATTCAGGAATATATGTCTCTTACCGACCCAATGGGACTGAGTATGAACAGCAGGATTGTCTACGCGTAAGTTCTACGGGTCGATGCTTCTGCTCGCATCTTCTGAAGGAGCATAACAAGTTTTCCGCCACGTCACGAAATACGGCGTGCACTCAGGTATCTACACTCTTTTCTACTCGTAAGAACTGCAGCCATAGATAGCCCTTAGGTTTCTTGGCTACCTTCTGATTGAATAAATAACGAAGTCCCTTAATCAGATAGACGAAGTTACCTTCGTATGCAAGATGGCTCATAATCTTTCTCCCTACCATAATTCTTCGTGTGAGAATTCACTTTTTCTCTTCCAGTCAGGATGCTCCTGTAAACGATTCCTCTTCGCACCCGGACGGCCGGAGGATTTTGGTGAATTTTGGCTGCCCAAACGTCGCGATTTCAATCGAGAGGCCTATCGTATGAAGTGCAAGTGTAAACACACCCACGAGGAGCATGTTTGCCAACCTTCTCCATTTCGTTGCAACGCTAAGCGCTGCAACTGCCTTGCCTTCAGCTCGGCTTCCGTCTGTGCGGCCTGTGATCAGCGCTGGGAGCAGCATGTCACAGTCTTTGAGACGGAGGAGGAACGCAAGGATGCAGGGCGACAAATAAGTAAGTTGAAACTTGTTTGTGGATTCCAGGCCTTCAATGGAAGATTTTGTGATTGAAATATGCTACTAATAAGATGTCATTAGGACCAAATAAGTCAATTCCATTCTGAGAAGTAATGAAACCGAATTTGGTCTGATTTACTCTGTATGACGTTTCATGTTGTACCATAAGCAACAATGAAGAGACGCTTGTTGTTCCTTTTACGAATGCGATTGTTGAAGCGAGGAAGTTGTCTCGTGTGCAATTCGGAGATATCAAGTTTACAATCTTTTGTTCCTTAAAACTTACATAAACATCGCGACAAGTTATAGACACTGTTAAATCCCTCACATCTGTAAATAAACCTCACCTGCCTGTGATTAAAACCTAGGGGAGGACTGGTACCCATTCTCCGAGCTTCCAGCCATGCGCGACATCGCCCTAACCGGTGAGGGTAACCCCAAAGCTGAAAAGCTGATCGACGCTCTGCCATCACAGGCGCAGTCACAATTGCCTTCCTCATCCAATAAGCCGACGGACGATAACAATACCCCCTTCCGTCCAAGTGGCCAGTAAAACATTCCGTCCGTACACTACTCTCCTCACCGGTCCGCGATTTGATTCAACTCAATTTTTGTCTTCTCCTAAGTTTCTATTTTAGCTCAATTCATTTTCTTCTAAGAGACTGATTAATTTAACATGTTTTAATTCGAAAACGATGCTACAAATAGTTATACAAATTCTGATGGAAATGCACAATCCAAGGGAGCGGTAAAAATCACCTGTGCAGAGGAAGATGGGAATTAGTTTTCTAGAGCAGTCGAATACGGCAAGAGGGCTCACCGCAATAGCAGTAGAGCACTTTGAAGGGCACAGCATCGACAACGTAGCCATAGTCCCAAGTCAACTCCTCGCCGGCCGCAATATTCCTGAACGAAGACGACAAAAAGAGGGGTTTTAATCCTCATAGGACTCAAAATCAAACACCAATGGCTGGGTGAGGGAGGAAAGGGATGGAAGGGATGGAGGAAAGCAGCGTGAAATGCCTTACCTCTTGGCGAAGAAAGCGACCTCAGGGAAACGTGGATCATGCGAGGAGATGAAGACATTCTGCACGAAGACATTTGGCTCACAGGAGTGATTGAAGTAGCGCCCCAGATTGCCCATCTTCTTAGCATCCATGACAAAGGGCTCCTCGTCCCCGAAGTAGCTACGAGCCGGCAACCAATCCGGCTGTGCAATCGGGTAGAAGCGACGGTTTGCCCAAGGCACCAACACCGATGTTGAGGAAAAGGCTGTCAACGCTCCCACTACTGTAGAGGTCTCCGTGCTTTCTCCTACCCTTCCATTACCTGTTGTCAAGGCAATGGCTGTGTGGATACGATGTTCTCGTGCCTTGCCCCGTGGCCGACGCTCACCTGTGGAGTAATAGGAGTGCAAAGTAAGGCGATTTGAAAACTTCCAAGTCCGCTGCGACCTATCATGAGGGCATGCTGCTAGTCTCCCAACACTTCTGTACATCGAAACAAGGCTACTTCCAAACCTAAAAAGAAGAAACTAGCTTCTTGTCCCACTTATTGTGTACGCCGTAGGTGTGTAGGTGAAGGTGTGGTGCGCGATGGCCGAACGCACCACTCAAAAACGCTTTCAAATGACGACTCCAGTTAGGGTAGACATTGGAGGGGACTGCATTCCTGTCAGTGAGGATTCATGCGTCGGTATTGTTTAAAGTAACTCGAGATTAAGGTGTCCTGAACCTTCAACCATGTTTAATATAAGTGGTGAAGCATTTGGTAATCACCTGCATCAACTGGGAATGGGAGGGGGGTGGTGGAAGACGCAAAGCGATTGCGTCCCATCCTCAAGCATTCACAGATGTCGGCACATTCATCTGGCTGGCCGAGTGACCGACTGACCTGGGATGCAAAATGACTTCAGGCGATATAACCGATGGTCGTGCCATTAGCTGGTTGTCGTCATGCCTTCCATTGTCCACACTCCTAAGACAGGCAACACGTCATTCCTAGAAAACTATGCTTTCTCCAATAGGAGTTGTTACTTTGCTGTGGGCCAAACAACTGCATTCGGGATCTGCCACTCGATACGGCACAACTGGAAGGTGTGCAAAATTTCTTCGGAAAGCTAATATCTGGTTGATTGTATTAGCGACTGCTCCAACAAGTAAATCGTGTAGTCAAAGAAGCTCGCTGCTCAGGTTTACTCAACAGGCAAAGGTATTAACGAATAAAGTCAATTAGGTCTACATTACCTGTCCTAGGCTGAGATTGGTTCATCCGCAGTAGGTCAACAGCCGAACTTGACCTAGTAGATGCAAGAAAGACCAATTGAAGGGGGTCAACAACTCTACTAATTGGCACACTAACTACAGAGAACTGTCACTCAGCAAAGGTCCTGTAGGCTTAAGCCCTCATGTATCGTGGTAACCTACGGTGTGATGATACACCTCGAGCGAATCACGATCCAACAATTTATTCGTGTAGAAGCCGGTTACGCCAAGTGGTTATGTAGAAACACACCTTTTAGGCCCAGTGGATTGTGAAGCGGAGCAAGCGATGTCAGCATTGGAAGCTGATTTCCTGAGGCTAGCCATGAGCAACAATTTGCGGGGTCCCGTCGGACGGTACGCCATGGCCAGGGCTGACGACCTTGGGCTACGCATGAGACACCCTCCAGCTGCACTGGAAAAGGGAAGGCAATATTTACCGACCCGACGTGTAGATTCAAATTAATGATAAAGGAATCTCACAAAATGGGAAACAAAGAAAAACATAAGGGAAGGAGATAGGCAACATAAAGCCCTAATTTTAGCTGCCATCCTACGTACCAAATCCGACAAAACTTACGGTGGCCACATTTTTGCATCAGACAAGCGGCCGGACAGGTGACCTCGTGTACCTCGTCGAGGTTGTCCCATAGATGGAGAGGCTAGCCCTGCAAGAAAGCACCCAAAATCAAGTCAAAAAAGGGTATTAAAACATTTGTTATCAGCGTCACGTATGCGTGACACCATGGTTTCCCTACCCAAGCACACATGTCACACGTGTGAGACATCCACGTAAAGCAGAAAACAAATAGCTGATGTTGTATTAGAATTTAAAATGAATTGGCGTCCCGGTGGCTGAGATATCCCTTGATATCCTGGTGGCCAACGTGTCAGCTATGCATTGCCCAGCAAGTTAATCTGTGCTGTCATTAAATCAGCGCCGATTTTAGGATTGCTATCGTTTTTTCAAAATTTGCAGAGGTAGTTCCAAACTTAAAACCGAATCAATCACGTGGAAGACCTGAACTGGGTCCAAGGTAACGTCAAATGGAAAGTAGAAGCAGCCATATGAGAATCAGACTTACGTTTTTCCTGCTTCGAGAGTCTAGTCAGTTGAACTACTGGCAGACGATCAAAGGAGGCAGAAGTCATAATCTCAGCCAGATTGGAGATGCCCTGAAAAGACGTCAGACCAGGAGCTGAGATGGTGAATTCAGAAAGCCCCCGTGACCTGGCAGGTCCTTCCTCGTTAATTTCATCTCCAGCGCTTGTAGTTACATCCATCGGTACCACAGTATCGACAGCAGTTGCGTCGGTCGGGGCCAGATTACTGGAGTAGGAGTAAGGCGACTCGCCATCTGCATTCTCTGCGAACAAATTAGGTTCCTCACTCTTGATCTGATTAACCTGACTTGTGTCGGAGAATTCGGAGTGCTCGTCGCCGTTGTTTCCACTACTCGAGTTCGCAATCGCCTGCGTCCGGAGAGTTTTCATGCCCTTCGGCGATTCATCACATTTCTTTATAACAACGACCTCTGGATTGAACTTTGTTTCGTAAAGATTTCCACTTCCTTCCCCTTTGTCTTCTCTTTCTTCCACTTTTTGGATTTGGCCGGTGGTTGAAGAGCTAGCAAACGCCAGAGCCTGGTCCAAAATGGAGCTCATCCCCATCGTTTCTTCGCCTTCATCGACAGATGACGATGGTGGAGAAATTTTTATATTCCCAGGAGGTATTGTTATAGCTTGCTCCACAGCGGAGTCAGCTTCCCCACCGACCTTCTCACAAACCTTAGAGACATTGGAACACGCTGAATAGGAGGAAATAGAGGAGGAGGAATTCCGACGTGCAAGGCCACCACGTTTTCGAGCGGTTCGAGAAGAGATCGGAGGGTGTGGTTGAACGATGCCGGGATTGGAGGAGGGTAGATCAAAATCAGACGACTCCTCCGGCTCGATTGCATAGGGCTCGTAGTCTACTTTGTGCTTCTCCACCGTCTCTATGTAGTCCAACTCGGCTTGATATTCATCACCGTTGTCGTAGCCCTCCTAAAGAGTGGACAAAACAGCAGATGCATTAGTTCTGTTGTTATACCTTTCTTCCATTTGCCATCAGTTTGAGTGGACTTTGAACCTACTTCAATTGCCTTCGTGTCATCGTAAATTGCTCCAGCGTAGGTGCATATGAAGGCGCCCTTTGGAATAGCGTTCAAAGCACGGATACCCCAGCCCCTGAAAAGAAGATCACACCAATCGAGATTGATTCAGCCATGCAATTTGAATAAAGAAAGCCCCTAGGCACACTGAGGTCATTGTTTACTGGAACTAATGCGTTGGTGGGGTTGCATTTCGAAGAAGATGCGCAAGGAGCGGCAGTAAGGTAATGCTGCGGCATGAAACAAGCGATCACCGCGTGCCAATAGCATCAGGAGTAAGGGATTAACCGAGAAGTGCAAGCAATCGGGAAATGGTGCAATTCATCAGAATTTCAAATGTACAGAAAACAATCTTTTTGAGGCGTCTCCTTCGGCTCAAATTAGTAAACATAGCATGCAGGCTGTGTAACTTAATGAATGCAGGTCCATGAGTTTACAGCCTGTAATAATTATAGTGTCAAGTTACAATGAATGACCATGAGAAACTTCCCGAACCTAAATACTGTCCAGACACCATCGTTATCAGGATTTAATTGTAGACTTGAGTATTTTTTACTCCCCTCCTCGTTTCCAGGGCCAAAAATGTAACCAGATGGTTTAAGAAAACCGCATTCTGGATGCAAGTACATTGACTCCTCCATCTGAAGACTCCAAAGTTCTTTTTATATGACCTTGCTTCCCTCTAAAAGTATACCAACATCCTAAACTCCATAGGGAAAACATATGCGTTAGAGATCTACCGTATAATTGAAAGGTACTCGATGAAACACCTTCCCACCAACGCCTAGAAATGCCAGGTAAGCACCCACGGCACCAGATGTACTTATGAGGTCACCAAACAGGTTTGTTTAAATTGCCGCCCTTACCATCCACCACCCCTATTCAATAAGATACATCATTGCAGAAAATTCACCTTTTTTGCAGTGCTATGCCTCAAGGAGCAAGAACTTCGCTCCAGCCACCTCCGCTTCTACCTCACTTTTGTTACTTAATTTCCTTTTCAATTATTTACATAACTGTCTGGCGTTAAGACGAGGGAGGATGAACCCCCATCTCTAAGTTCAAATCTTCTCATAGAACAGTTTTGCAGCGCATTGGAGGATGAAAGTTTCTGATGTGCTGCCCTGATGAAAAGGAATTCATCCAGACTAAATTACTGCCGATGACTTGAAAAGCCGCTACCGAAAAAGTCCCCGAGAGGGTAGAGACGATGAAACTCACTTTCGGTTGGTTTTGAAGACTTGAGTTCGAACCCAGACGCCCTGTTGCACCACACGATTTTGGCAGCGTCGGTCACACTTACACCGCGAGTTGCACTCGTAGATGCCGCCCATGGTGAACTGGGAAAGACGGCGATAGCGGTAGCCCACAGAGGTGTCCACCATGCCCTTTGTGCTAGAGAAGGCACTCGCTTCAACTGAAATGTAGCAGAAAAAGTAGCTATTGTTTGCTACGAGTTTGTGGAGCGCCAAAAGGGACATGCAAATCCTCTGTGTCGAAGTAGATGAACAATTAGATGAAATAATATTAATATCCCGTTTCAAATGTCTTCCCTCAAAAAATTAAATTTGAGAATAATAATCAAAGCAAACTTCAGGTCCAGGAAGGACTCCTTAAGTCTTAACGATGCCGGTCTTCTGCGACAAATGGATCAAACAGCTCATTTCCTCATTAATAAGTTATTGATACCATACTGCAGAGAGATAAAGGAAAGGTAGTTCTGGAGGAGGATACTTAACTTTTGGAAAACGAACACAAGGCAAACTTATCCCCAGGCTTAGATCTATCAGGTAAATAAAAAATGACTTTTGGATCCTTATTTTGATCCAAAAGTATAGATACACCCTTCATTTTGAATGGTATATAGAACCAAAAAATTGTTTGAATGTGTCGATGGAGGTGGGTTGCTTTTTCAGGAGGCGAACCGACCTCCCGTCTCAACCCATGCAAAAGTAATGGCAGTTCTACGGTGTAGATGGGAATTCCAGTAATTCTCAACGTTGAGAGAATGAAATGAGAAGTTGCATTCAAAAGTGGTGCTCAAGATGCGTACAAACTTTACTATTTTACTACACTAAAAAGGATATTAAAGCGACTTAGTCTCAGTATTCTGGATCGAGGTCTACAAAATCATGTGACTTGAATGATAAACAGGCTTATTCTCAACGCAGGTTTCATTTAACAAATTCAACAAAGACTGAAAATTCTTGACAAGATACTTTCCACTGGATCACGATCAAGAACGGGGCCACCCACTGCGAAATTGTGCACCCGTCTCTGGGTGATCCATTACCAAATTACGTTTCTGACCCATTTTTCGAGAAACTAGCTTTTTCAGCTTTGAAAATGAGTTAAACCTGGTCCAAGAGGCAGGCTAGTTTGGGTCACTTTCACTGGGCTAAACGGACATGACGTGGCTCCGAAATAACAGGAGAAATGGAAATTACTGCACCCATTGAATGACTCGTGCCCAAGATTTACAATAAGACGCGCGCAAACAAAGGGCTTTCGTAAGTTATAGCAAGTCTAGTACTGCCACTAGAAAATTTACTTCTTTGTTTTGTCTCTTCATTGTAATGAATTGCAAAAAGATACAAACCGTGCAAAAACACAACAATTAATAAACAAGGCACATCTAGAACATGCTGGCCGACAAATAGCAGCCTCAGGGGCCACACTTGACACTTCGGTGGGTACGCTTTGAGCGTTGAAAGGCCGCAGGTGACGAAATGGAAACACGCACTGTTTTCCTTACCATAACTAATAACGGGTAACATTCAAGTTGAATCAAACTTTGCGCTTATTTAAAGCATAAACCAGGACGTAAAAACGTTTTCATTAAGGCCTTCAGAGAGCGTTGGAGATTCTTTAATGAAAAGTAATTAAAAAATGGAGTACTTTATCACACATAGTGGAGCAAACTCACTGGTGAGTTGCTGACAGGCACACTTTGTCCGGTCACGACAATTGTCCGTGCAATCGCAGCAGACAAGGAAATCGGGGTCCTCATTAATATTCACTTTGCCAACTGGTTTACGATTGGGAATGTAGTCGATGAAACACGGCGACTCGTTGTCAACGCTGTTTACACAAGGCACAGGGACATTCTCTTTCCCGTAGGAGAGATCTGCAATCCTTATGAAGGCCTAAAACCAAAGAATTGTTGGGTACAAACGGCTCTCTACTGCTAGAAAACATGACTAGATAGATTTAAAAAATCGGAGACAACAGACCTTTTCACAACGAAACTCCTCATTAATTTTGATCTCTTTGTCAAAGCAGAAGAGATCGGAGGTTAGCTGGCTGCCAGTCTGATGCAAAAAGTGGTCCAGCTCCGAGAAGCTGCGTATGTGTCGGCCACAAGGTGCTACGTAGGCAATGACATCGCGTCCCTCTGCCGCCGGTGTAGCTTTGATGTAAATCCGGAGCCATCCAGCACGTAGAGGGATTTCAAGGGGATTCAAACCCCTATAGTCGAAGGGCGACTCCGACCGATGGCCTGATGAAGGATCGTCCAACACGATGGCAGATTTTAGGCAACCAGCGACGCACTTGTGGTCAACTAGAATGCGAGAAGTATTGAGTAACAGAGGCGCTAGACGGACCTACTTAAAAGGGGTAAACAGTACCAATGGTACTTCGTCAGTAAAGTGGAATTTTGATTTCCTGTTGACTGTTTCGTTTGACAAGAGCAAACAGACACAGGAAAGCTATTAAACAAGTGTATTTTAGGTATTTGCTTGTCTGGCTGTACCAGGAGGATGATTTACCCACAGTTCTCGAACAACAAGCAGATTTTTACGATTACATTAGAATAATGTATCATTTATAAATAGCCGTTGCATAGGAATTTTATTGAAAAGGGCGAAAGCACTTCTGCTCAAAAAGCGGGCCGCAAATCATCACAACACTGGCCAATAAGTGGCGAAGTTAATTAGGAAATTAGTACGCAATTTGCCCGAAGGAGGGGGACTTGCAAAGAGGATAAATTGGTCGGTATGCAGATAGGAGCCTCCCTTATCAGGTTGTCTTTGAGTGGATTAAAAAACATGAAAGTGGCCGCAGTAGTGAAACAAAGGCCAAACTCGCATCGCGTGTCAAGATGACGAAAAATGGAGGAATAGGTCCAGGCTCGATTCACAAAACGAAGGGACAGTGAAGGTGGAAGATTTGCTGGTGCCCACTCTCACCAATGTCAGAGGAGGGGAGGCTGAAGCCCCTTAAAAGGTGAGATGATGTGGCAAAGCAAACCGACTCCAAAAGTAAGCGCGCTAATACAGAAAAGTGAGGTCAGAGTAAAAAATTGCTAAACTTTTGTCAGTCTCAAAAAACATTCCTTAAGGGAAAAGTATGAAAATATGAGAGGTACGTTAAAACAAAAAATCAAAGATGTAGGGCAAAAAGATTTTTTCGCAAAAGCAGGAATAAGTTAAGCGGAACGCAATCCTATGGCAAATACTTCCCACCAATTACCAACAAAAGAGAAAAATCTCAGCCTTATTCAAGAGCACTTCCAATTGCTGACCTTTGCATTTATGAGTAGCTCTGGGGACACTTGTGTTTCATTCGGAGGAGAGATCCTTTCATAGAAAATAAGTAGGTTTTTGACGTGTGCGACAGATAACAATGTGAACCCAGGAGCGCTGAAGCTTTACGTGCTTTGACCTGTGAGCACCGACTGAATGTGAACCAAGACACATCGACGCCGACGGCTCCATGTGTTGATGACAGCGGACATTGATATGGCTAGACCGATGAAAGAGCAAAGAGCACTGGCAGACGATCACAACCCTCAAAGTTAAAAAAAAGGAACACACGAGCTCCAACTGGGCTTATAAGTCTTCATTTTCAACGGGGTTTTATATCTTGTATTGCCCCAAAAAAATCCCGCATAAATTGAAACAAATCGACCAAATAAGGAACCTAGAGGTACCTCACATCAATGCACCTAATCCTGGGAATGAAATAGCTTCAAGTCAAGCCTTCCAATCGTATGGTGATGAGAAAATAAAGTGGAATCGGAAAGAGAGCGTTTGAGATTTCATAGCCAAAAAAACCTCCAAGACACAAGTCTGCCAATTTCATTTTTAGAAGCGACTTTGTCTCCAAAAACGAAGAGCCTGGTACTAGCCACCTCCGTTTCCCAATAGTTTAAGCTACTCTGCATGTGATTATCTGCCCAACACCAAGAAAAAGTGATAACCACTCGTGAGTGATTGGTCTGGAGCAAGAAAATCAAATACTGAACAATCCCGTTTACGGTAAACCTTATACAAAAAAGTACTGTGAGGAAGAAATGGTGCCTGTCTTAGAAAATTAAAGTAGTGATTGGACCATTTGGTGGTAGCCAACCAGTGATATGTCTGTTCATTTAACGAGAATCGCAACACAAAATTGAGAAGAGGTGATAAGTATGAAATCGACAGCCGATCAAGCTGATAGTCTGTCCTTTGTGACACCAGATTCAACCACGACACTCCCTTTCCAAAGGAAATGTGGACGTGAACCTGTGGCCTCACCATCACTCACATCAAGCCACCAACACAGCAAGCCTCAATTGCTTCAGTTACATTCCATATGCGATTACTTAATCATCATGATAAAAAAAATAATTCCTCAGTGCAATGCTCCTCCCTTGGAGTAATTCGTCACCAGAAATCACATTTTTGAACCGTTTCTGTGCGGTCCTTTAAGCCACTATGCTTTCGCCAAACGCTATACACATTGTCGAGGAGCTTCTACAACTTCGGAACCGAGCTAAGCCCGGTACAACCGACATTTTATGGCATGACGTATCGGAATAAGATGCAAATGGAAGACAGTGCAATCAACAGTATCGAAAGATTGACACATATCCATTGCTTGATAATTCATGCATATAAACGATCACATACATGTTACAGGTCCTCAAAGTTACAAGAAATCATAGCAATCAGCTGTGCCGAAAACCACGAAAACCTTTTTTTGATCATCTGGTACTTATGCGCTTCGGGAGAAAGGTTACAAAAGCGTGATTTGTTGCCTGGAAGAAAAGAAACTGTCTCTACACTTTCAACTTTTGCATCGTTTTATCCTGATCGGAATGAATAAAAACCAAAAATACAAACGACCTGTGAATCGGCAGCACGGTTCAACCAAATTTACCAACCAACAAGGCTGGATCATATGAAAGAAGCCCAAAACGTAGACCGCGTAAGTCGCGAGAGGAAAATTCACTCAATAATGGTGCCCTTTAACTATTCATGCTTGAAAAGGGGAAAAAACAGGAATACTTTCATGCAGGTATACGATTAAGAAGAATTCCTCTTAAGCATGCCTCTTATTATTTGAACTATTGATGTACTGGGGTTGGAATGAGTACGGATTTACTTCACTATAATTATGGAAGAGCATATAAACTAGCAAAACAGGAAGTATTTCCACAATAATACGTATGATGAAAAACAGTTTTCTTGTGTCAAAGTTCAAGACCCATAGTCAACTAGGCATCCTAGAGTAGAGGGAAGAAAAAAAAAGTGGAAGAGTACAACTCACCATAAGGTTTAACGCGAATAGACTGAATAAAACTGTCAAGGTAGGGCTGAACGCGACCCGTCTCCTCAGCCTCCTGCAACGAGGGAGGTATTGTGGTGGCGACAGTGCCATCGGTATCGTGTGCCACGCTAGCTACACTCACTAGGGGCTTCCGACCCGCTCCACGACCGGTAGCAGATTTGCGCGTTTTCTGATGCGAGCCATGCTCACCTACCAGATCTGCGGTGGAGGAAAAAACGAGAAATAATGCTTTGTACATGAAGTTACTTTGCTTTAGCCCTCAGCCTTATGTAGATTAAATGGAGAACCACTCAGAACTGCAGCCTTCTTTCCACATAAATATCTTGGTGGATTATTTACTTGTACTGCGCTTCTTTGGGCCCTCTGATATATTTTTTGCGAGGGCATTAACCTAATGACGCAAGAAACCCCAACAACCGTTTTCTTGATTTCTATATAAAGAAAAATCACCACAATATGCATCCGCTTTTAATACTCATTTTTGTGAATACTAAATCCATAAATGATGCATATTTCCACACCAATCAAAGAAGATGAAGCAGTGTATTGCTCCAATTTTAGCACCAATGGTGGGACCACCCATTTTTTTCTCAAAATATGTAAAACCTGGACCTTACATAACTCACTAAAAAACAGTAACACTCTTTATTCTACAAATAACGGGATGGTGCCACAAAACTTCGGGATGTATTTAAAAGCCTTTTTCTTAAACTCAAAATCCTTAGAGGGCAAGGTGTACCATAGTGTTCGGTTTATAAATGTAACTGGTCTAAACGGTTAGATCAACGGAATCCCATCTGGAAAATCATGTTTGTAGAAATATTTGATAAAAAAGAATTTCAATGGAGTGCTGTGTCATGATTATCCAGGATGTCTGGCGAAATTCAGGGCGACATCACACTACTCAGAATGAGAACCAGTACAGTCTTCCACGCTTCTTCTATTCTCATGCAGTACAACATTTCGCTTTAAATACAAAAAAATATGAGGCCACCTTTAAAGGAGAGTCGCCTTAAGGCCCCAATCATGATAGTTTAACACATTAGAGAGATGCGCAGCCTAGAAAGCTACATTAGTCGAGGTCTTGAAAACACTACGGGTAGGATTAATGCTATTCCAAAAAACCCCACCAAAACTTTCACAGATTGTAAATTAATATTCATAGCGACGTAAAATATTGCATCTCCTAGCGAAAACAAAATTTAATTCCTAACAAGAGGAGTTGAGACATATCGGCACCGAGCGCGCGGACACATACTTCAACACCACCGACAATTTAGGAAATGACTTTAATCCTGCTACTTAAACGCCTATTTTGAGCACTGCAAATAACTTCCAGATGACCAATCAAGAAGTTATTTAAGTGTTCTCACCACTAACTATCGATAAACGAGAAAGTCCTGGCCTTAAAGAAATACCACACAAGGACAGCTGTCCAACTATCATCAATTAGTAATTTGATAGCATCGAATATGCGTACAATCGAAGCAGCAAACCCACTTTTTTATTCAAGAAAATCCTGTAAACATCACCGGACCGAATCCGCTCTGCACACAAAACGAGCGCGCATTTGCAAGCTTAATTAAAGTGTCAGACGTGGAAGGTCACATCGACCTTGAGAGAGGCTATTTACGATTGGGGGATCGAATGGCCCAAGTCTGTGGAGGTTGACCCCAAAATGCAAATAGCTAAAGAAGCGGAAAAGCAGAACTCACGTGTCTGGACTGAAACGTAGTCAACTTCCACGGATTGGCTTCCATTTGTGCTCTAGAAATTGCACGTACTCTGGTTAGATCCATGGAAAAAAGGAAAGAATGCCAAACTCAGCAAGCCCCAACCGTTTCAGCCAAATCAGCGGCAAATAGAGGGAAGAAAGATCATTCGCGCTTATTTCGAGTCTATTCAAATATCGGGCAGATGTGGCTATTGCAAACAAGAGTGGTAGATGAACTGTAAACAGCTCAGAAATACAAAATTTAAGTAAATTTATCACTGATGGATATGTGCGGCGCGTACTGTGATGACGCATGCATGATTGCATGTTAATTCGCAAAAGGTACACAGAGGGGTGTTCGTTAGCTAGTTAATGCATCAAAAATACCGCCAGAATGTTTTCAAATTTTACAAACAAACATGACTTTAAAAAAAAAACGGAATTCTCGTCGGTAAACGTGAGCACAACTTCGTGACGATTAAATTTAACGATGCCATTTTGCTCCTAAGGCGATCAACTGTACAAGAAGCATACGGTGGTGACGACACCACACGGAATTTGTCGAAAACCACTCCAGCGAACTGATACACTTCAGGAGGAAGTCTACCTCCACCCTGTCCTCAAGCAAGAGCGAATTATGGCAAGAATCGGACGTCCCAGCTTTATATTATATTGAATTTTCACATTCGTTTCCACCAAGTTATATCAAACTTGTGAAACAGTGAGAGATGGTCGTCCGCTCAACCATCCCACGATAGTGTATGCTGCTCCACCAACAGGGAATGTAATGACACTGTTGGACCATCTGCTGTTGAACACTCACCACGACCGATACAATTGTTCGATCAGATGAGAAGCTTCAGATGATACTAGCAGGAAAGATGAAAGAGGAGGGTTGAGAGCCTCACCTTTCAGGTGTCAACAAAGCTTAGCGTAAAAAAGCTCTGCACAGCATGCCACACTCAAATAAACTCGGTATAATATTCGAGAGTCTCTTGGGAGTATCTTACAGGCTTGTTTGATAGCGGACCCAGACGCCTTGACCCACGATAAATCCACTCCACATTTCCACTCGGGAATCGCAGGAGAACGAGACTGTAGTCCACCTGAACAACCGTGGCCTGCAACCAATTTCCATTTAACTCGGCCTGAATCGTTTGGTCCACGCTCAATTTCACCATCGGACGCTAATGAACAATTCAAAAAATGGGCTGAAAACTCATTTAAGTTGTATTTTTCTGGGATGGTCGAAATCGCAACTAAGCGGTAACTGCATATACACAAAGGCAGGAGGAAACTACGCCAAATTCACCATATTTCAAGTTGAAAGTGGCTCTACACGTGCCGAAATCTTGTCCTGTAGTTCAGACCAGTAATTGTCGCTATATAATCGCCTAGTCCCGCTGACAGTTAAACGAAAAAAATTAATCCGACCGCATGCATTGGAGCCTAGCATCCGTGAGTATGCCATGTGCTGTCTTGTTTTTTGTGGCACCGCCACAAGACGGGTTGAAAATGGGTGATTGGCATACTTAACGACCATAAGTAGATTCGGTGATAAGATGAAGCAAGAGTATACATAATAATTTGATATAAAAACGAAATACCTGGGGGAACTGGGCCAAATAGCGTTTGATAAATTCCTGTATTTCCGGATTAACCAATTTCCAATTTTCCTTCGCTTTAAAGGAGAGAAAAATTCAACAAGCGAGAGACCTACATTGGGCGAAGACCCTGAAAATGCAGTCTGATTGCGCGTAGTAGGCATAACCATCGTCAAAAAATATAAGGTACCTAAGAGAGATTAAAACTGGTAAAGCTACTCACCGGTAATTGTTGTAGGAATTTGGCGGCTCACCAACAATCCCGGAGTAGTAAGCAGACACACCGTTTGCATCCTGATAAAGGGCTTAAAAAGAGAGTAAGAGCTATCGACTCCGACGTACCGACAACACGAGCGCCGACAGGATATTTTTGCATTAGAGCTTCAGAGGACAATGACAGGGCAAGCTTTGACTGGTCAACAACATCGCAAAACTGTCGCTGAGACGGGTACTCCACATTCACTAGATACCGAATGTTTCCATCCGATTTCGCATCTGAGCGGTAGCGTTCGGAGGAGATTTTTGAGCCACCGTTGTTGACATGCTGATTTAAGTCGATCAAGGAAAGGGGTTCTTCTCGATATAGCAGCTGGGTAATCACACCAAGAGACCACACCCCTTCGGAGAGTCGGACAAGCACGACCTGCCCAACTGATCCCCGTCTAAAGTAGCGAAACTCAAAACAACAAAAGGATAAAAGAAAAAAATTGAAGAGAATCACAGAAGAAACACACATCCCAAGGGTGAGCTCGTTTGGTTGAACTGAACGCCACGATTTAATGATAGCTGCGATTGGAGGTTCAGGGGATCTATAAAATTTGAACAAGGAGGAATTTAAGCATGACAATTACATATGTGTTAAAAAATTTGACTAAGACGATCACTCACGTGTCCGGAACCACATCCTCAGGTCGTTTTAGGGGTAGAGAAAAATTATTTTGCAAAGAGTCAACTTTGAATTCCATCTGTCCAAAAGCACTATCAAACGATTACCTACGTAAAAGAAGCCTACGATATCTGCAAGTCAACTAGATCTTTTGTCAGTGCATTTAACTGTTCTGAAAGCTGCACTTGTTTTTGCTGTAATTTATTCTTCTCATCTTGCAGACTGCTTAGAAGGTCCGATAAACCAACTCCTTTCATAATTTCCACCAAGTCATCAACCACTCCAAGTTCTTCAAGAGCGGTAGCTGCTCTTTGATTCATAATATTGTACCGTATATCCGGATCAGAAACTGCTTTTCGCAATAAAATATAAGCACTTACTAAAGCTCAATTCTAGTGCATGCTTTTGTAGAACATACGAGATAATGTCATCATATACATTTGCCTCATCGAAAGCAGCTAGAGACGCTTGAATTATTTTCTTGGTTGTGTCGGTTATGGACATGTGTAGCAAACTGCACCCAAGACCATTCGAATCTGTCCCGCTTTTTTTGATCTGTTAAAACAAAATAATCGTAAACTAATATGTAGGCCTTTCGTCTTTCTGGCAACAAATGCTTATTCGCTTTGCTTTGAAACAAAAAAGTGTTTGTTTAAAAAAATCCTGATTTTGTAAGTTTTATTGACCTTAAAACTAATTATTTTAAGTTGCATTAACAGAAAAACTTTCGTGCTCTCCTATGGTAACTGATATCAACAAGTGAGCAATTATGTCTGGTTTTTAAAAACACAATGTTGTTTTAAAGAAGTACGGTTTTGCTACCAAACTTTTTTGCACCCCATATATATATTTGCCTCACATATTTTGCATTGACTTGGAGAAATTCACTTTGGTAGCTTTCGGGACTTCGGTAATTGTTTGAATTTTAAGAGTCATTATGTTATGTTAAAAAATATATTGCAGACGCGAGAAAGAACTGTGGCATATCTCTTTGCTCGTAGTCCCTGCGACCGAGCGGAAATACATCCTGAGGTGCCTTAAGTGCCCGTGTGATTAAACGCAGAGTTAGACAGACTATCAAAACATTACGTTTGCTAACATATATGGCCTAAATTGATTTGAATGGTAATATTATATTTTAGCACGTAGACTTAGGGACTAGTCTAAGAACTTGTCCTGTAATACGACAGTGGTTTATCCCTCGGTTCTAGTGAGGCGCCACTTTTGTACTTTGAATTAGGCCCCTTGTACCTCGCTGGGTGGGCTAGCCTTTTGGGCCATGCCAATAGCCCAGGCGCCTTCTCTGCGCTGAATATATATTCTGCCCGAGTATCTTGTCTTCTTTCGTTTTCAGGGAGTCCCGGGGGGCTGTCCACTAACACCCTTGTTTTCGTTTTCTCCCCTTCGGAAGTCAAGCGATAACCCAATACCTAATTTTACTTAGCATATATTTTAATTTCGCATGAATCAGAGCATAATATAAGAAATTTCTCTTTAAAAGGACTTCGCATCTACAGTAAGGGAAACGATAATTTTACCATCTTTGTTATCACTGTAATAAGGTTGGTTGTTTGCGTACCTCTCAGTTTTGATAAAGGACCACTTTGTGTCTTGGCCTTTGTACCTACACTGGGTGGGCTGGCCTTTAGACCATGCTAGTAGCCCCAAGCCCTGTTATACGTCTACAACACATATTCTGTAGAAGTATTGCGGCTTTTTTCGTCCTCAAGGAAGTCTCGATTTCTACAATGGTGGCATCGATACGCGGAGTCGAAATTAACAGGAATCCAAACTGATTTCCACTACTGGGTGATAAACCTTAACAAGGCGGAAGAAGCACACGCGCTACCAATGGGTAAACCGGTAACGAAACCTACGTAATTTCCAGTATGTCATCTACCTTTGGTAGCTATACCAATTTTATATTTTGCAGGTAGCTATTAACAGCTGGAGCGACGCTAGTCATAAACTATCTGGGAAATTTTCCTTTTGAAGCGCCTATTGTACCTGTATGAAGATACCGATACAGGGAACCCGTGATACTTTCTCCACTATTTTACCAGCTGGGAAGATCTTAGATAGATATGTGGCTGGTCAGACCTGAAATAAGTACATATTGGTAAGAAGGATTGGAAGCGGAATCCTATTCCCATATAATGTGTTAAATCCCGCCCCCTCTTACATAAATCTGCTTTTAGGCGAGTGTTTCTACAACTACCTGTGGACACGGCCGACGGTAGACACATTCCCTCGTCCCCAAATTCATTTTCCCTTTAGGGCGGAACTGCAGATGAAGTTGAATTGCAAGAGGAATTGGTGACTTTGCTGTCAAGCATCTCTTCACCTGCAATGACATTTAGTGGCTGGCACAATTGGATGACAGGCACTTTCCTACAGCACTAATTACGTGGTGATGATTTACGTGGGAGGTTAACCAAGAGATATGTAATACTTTTGTTGTTTGTCTAACTCTCGGTTTTGGTAAAGGGCACTTTGTGTCTTGGCCTACAGGCCATACCAGTAGTCTCAAGCCCTACTGCATGTTGAATATCCATGTTCCGCCCTGGTATTACGCCTTCTTTCGTCTCCAGAGAAGTCTCAGGAAGCTCCAACAGCTTTCATTGTCGACTCACTGTCGGTATTAGGATGATGCTTTGATCGTGAAGACGAATGTTTATATTAAATGGCACTATTCCCCCAAAACCGCCTAGACCAAAATTAATCTAATTAAAAGAGGTAGGTTCCAACAACTATAGTAAATGCGGATTTCAGTGAAATCTTAAACAATTTCTTATATAAGGGCCTTATTGAAAATCCGGCATAGACGCCAAACGCATCTCATTACCGTCAGAACTTAGTTGTTTGTATTAAAAATGCACTGGAATATAAATTAAAACATAATAATAACAAATCTTCTTTAATTGCACATCAAATTGTGAGGGACATAATGATTTTTGCAGGCAGAACTTCCATTCAGTGGCATGTGCCCCGGGACAAGATGGTACCCTCTCAACTTTCCTGTATGCGAGTGGCATATTGTCATGTTTGAGTTCTTTGTTCAACTCATCATTTGGCTTTCTAGGGCACTCAAGACGCTGTCTTTGTACAACCATATAGCGACATCTCCTATGGACCATGTCAGTAGCCCCCATACATTTACTACGTCAGCAGTACAGATTCCTTCTTATGCAACACGATAGTTGTTTGCTTGATTCGGTCTTAGTATGGGGGGCATTTAGGATCTCTATCATTGTAAACTTGGAGTGTGGGCTGACGTTTGGGCCACGTCAGTAGCTCTAAGCCCTACTGTATGTCAAATATGTACACTCTGTTGAAATATTATGCCTTCTACCACCTTCAGAGAAGTCTTGGAGCCCTAAATTCACGTCTTCTATTCGGGAAGAGCTCCAGGCGCTGCCATATGATTTCTTCCATAATAATTTAGTTTTTTGTAAGTTTAGGAAAGCTGTGTGCGAGTTGAGGTGGGAACCAAAGACATCCAAAAACTTAAGCTCTTTGTAAATACACTTTCAATTTACAAGATAATAATCATCCAAGCAAAATGCATCACTACTCACTTCAATGCCCGAGTAGCAAAAAGGGTTCTCGTTTCATAAAACTTACTTCTTAGATAGTCAGCTATAATGGATTATTTTGTCAAAAGCGCGCAATGAATTATATGCACTTTCTTGGCATTAAACGGTGAAATAAAGACGAATTTTCTGGCAAGCGCTTTGCATTTCACGCAAGTCAAAGCAAAATAGGTGGCAACAGAAACCATTTTTTGTGATTTACTTACGAATACTGGCATTTTTTGCATACTTTTGTATTTATCTAAATATTTATGTCATCTAAGAGACTTACCCAAAATCAGAGGGCAGCGTGAGAACACATTCTGGCTACTTTTTAAATTAAATGTTTTTGTCTGATTTATCGAAACTTTTCATGGTTTTTAAAAAGCCTTGTGTCCGTATGTTTCAAGGTTGAATGTTTGTTCTGCTTTACCACAACAATACCGCAACACACGAATTCTGGTTGTAAAAATATTTACTAAATTTGGCGAAAATCCGATCTTGTTGTGTTATTGAAGTCTCAGCCAGACTTTACTATTTGAGGTAGTTTTCTCCTGTTCTGCACAACTGTCTTGACACTAAGTTGTGCAAGCAGCGCAATGAAATTTATCGACTTCTTATGTGCCTCTTAAGTCCATTAACCATGTCCAGATCCAAATTGTCGAAGCCCATGTTTTTCCGGCCTTTTTTGTTGCTCGGCTACTTATTTAACCCGAACTTTTCCCTGAACCTAGCCAACGGTGCTCTATTTGTATGTTGTCCTAACTCTCTTTTTGAATACTTAGTACAAATCCCTAGGTCCTTATTGCCCGTTCATTGTTTCACATTTGTGACAAATAGTAATCGCTTTCCAAAAACAAATGATGTGTTTCTAAAATGGGTCTCGGTTCCCTTTTGATGCACTGTTATCTTATGTTTGATTTCACTTTTGTTTAATATTTATCGTTGAACAAAACTTCAATAAGTAGAATACGATTACGTAAACCCTCTTTTTGTTAAATTGTTTGGCTTGCCTTGCTTATAGCCTCTTACTTATTTCAAGGCAATCCTGTTCTTATTATCTGATATTTTATATGTTTAAAGTCTACCGTTTTGGAAATTATCCCCTTCCCACATCTGGGAAAAAGACCGCTGGCAATTTTAACTACGTTTATTTTACTGCAATATTTTGGTTCCAGTAGCCAACAGCGTTGAATTGTATGCCCATATTTATTACAGCAGCTATTTTTGTGGGAATTTTGCTGTCACTAAAAAAATGCACCCTCTGCAACAAAATGGGCATTTATTTTTGCCCACTTCATAGATTTTCAAGGACTAAATTCCTTACTAATGACGTATTTTCTACTATTTTCAGGATAATTTGATCACCTTCTCTCATTTCGTGTGATGGCAATGTCAAGTAAGCCACGCACTGCCTGATTACTATCTGGATATTCTGCTTCGCCTACTATAATATTCATTTTTTGCTGGGTAGTAGGCATAATATGCACAGATTATTTCGCCTGTGTGAGGGAGGCTGGGGCAGAGAGGTCCGGGAACAGGGAGTTGATTTGCCCGAGCAGCTGTTCTTGATGCTCCTTTTTTGTGCATGTAATCTTGTCTAGAAACACGAACACCATTTTCCTATCCGGTTTATCGCACTAAAATGTATTCTAGCCCTTTATCCGTTGACTATCGATAGGCTTTGGGTCTTTAGTCTATTCACAGGCTTGAAAATCTTGCTATTTTTTGACCAAGGTATTTGTCCTTCCCTTTTGCTTAAGGTCTAGATTCCAAAATTAACTACTTTGCTCCGGATTGATCGTTCTGTAGGTTGCTGAAAAATTTTAATTGTAAATTTGGTACCCTATTTCGTAATTTATTTCTCATGACGTTACTGGCATCCTAATGAGTCCCATTTTTTGTCTTTTTTTCGTTACAAAAACAGTTAAGGTCCTACAGCAAATAGAAAATATTGTTACGTTCCCACCTCAAACCATAAATCCACTGTTACCGAGGGAATATACGAAAGAGACTTTTTTAAGTAAATAATCAAACCAGGTAAGAGACGTTTAAACTTACGGAATGTTGACACCAACCCGGTTGAAGCATCCACTCTTGATTAAGATCCCCAGAAAGGGATCCACTGACAGGCAACACAACTGTTTGTTATCACCAGCCAATTGCTTGCCACCGTCCACTCCCATCAGCTTATCTTGGCCAATAAGCATGCGGCTAGCCTCTGAGTGGTTCGTCGCGTGCACGCTATCCCAGCACTCCTTAAATCTCTTCAAGGTTTCATTCGCCTTCCACATCTCTCCCCCTCCGCGCACTTGTCCATGTCATCCTTGAATTGTTTTAAACCCTCACTTGTTGGTACCCTGCCCCATAAGGTGCTTGAAGGCAGCACACGATTTGGTGAGAATTCGGACTCAGAAGGTGAGGACTATGAGGCTTCCACGGTGCGTGATCACGTCTCCTGCACCGACGACGGCTGTTCGCTACAGAGCAGAAGCCGTTTTCAGGGCCTTCGGAGTGAGTCTCCACGTCCGGAGTCGAATGTCCTTGTCCGAACCCTCAAAACAGCCTCCCTTTCGGGGCGTAATCCGTCAAAATTAAAAGAGTCTGGCGTTTCTAATCCCTCTCCAATGCTTAGCTGCATGAAAAGCCACTTTCGCAAAGGTGATACACCAGATTCCAAGAGGAAAGCGAAGACAAAACACACAGAGGTTAAGTATGACAGCTATGACAGTGTTGACTTGCAACCACCGGTGGAGAACGCAAACAGCAATCTTAGTTGCCTTGTCAGGAGCCATTCAGACTCAACTTGCTTAACTGCTAAGGCGGGTAAACCGCCAGATGAAGCAGTAGTTGATTCAAAGAGCCCATTACCATCGGACTCTCAGTTAGACGTTTTGATTACTGCCTCGGCAATACGGAGTGGGGAAGGATCTAATTCCAGTGCTCCGAGGAGCACAGTCTACTCTCCTGTTTATCCCAATCCACCTATACCCAGTTTTGGATATGTACCATCAAGTCCTTACATAGCCTATGAGGGCTACTTCGGCTCTACTCAAATGGGTGGATTTATGGGAGTTATGACACCTCCGAGCTACTGCACACCAAACATGAGTCTGGGGGACGTAGGTTACCAGGGCCTGGCCTATCCATCTCCGCAGATGAGTTCCTACTCTCTCCTCTTTCAGTGTCCCCATCCCTACACAGATCCATTCCAACAGCGACCCTGCTCACTGGAAAGTTGTAATGTCAACGGTAGGTGCAATACTTTAAGTCTCCCTCTCTATCTCGCCTAGTCCTCACATATCGGAGTTATTTACTGCATTGGTGAGACCGTCCGCTTGCGATTCGAGTTCCATCCCGATAAATCATTTTTCTGTCATTTTTCTTGTGCACAAAATTGCCCCCCAATGTATGTGTATCACGCAATAGTCCGTCTCTATGCCCAGCCTTAGGATGTGATACGATTTATCTCTAAATTTGATGGGTCTTTTTCATTTGAACTGCTTCCAGTAGCCGTGCAGCTCCAGAAGTGTCTTCTCCTCCTCTCCGGCCACTGCCTGAAGATTGAGTTTGGCTTTTTATTCTTGTGAAAATATGCTTGAAAAGTCTACTTTATCTGCTTAATTGACCAAATCTATGGTTGTAGAGGGCTCTACCGCTAGGTAGTTGGTTGAAGGACTTCAGTTCCAACCGATTGTTGCACGAATCCCTCTCCCTTCAATGACCCCACTTTAAGCACTTCCAAATGCCCAAATTCCTAGGTCAGTTTTTCATGCCAGGAAAGAAATGAAG